CAGATAAATGCAACAAGGTGAAACATGGCATTTTTCATGCAAATGAAACAGGATTTATTAAATGTGTCTGGGTTTGTTTATTTGTTTAAGAATGAGTAAGGTATTTGCTGCATATGAACAACAGGGTTTGATTCTCGGCACTGCTCATGGCCTTGCAAGCATCTCCAGGAGTGATTCCTGAGCTCAGAGCCAAGAGTAAGCATTGAGCTGACTCAGTGTAACACACCCCTCTCACACACCCCTAAAATAATGACTCGATCCTGATCTGAAGTATCATAAAATGATTCCTGATTAACAGAGGTCTAAATGGGAAAAGGTAAACACCAAAACTTCAGGGCAAAAACACAGAAGACCATCTTCATGATCTTGAAGGCAGAAAATTTTGAGAAATCAAAACAGCCAATCATGGGGTGGGGATGGGGAAAACTGAGAACTTTCATGGAACTAAAAACTTTCTTGTTTTGGGGCTGGAGCAATAGCACAGCATGTAGGGCATTTGCCTTACACGCAGCCAACCTGGGTTCAATTCCCAGCATCCCATATGGTCCCCCAAGCACCGCCAGGAGTAATTCCTGAGTGCAAAGCCAGGAATAACCCCTGAGCATTGCCAGATGTGACACCCCCCCCCAAAAAAAAACAACTCTTGTTTCATTTTTTTTTTTAATAATGACATTAACTTACTGTTGTCGAAAATACCAAGTTGGGTTTTTTTTTTCAGTTGTTTAGTTTGGGGGGGCCTCACCTTGCAGCAACAAGTTGGGGCTACTCCCAACTTCCTGCCTCCAGGTGCTGCACAGTAAGCACGTGATGCTGGGGGTCAAACAGGGGCTCCACATGCGAAGCAGGAGCTTCAGAACTGAGGCATCTCCCTGGTCCACAAGCTGTTTTCTAAATACAATTGATTGTTAGGATGAGATCATGAGGAGAGGGTTAGCACTCAGATGCAGCCATTAGAACCAGAGCAAGGGTTGGTGTGTACACTGGGGTAAGACAATACGGGGTGTTGGGAAACTAGGGACATTGGTAGAGGGATTGGCACATTTGAGGTACGACTAGTTTTGGAATTTAAGGGGTAGGGTCATACCCAGTGATGCTCAGGGGTCATTCCTGCCTCTGCACTCAGGAATTACTGCTGGATGAGTTAAGATGCCAGCAAATGAACCCAGGTCAGCTGCAAGCAAGGCAAACTCCCTCTCCACAGTACTATAGCTACTATCACTGGAAGTGTTGCAATACTGACTACCTGAAACAAGTGTGTTGTGAACCACTTTGCAAATCATGGTGTTTAAATGAATAAAATTACAAAAAGATAAAGGAGAAACGTCAGAATGAAGGTCAGCCGGCAGACAGGCCCCTTTCAATCGGCTGAAAAGTCCCAATGGGCTATACTGAAGGAACACTGACACTTTGATGGTAGACATGGTACACTAACTCTGTAACCCTTAAATGTCTAAACACTATACCCTTATCAACCAATGTTACCACAATCAAAAATAACTTTAAAGGAGCCAGAGTCAGAGTACAGCAGGTAGGGCTTTGCATGCAGTCAACCCAGGTTCAATTCCAGGCATCCCATATGGTACCCTGAGCACTGCTAGGAGCAATCCCTGAATGTAGAGCCAGGAATAGCCCCCTGAGCATTGCCAGGTATAACCCCAAAAGCCAAAAACATTTTTTAAATTTTTTAATATTTTTAACTTTTTGTTTGGGGAGAGGGGCTGAGGGATAGTTCCTGTCTATCCTTAGGGATGCATGCAGTACTACTGAACAAACCCTAATCTCCTGTATGCAAAGCATTCATTCAACACCTTGAGCTATTTCTGCCCGCCCCCCAGAGAAACATTTTAATTTTTTTAAATTTTTATAACAGCATGATTTAATATGGAATTAAAAGTGAAAAGAGAAAGATATCTGGACATTTCCCAAATATTTGGAAATTAAGTAATACACTTAAATAAAAACAATGCTCAAATAAAAAATCAAAACAGAAACAACATCTTGAAATTGATGCAAATCTAAACGTGACATCTAAACGTTTGTTGGATGATACTAATATTATACTTAAATATGAATTTAAATCACTAAATTTAAGCATCAAATAAGTGGAAACAACTAAAAGCAATGGCCTCAAATTTTACCTCAGGATATAGCAAAGTAAATCCAAAGTAGAAGATAAAGATCAAAGTAGAAATTAATGAAATGAAAAGAACACATTTTAAACTAAAGAGAAAATGAGGAAGAGGGATATCATTCAACTAGTTTTGCTTATTATATCCAATTATGTTGGAACTATTCTGCTGCTTTGATCTCTACTAGATCCCAAAAGTCAGGGGCTGGGGCCAGAGCAATAGGACATCAAGTAGGGTGTTTGCCTTGGACAAGGCTGACCCACGTTCAATCCCTGTCATTCCAAATGGTCCTCTGAGCACTGCCAGAAGTAATTTCTGAGCACAGAGACAGGAGTAACTAACCCCTGAGCATTGCCCAATGTAGATAAAAGATTAAAAATTAAAAAAAAAAACAAAAGTCAGGGACTAATAAAGAAAGGAGATAGTCCAAGCAGAAAGGGCCAAGTCACTTATAGAGAAGGAAAGGGAATTACAAGGAGAGTCAAGGCTTTCCTGTCCCACCCAACACCTAACCCCACAGACTGTCTGCACCACACCTAACCCCACAGACTGTCTGCACCACACCTAGTCCAGGCCACTCTTACACACCCAGACTGACTTTTCTCTCAACTTTTCACTTTCCAGGAATAGACGTTCCCTTGCTGAAGGGTAAGGCAATTACCACGGTCACGGTCCTCCCATTGTTCATCAATTTGCTCGAGCAGGCCCAGTAACATCTCCATCGTGAGACTTGTTGCTACTGTGTTTGGCATATTTGACTACGTCACGGGGAGCTTGCCTGGCTTTGCCATGCAGGCAAGATACTCCTGGTAGCTTGCCAGGCTCTCCGAGAGGGGCGGAGGAATAGAACCCAACTCAGCTGGGCCAGCTTCGTGCAAGGCAAACACCCTACGACTGTGCTATCGCCTCCAGGCAATTACACTGGAACTATTTTGCTGCTTTGGGTAAAGCACCAAAAGCACATTTCTCCTGAACTCCAGCTCTGCACCCAGCTGCTCTGTACCCTCGAGTCCACCAGCCAAGCAGTTTCAGCTGAAAGCCCAGCTCCTGCCCTCCCCGCCAACAGACAACATTCTGTGCCTGTTTGTGAATCTGCGTTTCCTGTCTATGAATCAGCAGGAAAATCTGAAAAGCCCCTTCAGGTTTGTAATGGGGAAAAATAGATAGGGAGCATACCCTGGCCACCAACGAGAAGAGGTGAGCAGTGAATGGCTTTTCCTTGCACCAGAGAAGTAGCCTAGATGTTCCACAAGTCCCAAGGAAGGAAAACTGGGCCCTTGGATTTTCTCTGGGAACCATTAGCTTCTGGCAAGCCATCACACCTGTGAAAAGTGCTCAGCACACGGCCCATCTCAGTAATTGCCCTATTACATAATCTGGTTTATTGTGCACTTATATCTTACTTCATCTAATCTTCCCAACAACCCTATAAATATATGCTCGACTCATTTGCTCCACAAGAATATATAGCACCGCATGCTGGACACACAAGCATCAACAGAGCACAATGTACCTGCCTTCCCGGGGCTTATAGTCTGATAAACACATTTAAACAATGTAAATCTAAAACTGGCAACGTGCCAGGTACTAAAATGAAAAGATGTCTAGGGCTGAGAACCAGCAAGAGGGAGGCTACGATTCTACTGAGACCAGGGCAATAGTAGAGTGGGTAGGGCGCTTCACCCGGGTTCAATCCCCAGCATTCCAGATAGCATTGCATATAGTGCCGTGAGTACCAGCAGGGGTAATTCCTGAGTACAGAACCAGGAGCAGTTACCCCTCAGTAATGCAGGGCTTTAGAGAAAAAAAGGAAAGGAAAGGAAAGGAAAGGAAAGGAAAGGAAAGGAAAGGAAAGGAAAGGAAAGGAAAGGAAGACTGCTGACCCAAAAGGAGAGAACAAAAGGGAGTACCCTGGCACAGAGGCAGGGTGGGATCGGGGGATAGGGGGGTGGGAGGGATACTGAGATCAGTGTTGGTGGAGAATGGGCACTGGTGGAGGGATGGGTACTCGATCATTGTATAACTGAAACCCAAGCACAAAAATTTGGAAGTCTACAACTGTATCTCATGGTGTTTCACTAATAAAAATTTTTTTAAAATAAAGAAAAAAAGATTTTTAATTGTCAAATATTAAAAAAAAAAAAAGACTGCTGAGGCAGAGAGTTGAACAAACTCTGGGGAATTGATCTTGCTACCATCTGACTCCTAGAGCACCACCAGGAGTAACTGCACCTGTCCTTCTGTCCCAGCACTAAGCCAGGAGAAGTTCCTGAGCACCTCTGGGTATGAATTCAAGACCAAAAAAAAAAAAAAAGAAAAGAAAGAAAGAAGCTGCCGTGGAAAGCGAAGTACGAAATGAGCGCTGAGAAATTAAAAGGGCATTAACTAGCAGCAAAAAAGCAGGTAGAGAAAATAGCTAAGCAAATGTCCTGGAGCCAAAGGGAAGCGTTAGGTCCGTGTTAGGTCTGTGCCTAAGGAGTGTGATAGTGTGAGGAGATGCGGAGAGAGTGTGTGTGTGGTGACGTAGGAATTCATTCCAGATCTGCTGGCCACCTGATGCTTCTCCCATCCAGGCTAGGCCTAGGCACAAGAAACAGAAAATCCACAGGGGATTCGCAGAGAAGAGAGAGCTTCACGAAGACCACAGTGTGGAGGTGATTTTAACCAGGAAGCCTCGGAGACTTGGAGGACTGACAGCTCGGCCGCTCCCCCAGCGAAGCCCAGAGGATGCTGCGCGGTCCTGATGGAGAGGCTCCTCGGCGAGGCTCCCAGCGCGACGGGAGAGGGGAGCAGGGGGCGGAGCTTCGGTTCCCCGCGCGCCACTGCGGCTGCGCGCGCGCCGCTCCGGAAGCGGAAGTGCTTAAGAGGTCGGCGTGGGCTTCCAAGATGGCGGCGCTCACTAGGTTGATGTCTGGCTGTGGACGCTGGCTCCGGGGGCTGGTGGTCGGCCCGGCCACGACCAGCTGGGCCCGGCCGCCGGCCCGCGGGTTCCGGGAAGGTGAGTGGGAGCCGAGCGGCGGCGGCTGCGCCCTCTGGCTGCTGAGAGCGTCCGAGACGCCGGCGCTCCGGCCGGGCACGGACGCCTCTCCCGGGGCCAGGGCCGGGCATCCTTTCCTCCCAGCTCTCCAGAGGGTCCCCACGGGCTGGGGCGGGGTCGGGGGGGGGGGGGGGAGAAATCATCTGTTGAGCCAGCAGGGCCGGAAGAGAGACCCACCCTGACGTGGGGAAGTTTTCTGCCAAGAAACGCTCTGAACCAACCTCCACCTCCTCACTTAAAGAATCCTTAGGGAGGGTCTTTGTTGGCTCAACCCCCGGCCACACACGCCCTGGGCCCACCCCCACCCAGGGCCCTCCTGGCACTGTAGCTCTGTCCTCCCGTTGTTCCTCGATTTGCTCCAGCGGGCTCAGTAACGTCTCCATTGTGAGACTTGTTGTTACTGTGCTGTTACTGTGAGATTTCTTGTTACTATGTTGTTACTGTAAGATTTGTTGTTACTTTGTTTGGCATATCGAAGACACTACAGGGAGCTTGCCAGGCTGTGCCCTGCGGGCGACGTAGCTTGCCGGGCTCTCCGAGAGGGGTGGAGGAATCGAACCTGGGCCAACCGGGTAGCTGCGTGCAAGGCAAACGCCTACTTCTGTGCTGTCGCTCCAGCCCAGGGCCCTCCTATTCCCTGAAATCTAAAAATGCTTTGATCTGACGTGGCTGGTTCCCCCACCCCCCACCCCGTCCCTGGGAAAGAGAGAGCTAAACCTTGGCAGCCCCCAGGTGGTTCCTCTGCTTTGCATTCCTTTTAAATCGGGAAACCCGGGGCGGCATTCAAACATTTAACAGTTAGCCGAAGGCGGCGAGGGGGGGGGGGGGGGCGCTGGACTTAAGGCGGCCAAGGAAATTAAGGTCTCAGCAAAGCGAAGATGCAGCTTCATGTCTGAGAAATTCAGTTGGAGTGATGTATATATGCTCATGGGTTAAAGCAGGTTATTCACCTGATAAAGTACAGGGAACTTTTATTACCAGAAATTGTAAATCCAGGGGCAAGTTTCCATCAGGGGCCCATGTCTTGACTCATCCTGTAGAAAAGAACGGAATCTGGGTGAGAGGGAGGACGGAGACTTCTTTGTGTGCAGCTGGAAGTGGGAACGAATGTGTGGAATGCAGAAGTGGTTTGGATTTGCATGGTTTTGTTGTTAAGATTTGGGTGTAATATTGACTGACAGTGAGGAATACCTTAAGCAATCATTGTTGTCAGAGGGAGAGAAAAGGTCCAAATAGAAGAGCTAAATGAAGAAGGTCCTGGAGGGTGGGGAGAGGTACCCAGAGTCTCACACAGGCCAGGCAAATGCTGCTTTAAGCCTCATCCCCAGCCCAAGAGCTCCCTCTTTACACCTTCAAACAGCACTTAGAGGGATAGGGGCCAGAGACTTAGTACAGAGGTTAAGGCACTTAGCCTGACAGGAGCCTACTTTATCCCAGCACCCCATGTAGTCCCAAGTACTCTCAGGGGGTGGTGGTCCTGAGCACAGCTGGGTGTGTTTCAGCCTCCACCAAAATAAAATAAATGGCAGGAAAGGAACCCAGTTTGGGGAAATCAAAGAGTCTGCAAAGAAACAGAAAGTGCAGCTATATTATATATATATGTAAAGGTAAAGGCCCTCCCGTTGTTCATCGATTTGCTCGAGAGGGCCCAGTAACGTCTCCACTGGAGACTTTGTTGTTACTGTGCTTGGCATATCGAATACGTCATGGGGAGCTTGCCAGGCTCTGCCGTGCAGGCGAGATACTCTCTGTGGCTTGCCGGGCTCTCCGAGAGGGGCGGAGGAATCGAACTCGGGTCTGCCATGTTGGCTGCGTGCAAGGCAAACGCCCTACCGCTGTGCTATCGCTTTTTTTTTAAAGAGTTTAGCCATGAAGAAAAGATAGAACATTTGTTAGAACAACAAAATGCAGCAACTGTCTGGTCAATGTTAGATAAACTAATTTGTTAAGAACCAAAGGCACCAGAGAGATAGTACAGACATTAAGATACTTGCATTGTACATGACTGACCCCACTTTGAATCCCCGGCATCACCAGGTGTAGGGGGTGGGAGGGGGATGTCCAGTGAGATCGTGCTGATGATCATGATTTAGAGAAGGGTCACATCTGTTCTGCCACTGCAAAAGAAGCTCTTGCCCATAATATTTTTAGGGGTTCTACCAGATGTCTGACACAAATAGCTGGATTTACATCTCTTGGTTTTGTTTGCTTGTTTGGGGGCCACATCCGGTGGTGCTCAGGGCTTATTCCCGGTTCTGCACTTGGGATCACCCTGCTGTGAAGTTTGATAAGAAAGAGAAAACATGGAGGGACAAAGAGAGCTCAGGTTGCTGGTGTGCAGGAGGCCAGGGATGGATCCCTGGCACCACATAGTCCTCTGAGCACAACTGGGATCAGTGGCCCAAATCACCCGCCACCCTTCTACCCCAAAAAAGAGGGACACACACAAAGCAAAAAAAAAAAAAAAAAAGAGTATGATGGTGCCAGGAGATACTACAGTAAGGCATTGCCTTGCATAAGATTGACCCGGTTTGAATCCCTGGCCCCACACTTGGTCCCTGCCCATCACTTCCGGAAGTGATCCCGGAAAGCAGAGGCAGAAGTAAGCCCTGAAAACCCTAAAAAGTAAATGGAGGGCCCAGAGAGATAGTCCAGGTAGTACAGATACATGCATTTGCCTTGCACGTGGCTGAGCCTGGTTTGATCCCAAAGACATGTGGCTCCAGACCACCACCCTACCCCCCAAATAAAATATTTTGATGGAAGAAGACAAAAGTCAAAAATGTGGATTCCTAAGTATCTGCTACCAGCACAACACTGAATTGTCCATGTCCGTGTATCCATCTTCTCACTAATCCTTAAAGGTGGGTGTTACACTTGCCCGGCTGAGGAGATGTGGCCTGGTGGTTTGGAAGCTGCCTGGCATCACACAGCAGGAAGTAGGGCCTCACTCTGCTTCCTGCCTGCCCAATCCCGTGCCAGATTGAGCAGATTTTGCGCTCAACACCCCCATTCCCTCCCTTTTTCTTAGAGCCCTCGGGAAGGAAATGTATTTGAAACGAGAGAAATAAACACACGTGATTGTGTGAATTAACAGTAATAAGCTGTCAGACATGTGGAGTGATTGTGTGCTTAAATGAGTGAGGCTAAGGGGAACTCCTCACCCCTCTCCTCCAGTTGGCCTGCAGGGGCTTCCTGGAGGGCCCCACCTTCCAGAGAGCCTGGCAAGATGGGCACCAAACAGAGCTCTGGGAGGGAGGGCAGTGGTTGCGTTTGAAGCCCAAAAGAATCAGAAGACAGCCCAGAGTAATCTGGTGGCGACAGGAAGAGGTTTTTGTGCAGCTACGAGACTCCTCGGACTGCAGCATGAACGTGTGGTGAAAACGGGAGGTGGTAGGAGAATCTGAAGCCTTCGGTGGTAGAATGAAAGAGATGGAGAAGCGGGTGGAGCCGGAGCCAGGAAGGAGTTTGAGAAGGGCGGCACACACCTCTCCCTGGCCCCACGTGAGACTGTTGATTTGCCCTTGAACCATCAGGCCCTTCTTCCGCCCTTCCCTGCAGGCGTTGCTGGGGGCTTGGTTTCTGTGGCTCCTTTCCAAGGACTTTGGTTCCAGGGCACCTCCCGCAGCCACCGCACCCTCCCTCTTTCGTCTTCCTCCTGGACGAACAGTTGGGGCTTTATTCCACCACTGCTGTGCGCCGTGTCTGTTTCTGTGGTCTGCGAGGCCCGTGAGGTTCGCTATCATCTCGCCGCAGCGCTGTTTGTGATGACAGTTACGGGTCAGTTGGACTTGGCCTGCGTCCTAGGCGAGGATTTACTGAAGCACTCAAAGGACCTCTTTACGAGGCTTGGACTTTTATGACGGTGGTGTTCCCAGGCTTTGCTGTAGTTCCCTTTCTCCCGGAGTCCTCGTCTTCCTGGCCCGTGCAAGGCGCCACAGTAAGAGGAGTCGGGCCGCGCCTGCCTCCGGGGCCCCAGCACGGTCCCAGAGTGAGACACACTGCTCTTGAACCCATTTAGCCTCTTAATCCTAGTTTAGAGGGTGATTCCACCTCTTTCTAAGCAAGTTTTCCGGTCCATGGTTCCGGCGTCTCTTTACACACACACACCACTTCTCCTGGATGGTGAGGCAGCCAGGAACACACACACACACACCATGGTTCCGGCGTCTCTTTACACACACACACACACACACACACACACACACACACACACACACACCACCACTTCTCCTGAATGGCGAGGCAGCCAGGAATGAAATGGAGCCCCAGGTCTGTTTGGTTTTTGCATGCACACTGGAAATCAATACCGTGTTGATTCCTATCTCCTGTTTTCAGAGACTGAAGCTCAGGGCAGCCCTCCTCAGCCCCTCTGCCCCTGCTCGGGCCACCCCACCCTGGTCAGCCTCCAGCCCCTGTGAGCTCTCAGGTTATTCCTTCTTAGTTTGACAAATCATCCCTTGCCGATAAGCATCTGCCTATTGTTTTACCCACTGGCTTGTAGTAAGATGATTCACTGGCTAAGGAGCCTCCGAGTTTGCCACCAGCTTTGATCTCCTTTCCAGGGGCCGGCGGGATGACTTCAGGGCTTGGGTCTTTGCCGGGAGTGATGTGTGTTTTGTTAGACTTGTTTACCTCATGGTCAGGGGCCCAAGTGTCTCCACCAAGCTGGGCAGCCACATGTTTATCCGTTTTGTGGTTCCAGGCATTGTTCTGGGGATTGCTGGGAGGCATGTAGCCCTCCTTTTATTTCCTCTAGGGATTCTTCAAAACATTTCCCCCTTGGGGTTGGGGAGATAGCAGGAGCCCTGGCTTCAGTCTCAGTCAACCCCCTGGTGTATCCCACACACACACACACACACACACACACACACACTCACACCAGCACACCAGGAGCGACCCCTGAGCACTGTCATATGACCCAAAGCCAAAAAGGGCAAGGGGAAAAAAAACCCACACTTCCCCCCCCACACACACACACACACCTGTTGTTGCTCAGGTTTGGCCACCCTCCCCCCTCGCCCTCATTGGTTTCTGTACATTTGCAGCATCTCTGCGGATTCCAGAAGCCCCGCTGGGCTGGGCCCGGGTTCCCCTGCTCAGGCCAGTGCTGGCCTCCAGACTCAGCACCAGGTCGCGTCTCACCCACATCCCGTTTGGGCTGGTCTCTGTTCGGAACAAGTAGATCCGTGTGTGGGGTGACGCAGTTTCTTTTACAGGGAGCAACCCTCGTCTGCCTCAGAATTGATCAGGGACTGCAGTGTTCTCTGGAGAAAGCCTCCGGGCCTTTCTGGCCTTTGTGGCTCCTTTGTGTGTCCGGGGTTGGACCGGGTCAGGCGCTCAGGTTGGTTGGAGTAATGAGGCTTTATGAATGGCCTTGCCCAGAAAACAAACGGGGAACCCGTCCAGCAGTCTGGGTCCAATTAGGTGTCGGTCACAAAGCTCAGTGAACACAGATGCTGCGTTGGGCCTCTGGCTGGGTTCGAATCGCCTCACATTTTTTCCCCTCTTCTTCTCCTTCCCTCTTCATTGTTTGCTTTTTAGTACCAAAAGCAGTGTCTGTTTCTTCTAGACTTTAATACCGACCAATAGCAGTGCAGAAGAGATGACAGTCCCCAGGGTGCACCATCATACCATTTAGGGTCGAGCCCCTCCAGTCTGCTTGCCTGGCGGCCGTGGTGCTGGGCAGCTGTCTCCGTGAGGTCTGGGGCCCCTGCTGGGTTGCCACAGGAGAACCCGAGGCTCTTCCTGATCTGTGCCTCTGCTTTCTAGGGCTGGCGACTGAGGCACACGGAATAGTGGTGGCCAAGCTGGTACAATACAGTGTCCGTATTTTGGGGGTTTTCATTTTTGTTTCGGGTTTTTTGCTTTTAGTTTTTTGGTTTTTGGGGTCACACTTGGAGATGCTCAGGGGTTACTCCTGGCTCTGCACTCCAGAATGACGCCTGGCGGTGCTCAGGGAACCATATGGGATGCTGGGGATAGAACCCAGGTGGCTGCATGCAAAGCAAACGTCCGACCCGCTGTACTGTTGCTCTGGCCCCAGTGTCGGTATTGTGGAAGTCAGTTTTTCTCCTGCTTGTGAGCCTGAATTTTCTGTTGTGCTAATTAGCTGTCCCAAGAGGACTATGAGAAGTTTGTTCCCCAAAATTCCATCTAGCGTTTCTTGAGCATCTGCTGGGTGCCAGCTCTAGGCTTTCAGTTATGGTTTCTCTCAAAGAAATGAAGAACGGGCCGGAGTACTAGTAGAGTGGATTGGGTGTTTGCCTTGCATGCAGCTGACCTGGGTTCGATATCCCATATGGTCCCCAAGTTCTCCAGGAGTGATCCCTGAGCACTGCCAGGTGTGATCCAAAACCCTAAACCAAAACACAGACTTCTACCAGCTTGTGCTAATTTGATTTGCCAACTGGACTGTCCCCTTGGGTGCACTGTGGTGTGGCGTGTGGCAGGAGCTGTCACTGCAGCCAGAGTGGTGAGAGGAAATTGGTGCAGCCTGGGGCCTGGGGAGCCTCTTCACTGGCTCTCAGGCTCTGCTCGCCTCCCTGACCTGCTTAGACAGAGCGGGGCATGGGGCGAAGCCTCAGTTTGGGGGTCAGCACTGTCCTTGAAGCCTGGCCTGCACCCGGGGCCAATGGACCCCTCCCCCCCCCGGCCCCCTCCTATGTGGCAGACAGGGGCACTGTCCATGCCCCGTGCTCCAGAGCAGTGTCTGTCCACTGCACTCTGCAGGGACCTGGAGTATGCTTGGTCCTTCCCGTGGGGGCTAGCCACTCCTGCCACACCCCCAGCATCCCCCCCCCACACACACACCCAGCATACGCTCACACATATACAGGTACATGCATACACACATGTACACACACAGACCCAACATACACACACCAAACATACACTCACATACGTTCACATACAAACCCAGCATATACTCACATCCCTATGTACACACACATCCACATGTACACACATACAAACCCAACATACACTCACACATCACACATATATGTATCCCCAACGTAGATACTCACGCACACAAAACCTAACACATACGCACGCACGCGTGGCCACTTCCCTGGGGCAGAACCAAGATGAATGAGGCACAGAGCGTGGGAAAACTGACCCCTGTGGGGAGGGGGGGATCTTGCATGGACATCCGAGCGCACGTTGTCATCCCCATCCCCAGCCTTCGCCCTGAGAGGGGGTCCCTGCCTGCTGCGTCCAGGTGGGGCTGTCAGAGAGCAGACCTGTTAAATGGCTGGCCTAATGCCCCCCCGCCTTTGTCTCTGCAGTGGTGGAGCACCAGGAGGGGAAGACGACTATTGTGAGTATCACCTCCCGAACGCTCGGAGCCGCTGCCTGCTGCGGGGGGTGGGGTTAGCCCCCCCCTTCCCCTTTGCTGTGCTCACGCACTGCCTGGCAGTTAATCAGGAACAGTCGCAGGCCTGGGCCGAGGCACAGAGCAGCCTCTTTCATGGCAGGGTCTCAGAGGCCTTTGCTGATAGTGTCTTTGGCAGGTGATACACCCATCTCCCAAAGGGGAAACTAAGGCAGTGGGCGAGAGAGCCAGAGGAAGCTGAGCCAGGCCGGCCTGAGCCTGGCTGCTGACGGGAGGTGACTCTCGGGGCCTGTGGCGCCACAGAGAGCACTTAGCCCTGAGTGTGTGGCCCAGAGCCCCGGGACCCCTCTCCACCTCCCCGCCTCCCCCTGGCTCAGGAGTCATGGGGCCCAGCTTATCCCATAATCCCTGCACAGCCGTGCTTTCCCAGGGCTTTTGGAGCCTCCAAGAAATCCTTGAGCCCCCTCTGCCGGGCTCCCAGGGGCCGCTTGGACTCCCCCCTTACCGGGGGCAGAGAAGGAGGCACTTAACCCTCTAGGGGCCCCCCGGCTAGGGCTGCCCTCAGGACAGGCCCCTCTTGGGGTCTCCCCCGGGGAACACTGCACGGTTTCCCAGCTCTGTCTCCGAACACTCCATTTTAGGGAGCTCCCCTCCTTTGGGGCCCTGTCTTGGTGCCCCCTTCCCCAGGGAGACAGCCTGCACTCTGTCCTGTATCTCTGCCTGGGCCGGGGAGTGAAGGGTGCTCTGTGGGTTTGCATGCTCGAGAATGAAAGGGGACACAGGGGGGTGATTAAGCCGTAAGCTCCCCACCCCCCTCCTGGCATAGGTCGGCAGCTGCCGGGGGTTCTCAGCAGCTCCCTTCCTCTCCCCCAGCCCAGCCCAGCGCCCCTCCTTGGCCTCCCGCACCCCCACCTCCGTTCCACCCCCAGATGCACTGTGGCGGTTTTGCCCATCACAGCACCCGCACAGCCAAGTGTGGCTCCCAGCCCCCTTCTCCTTTGCCTGCTCCCCTGCTCCCCCGCTTCTCTCGTAGACCCTCCCAGACCTGTCCCCACCTCATCACATTCCTGGGCCTCAGTCAGTGACGAAGTCCACCCCCCATCCTTGCTTTATTGTGCTCGTCACAGGACACAGCTGTGCATGGGGGATTGGAAAGGTGACATCCAGATTAGAGAAGCAAAAGGGAAGATGGGAAGCGCCCTCCTGGGCATTGTAGTTTGGTTGGGGGTTTCGTTTGTTTGCTTGTTTTTGCTTTTTTGTGTTACACACGGTGATGCTCAGGGGTTCCTCTTGGCTCTGCACTCAGGAATTACTCCTGGTGGTGCTCAGGGGACCATATAAGATGCTGGGGATTGAACCCAGTTGGCTGCGTGCAAGGCAAACGCCCTCCGCCACACTGTACTATCGCTCTGGCCCCATTTTTTGTTTGGTATAAGTGTGTTTTCCATTGCTTGGGGGCCACACTCAGCTGTGCTCAAGCCTTAGTCCTGATGGTGTGCAGGGGCCCGTATGAGGTGCCAGGGACTGAACCCGGGTCAACCAAATGCAAGCCAAGAGAGCCATAACCCCTGTATTACCTCTGGTCCCTTCTGGGTTTGGTTTTTGTTTTTAATTTTCTAGGTACTTGGGTTATATCCGGCAATACTCAGGGGTTACTCCTCGCTCTGTACTCAGGAATTATTCCTGGCATGCTTGGAGGACCGTATGGGATGTCGGGGATCAAACCCAGGTCAGTCGCATGCAAGGTAAACCCCCTACTCACTGTGCTATCGCAGTGGTCCTGCCGCTTCTGGGTTTTTTGAGAGCGAGGAAAGGCAGGTGAGCACCCAGATAACTGCCTACAGAGGCCCAGCCAGGACATCATGTCCTCAGCACTCTGAGCAACAGGGGTGCACGCATTCTTGGTGGGGGCCATCCTGTGCTCTGGTCATCAGCACCCTGTTCTCAGTTGTGACCATCAAAAGCGTCATGGACAGAGGCTGGAGAGATAGCACAGCGGGTAGGCGCTTCCCTTGCACTTGGCTGGTCTAAGTTCACTCCTGCATTCAGCACTTTCCTGGAGGGCCTGCAAATGAGGCTTCCTTGGGATGCTCCATCTCTATGCAGTGTGACACTACCCTGTGCATTTTGTCGTTGTTGTTGTTTGTTTTTTGGTTTGGGAGCCATACCACGCAGTGTTCTGGGCTTACTCCTGGCTCTGCACTAAGGCATTACTCCTGGCATCCTCAGGGGACCATCTGGGATGCCAGGAATCGAACCTAGGTCACCTATGTGCCAGGCAAAAGCCCTCCCTGTCCTGTGAAGTCATTGCTCCTTCCCAGTGGGTGGGGAGGAGGCCTGATGTCCTGCTGATGTCCTGGCGTTTGCTGAGAAGGAAAGGTAGCATCCCACTGATGGAGCAAACCCTCTCTCTCGCCACCAGCATGAGGTCCTGTTTCCTCTGCAGGCCACCCAACCCCATCTCCATCCTCCCTACCCCCCGCCCAAGGCCTGACAGAGGGCAGCATTAGCAGCCCGACCAGGCCCCCGAGGGCACCTTCACTGGCATCCCCACTGTTTTAGCGGGGAGGTATGCGCAAGGATTGGGTCTGCATAGCCTTTGCCCTTCCTCACTCTCTCTCTGCTCTAGATCGAAGGCCGGATCACGGAGACTCCCCGGGAAACCCCCAACCCCCCTAACCCCTCTGGTCAGTGCCCCATCTGCCGGTGGAACCTGAAACACAAATACACCTACGAGGTGAGTTATGTGATAGGGTGCAGTTGGGCTCCATGCCATCAGCTCTGGGGGTCACTGAGATGGGGCATGTTCACCCCCAGTCTCCCATCCCACACTGCGTGCAGGACTGTGCGGGCGCCCCTCAGAATGCTGCCCAGGGCCGCTCCAGGCACTCATCCTGCTGGCTTGGGCTGGGCAGCCCCTGTGGGATTTGAGCCTCCCCTGGTGACTGGGACCAAGGCGGTCCGCAGCTTCCCTCCTGTCCAGCTGCCTGGGGGGGTTAGGCTGGGGCTCAGCACGCCTCCGGCTCTGATGACGAGGGGTATTTGAGGCCCTCTGGGAGCTGGGGTGGCCACTGTCCTTAGTGGGGTTACAGGGCCCCTGTGTTAGCTCTCTGCCAGAGGAGGGGGTGAATCCTGACTAGATAGCAATGAGCTGCATAGGCCCCCTGCATAGAACCCGCGTCCCATGCCCCACACCACGGCAGAAATATTCACGCACATCCCAGAGTGGGGGAGGGGAGCGCGTAAGGCACTTGCCTTGAGTGAGCCCCAGTGTGTTGCCTGGCACTGCACAGCGGTTTTTCCCCAGCTTCGCCAGGGGTCACTCGGGTCAGGGACAAGCCCTCAGCCCTGCCGCCTGTGACCCCCTCCAGAGCAGGAGAGTGGCTCAGAGGGAGAGACATGCCCTCGGCCCCATCCCGGGCACACCCAGAGGAAGAGAGCAGACGGGTTTGGATTCATGGTGTCCCTGTGAGAGGTGCTTCTGTCAGCCTCATTTTCTCCCCGAGACCATTCAAGGCACGGGGAAGTGTGTGGCCATGTGATCCGAACTCTGCGCGTTCATGACCCTGACGAAGATGCCTCCCCAGGAATGGGGAGCGCCCGCGGGAAGGGACACAGCGCCGGCCCTGGGGAGAAATCCTGCTTATTCTACAGGATTCCATGGGTGACATTGCGCACCTTGGATTTAGGCTTCCGGGGATCCAGACTCCGGGCCATGTGACCTGCAGGCCACCTCTGTGTGCCTGGGTGGGATAAGATGACTAAGGCAGAGATCTGGTCAGCCGGTCAGCGAGGACAGGCCATGTGCCCATGGGATGTGGACACAGAGACCCAGCTCAGCGCCCGGGCTGGGAGCCCTGGGTTCCGGCCCCCCAGCGGGGGCTGTTCTCTGGCCTTCCCGGTCCTTCTGCTGATGGCAGGATGGTGCCGTGGAAGCTTGCCCCGGGCCAGCGTTCCCGCGCTGGGGACATGGGAGTGAGTGGGGGTGGGGCGTGTGTGGAGAGGCGAACCCCAGGTTTCCCAGGCCGCCCTGGGCAGGCACGCCTTGACCAGCCACTTCCAGGAACTGGATTGGGCCCTGTTTATCCAGCCAAAGAAACCCAATCCCCTCCGAGGGGGGAGGCGAGGGGGAGGCGAGAGGCGTTTCCCTGCCCGCCCTCGCTCAGGACACGGCTCTCCTGAGCCCCACAAAGCCTTCGGCTTGCTTGGCAGCCAACGAGGCCCGCGGCGGGGGCAGGGCTGGGGCCCCTGAGCCGGGTTTATTAGCCCTGGATAATCCCATCCAAGTTCTTTTCATCAGATTCTGGAGATTACAGGGATGGGAATTGGGGGCTTGGGTCCCTCGGGAGCTGTTCGGTGATTAAAACAAATCTGCGGTTCTGTAGCACGGCGCCCGCCAGGGCAGCAGATCGGTTAGTGGAACATGACTGCTCCGACTGGCGTGTCGGGCCCTCGGGGCTGGGCGGGTGGGGCTGGCGGTCTGGTTTAACCCCCTCATCGGCCCTCCTGGGGTGGTCTCACATCTGTCCTCGGCTCACACAGAGCCCCGTCCTGAGGGCCCTTCCTGAGAGGCCGGAGATGCCTCCTGCCTCTGGTCACTGCAGCTTTGAGGGTGCAGAGGTTAACCTTGCAGCCCTGCACCCCCTCGGCCGGGAGCCCCGGGGCCCTGCAGCAACAGAGGCCGAAACCAGAGGGGCTGATGACCTGCAGGTCATCAGACCTGCGCCGTGTAGACACAGGATGGGGAACGGCCCGGGGTACCCCTGACCTCACCCAAGGAAGGGAAGGCTTAGGTTCCGGAAGAGACACTGCCAAACAGATGCACGAAAGTGTGTGGGCACTGGAGGTGGGGGCACTCCACGCTTCTCGGGGGACCTGACGGGGTGCCAGTGTCTCACGTGTGCAGGCCCCCAGGTCCATCCTGCACTGCATGGTGGCCTCCACCACCCCAACTGTCCGGTGCAGCCCGCTTTTTTCTTACAAGTGCCTGTTCTCTAACCTGGTCATCTAAAGATGACCTCCCAGGGCCAGAGAGAGAGCACAGCGGGCAGGGCGCTTGCCTTGCCAGCAGCTGACCTGGGGTCTATCCCCGGTTTCCCATAAGGTCCCCGAGCACAGAGCCAGGAGTAAGCCCTGCGCATCACCAGGTGTGCCCCCCAGCCTAGAAAAAAAGATGACCTCCTGGAGCTCCTGGGGTTGGCGGTATGGTCAGGAAATCATACTGAGTTGGGATTTCTCTTCTGCTCGGATGGCAGCAATGGACGCTGGACAGTGGTCAGGGGGTCAGTTCCCTGTGGAGCGTTCACCAGCTCTTGGCAGGCCCCAGAGAACCACAGCCCAGCAGGCCCTCTGGCCCTGCCGCTGCCCCCAACACCCACCCAGGGGCCCCTGTTTCCTGTCTCTCGTTCCCATTAGGACGTTCTGCTGCTCAGCCAGTTCATCCGGCCCCACGGAGGGATGTTGCCCCGGAGCATCACGGGCCTGTGCCGCCAGGAGCACCGCAAAATCGAGGAGTGTGTGAAGATGGCCCACCGCGCGGGTAGGGGCGCTGCGCGGGGAGGGGCTCTCCGAGTTGTCCAGTTTGCCAGCCCCGCTTCCCCGCTGTCCCTGGCCACTGCCCCTCATGGCTCTGCCTCCCCCCCCCCCCCCCAGGTTTGCTGCCGAATCACAGGCCTCGACTCCCTGAAGGGTTCGTCCCAAAGAGCAAACCGCAGCTCAACCGGTAAGAGCCCAGCACTGCGGGGCGTGGCCTGTCCCCTCCCACCCTTCCCTTCACAGCTCCCCGAGTCCCTCCGCTGCCCGGGGGTCAGCAGCACCCAGGGAGGCTCTGGAGACAGGCAGGCTCAGGTGCTCCCCGGAAACAGCGCTGCAGGGGTGGCCTTGAGCTGCACGGCTCACCTGGCTGGCAGTGTGGTGCCAGCCTCCCCTCTGCAGAGCTCCTGGCCCTGTCACAGCCCTGTCCCCGCCCTGTCCGCCCCCTGCTGTGATAGCCCTGTCCCGTCCTGTCATGCCCTGTCACGGTCCTGCCCCTCCCCCCCCGCTGTGACACCCCTGTCCATGTCCCCACCCCCTCAGCCCTGTCCCCACCCTACCCCTGCTCTGTCACAGCCATGGACCCTGGGGACCCTCCTGCCCTGTCCCCCGCGCAGCCTGCCCTCCTTTCCCTGTCCATCGGCCCCTGGAGCTGCGGAGCCCTCAGGACAACCCCCTGCCGCCGACAACCCCTGAGCCCCGCTAGAGCACAGGTGTGAGTCCAGCCCTGGGTCTCCGCACTGGGGTGCCAGGGAGCCAGGCCACTCTGTCATCTGCCCGCCTCCTGGCCCCATGCCCACCTCCACCCGCCCCACCCCCCCCCCATTGCCAGCTGGGCCCTCTGCCAGCGCCCCGGGGGAGGGGCAGGACAGGTTAGCCTCTTCCTGTCCTCCGGAATGTGCGGTGTGGACCACTAGGGAGCTGAGCCCCCAGCCCCGCCCTAGCACAGGCAGGAGGCACCCTCGCTCAGAGCAGCAGCAGGCCTGAGGACACGATCCAGCCTGCCCCCGGGCCTTTGAAGCCGGGCCAGGCTCCCTGCCCTCCATCCGGTCCCCTCACGCGACACGGGATTGATGATGTGTGGGGGCAGGCCCCAGGCCCACCCTGCCCCCAGCCCTGCCTGCCGGAGAGGTAGGAAGGAGCCGTGGTTCTTCCTCGAGCTGGGACGTTTCCAGAGAAGGGCCTGGAGCCCGCCCGGGCCCCCCTGCCAGCTGGCTGCTCTGTGTGGCACGGGCACCGGGCCCAGGGCTAGCTGCAGGCCAGCAGTGCTCCTGAGCTCCTTGACTCCCGGGGTGCGCCCGGGCCCAGCTCCCCGCCCCCCTGCTGTGCGCTGCCTTCCGGGCAGTGTGTCCCTTTACCTGTCCCCTGCTGAGCGAGCGTCACCAGCCCCGGCCTGCGAGCAGGACCATGTGGCCAAGGCCAGGTCTCCGGCGCCTGCAGCTATCCATGGCCCTGCCCTCCTCTGTGCACAGGGCCATCAGCAGTAAGGGGTGTGTGTGTGTGTGTGTGTGTGTGTGTGTGTGTGTGTGTGTGTGTGTGTGTGTTTCACTTTTATATCAGGGTTTGTGGTGAACGTGATTGATTGGTTTCATTTGGAAAGCTGCTCTTGCAAGTGTCTCTGGAGGCCGCCGGGTTGACCCCCAACCCAGAGTGGAGCTGGGGAGGATCTGGCCGTTGCCAGGGCTGAGCTCTCAGGATGCAGGGTGGGCCTCTCTGGATGGGCTCCAGATTCCATTTCTGGACGGAGTGAACCCCAGTCCCAGCCGGCATGAGCCACTTTTCCGGGAACTAGCGGGGCCCGGGCCGTCCCTAGAAGAGGCCAGATCCTGGGCGGCAGCCATGTGTCTGCTCACCACCCCCCTTCCAGGACCCTTCCCAGGCCAGGAGAGCACCCGTGGGCCCTCACCCTTGGCTCCCATCGTGGGCTGGCTGAGGCGCAGGGGTCCTCCACCAGTTCCAGCTGCCCACCCCAGGGGAGCTTTGGGGGCCAGGGCGGCAGGGGGAGCTCCTCCCCAGCTCGCACGCACACAGCCCGGGACCCAGGAGCGCGTGCCTGGCCCCTACCACACACACTCGCAGGGGCCCGCCCGCCTGTCGCTCCCCCAGAGAGGCTGGGCACCCCGCCCAGGTTTGCCGCTTGGCCGCAGCATCACCTCCCTCCACAGGTACCTGACCCGTTGGTCCACCCGGTCCGTCAAGCCCATCTACAATAAAGGCCACCGCTGGAACAAGGTGCGCATGGCTGTGGGGTCTCCCCTCCTCAGAGACAACGTCTGCTACTCCCAGAGACCCCTGGTGTACTACCAGTGACCCGGCGCAGAGCCCTTCACCCTGCCGCATCCCTCGCGCCCCCAGTGTGACCCAGCTCCTCCGACACGGACAGCATGAGGGACCCTGTCTCCCGGGGCTCGCTGCTGTGCTCTTGTGATGGGCCGGAGACCAGCACTCGGTGCAGAGGACAGTCTTGCCCAGGCATGCCATAAACCAGCCTTCCGGACTTGCTGTGGGTGTGTGCTCGCCGCTGTGGGGTGGAGGTGGGGGGGAGGCTATGGGCTACTTCGGGCCGGTTCGCAGACTTCCTGCGCGGGTCCCCTGGATGCAACGGCAGCAAGTTCCCAGGCCCGTCAAGCAGCTCCTCCACGCCCAAGCGCCCCAGCCCTCTGCTGCCTCGTGCGTGCTGTTCCCCCCACTCAGCCTCTCGGAAGCATAGTCCAGAGGGAACCTAATTCCCTGAGCTTTATGGGAATCCTGTTTGGACTCGACACGAGAGATCCCCAGGCTGCTGCCCCGCCCCCCACACACACACTCCCCTACAACATGAAGGGCAGGTCGATGTTCTTCTCGCCGGTGCCCACATAGATGTAGCCGCAGTTCTTGGTGTGCGGAGTGTGGTAGAAGGTGAGGCCCGGCCAGAGCAGGCTGCGCAGGACCACCAGGGCGTTGCCTTTCTCCATCTGGATGCTCCAGGACCCTGGGGGGAGGCAGCAGGGAGGGCAGGGTGGTGAGCGGGGCCAGGCGGCACTCCAGGACAGCTTCTCCCTCACCAGGGGTCACCTTCAATTGCAGGCGTCCCCACACACACACACACCAGCCGTCCAGCCCCAGAAGTCTCTGCTCGGAGGCTCAGTAGCTCGTCCTGGGTGGGAGGAACTGGGGTGGCCTCGAGTGCGCCTTTGTCCGCCCCGGGTTCTGCCCTGGTTTCTGTTCCTCCGACAGGAGCAGCGCGGCCTGGGGCTGAGCCGCGCAGCCTTGAGGGCTTGGCGGGAAGGGCCTGGTCCAGCTCCAGGGCCGAGGGAGGGAGCCGCTGTGTGGGAGGAAGGAGCCTGGGAAAATCGCCTCTGGATGCAGATCTGGGGCTCCGATTCCCCGCGCTGAGGCCTCTCCCCGCCCGGCCCTGCCAGAAAGGCAAACGCTTTGAAGGTTCTGGTGCCGGCCGGCCAGCGCTGCAGAGCGCACGGAGGCCTTCATCGGCTGCCAGCACGGCCCGACTGCTGGCTCCCACCAGCCCCACTTCCCACGGGCCACCCGGCCACTCCACGCCCAGCTGCCTCCTGGCCCACCCTGCGTCTGAGCCCAGGACCCCGGGCCAGGGTGGCAGCTCACCCCGCCCAGGTCAGCATGTGGCTGAGCCGCCTGACAGCCCCCTGGGCACCGTGCAGCCACTGCCACAGCCCACTGCCCTCTACGCAGTGGCACATGGACCGCCTGCAGGAGGCCCAGGACTTGGTCCCTCGTGTCCTGTGGCTCCCTGATCACCGCTGCTGGAAACCCAAAATCGAAGGAGCTGGGACTGTCCCGGGGGATCTCAGCATCAGACTAGTGGGTCTGCATTGCTGGCAGTGGCCTGGCGGGTTCCCTGCAGTTCTGAGGAGGCCCCTGGTAAACGTTTTTTTTTTGGGGGGGGGCCATGCTCAGTGTGGTGGGAGGCAGCCACGCCCATCACATTCAAACCCACTGAGCATCTCTCCGGCCTTTAAGAAACTTTGGGGCGGGGGATGGGTTTAGGACGACACTCTCAGGAATTAATCCTGTGGGGTGCCAGGGATAGTGCCCAGGTTAGTGTGTGGAGGCAAGTACCCTCCAGCCCTGAGGAAGCTCCTGAAGAGGGCCCTGGGTCCCAGGGTCAAGGCCAGGCTTTGCGGGCTCTGCTCAGGAGGATCAGCCTTTCCTGCCTGCAGGCCGCGGGTATTGCCCCGGTCTGCCACCTCCCCCTCGGAGCCTGCCCTTTCCCGGGGCATGGTGGGGGGACTGTGTTGGGGACTCTGGGAAGATGTCCACCCGCCCTGCCCACAGAGCCCACATCATGCCCCTCTGCCCCTGGCTGGGAGGTGGCATCCAGCCTTCATCCTTTCTGGTCCCTCAGAGCTCACCAGCACTCCGAGCACGGTTGGCCACCCCTTGCCAGCTCGGCGCCATCTGCAGGGGCTCCCCTCCACACACCCGGGGCCAAGGGACTGCACTGCTGCTTCCTCGCATTCCTGTCACACTCCTGGCCGCCTCTCCCTGTCCCTGCTCAGCTGGTTGCCCAGGAAACACGCGGGCTTCCGACGTGCCCAGAGTCACGTAGCGGCTACCGGGGAAGCCAGCCACTGGCTGGCCCTGTCACCCCTTTTTTTTTCTGCAGCTGCCGGGACCGCCGCCTCTTAGGCTGAGAAGCAGTGTGTGCTGTCCGCTTCAGGCCCACGTCTCCCCTGAGCAACGCCTCCCACTGCCTTGCCACAGCTCTGCTTTGTGAGGGTGCCCAAAGCTTGGGCTTCCTGCCGCTGGCGCGTTGGGCTGGGGACACCCAGAGGCTGATGGTGCCTCCTGGTTCCCACCGCTCTGCAAAGCCCGGTGCTCCCAGCCACCAGAGCTGACCCCTTGGCGCCCTCTGCTGTCTGCATTGTGCACTGCCGCCAGCTGCCTTGGGAGGGACCGACCCCAGCATGGATGGCCGGCAGGGTGGGCCTGCCCTGCACAACCCCTGCCCCTGTTCTGCTCCCTCACTCTTCTGGGTCCTGGGTTCCACGCCCCCGCATTAGCTTCCTTTGCTGGCTGTTGGCAGATGGAGTGACAGGCTGTGGAGCACATGGCCCACGCGACCTAGCTCGCTGGCCGCCTGCCCTCGTGCCTGGCCACGGTGTCTGCCAGGAGGACAGCTCTGTCCCCCACACCGCAGGCACGGGCCACGACAGGATGGCTTAGGAGGGTTCGGGGTGACCTTGACCACATCCCTCCTGGTCTTGGTGACCATCAGTGCTGGCCCATCAATCACCCAGCACTGGAGCGGGGAGCCTCGGCAGCGAGGCCGGGCAGCTGCCCCCCAGGTGAGGGTCATGAAGAGACTTCTAAGCCCACCCTCCGGTCCTGGCGCGGGGTCCCATCGCCACGGTCCTGGCTGCCTTTATCGGCGGGATGTGCAGCCCCTCCAGATCCTGGCAAGGAACACAGTTGGAACAGATAACGGGTCTGGGAAACGGCGTCTGATATCCGCCCCATAAATCTCTCCCAGGGGTCCCTTTCTGAGCTCGGCTGCACTCCCGCCCCCGTGCATGGCCATTCCTCACTGGCGACTCTGACCCACTCAGTGCTCATCCCTCAACTCAGGGGGAGGCCGCTGCAGAGCCCCTGGAATGGCCTCCTGCTCCCGAGTTTGCCCCTCCCCCATCCATACATGCACACACACACCCGCACATACCCTGTCACCAGCCCCCTCTGCACCCACCACCAGCCAAGACCTGCAAGGCCCCCTTGAGTGTAAAAATGCCGGCAGTGATGGTTCCTCTGTAGTGGGCCCCTCACTGCCTGCTGGCCATGATGGTCAGCATTTTGTATCTGTTCACTTCGTTAATTCTCCTAACAACCCCATGGGGTAGAGAATATCGTGATTCCCCCCCTTATGAAAGAAGGAAACGGGCTGGAAAGATGGTTACAGGGCTTAAGGTGCGTTCCTTGCATGCCAGGTTCGAATCCCAACACCATTTGGCCCCCTGAGCACTTCCAGAAAGATCCCTGAGCCCAGCTGGTATTGCCCGCAAACTCCACGCAGAACAAGGAGGAAACTGAGGTAGGGGGGAGAGCTCAACAGGCCGCGTGCTTTGCCACCAGCACCAGGAGTGACCCCCTCCCAGCATGGAGCAGGCGTGACTGCCCCCCACGACCAACTGTGAGGAATCCAGGAGATGCTGGGTTGCCCAGCTACTGATTGAAGGTTCGGACCCACATCTGGTTCCAGAGCCACCTCTGTCCTCCCACCCCACCCTCTGTTCCTGCCCAGGGGGGTGGCTCACAGCCCCTCGCAGTGCCCTCCCGGTGGTGGAGTGGAGACCGGAAATGATACAGCTATACAGGGACATCCAGGAAACAGATTAGAGAGTGGCGGGGGGGGGGGGGGGGGGGAGGAAAAAAAGTCCTGGGGCCAGAGCGATAGTACAGCGGGAGCGGCGTTTGCCTTGCACACAGCTGACTCAGGTTCAGGGCCCGGCATCCCATATGGTCCCCTGAGCACCGCCAGGATTCCTGAGTGCAGTGCCAGGAGTAACCCCTGAGCATTGCCAGTGTGACCCGAAAAGAAAAAAAAAAAATCCTGAGAAAGGGCCCACAACACACAGTGAAAGTCATCCAAAGAAACACTGAGGAGCTGGGGAGCCGACTTCAGCCAAGAAGCACGTCTCTGGCCTTTGAGACCCTGGCCTGGGTCCGATCCCTGACACAACATACGAAGATGCTGAGCAACTTCCTGTGTGTCAAGGCACTTGGGAGGCAGTGGCACCTGTGGCCATTCACCAGCGTTGGTGGGATGTTTCCTCAGGGCTGAGATCTCTCTGGACCTGGGAGCTGCCCATTTCCACCCAGGCCTGAGGTTCCACTCTCCTTGAAAAATGGCAGGTGGCAGCACCTGGGCCCCCCACTGTGACCTGGGACAACAAGCCGGAGTCCATGAACTGACCTTTGGGGATATCGTACTCCAGGGAATCCAGGAAATCCAGAGAGGGGTCCAGGTCGGCCTTCTCCAGCAGGGTCTTGTTCTTCAGTTCGATGGGTTCCCGGAAGTGGAAGTAGGAACTGAGCTTCTTGGCTTCTGACAAGGAGAGTCCTGGAGAAGCGGGCGGGGGAGGGGGCAGACAGGGAGCCTCAGATGCCCACCCCCATCCCACGGTACCCACTCTGTGCTCAGGAGAGGAGCTCGGAAAGGGCACAGGCAGCAGCAGAGAAGAGGGACGTGGATTTCCCTGGGCCCAAACCACCAGCGTTTGCATGCACGGCGGTCAGGAGAAGTGGGCGGGGGATCGTGAGTCCACCAGACCTATGCAAAGCCCAAACACCATCCCACCCCTCGGACAGAAGAGCTCAGGGACTTGTAGCCAGTGCCAGCCACCACGCCAGGCCACGGGACACAGCCTTCCAAGCGAGGTGACAGGCGCTGTTTCTTCTGCACGTATTTCTTTTGGCCTGGTGGGCTACACCAGATGGTGCTCAGGGGAGCCTCCTGGTGCCCGGGATCAGGACCAGGCCTCCCGCACTCTTGACTCTCGGTGCCGCCTTCCTGGCCCTCCAAGGGAAGGGGCAGTCCTGTCCTGGAGAGGGACCCCAGAGAACTCACCCTCAAAGGTCCGATTGACATGGACGGGTCCCAGAGGGGTCTTAAAGAGCGCGCCGCGCGGAGTGATCGCCACCTCCTTGTCAATCTGGTCGATGACAGTCACCAAGCGGGTCTCTTCCTTCACCTGGACCTGGGAACACGGAACACGAGCCCCGCTGGAAGCTGGGCCCTCAGAGAGCCCACCGCCGCTGCCCGCCCGGGCTCTGCACTGTGAGGCACTGCCCAGGAGAGCCCCAACCTCTGCCCCGCCAGTCACAGCATCCTTAAGGGTTGGGAGGGCTATCTCCGTGGCCGAGCGATACTCTGCATGCAGGAATGCGTCGAGGTGTGATCCTGGCATCGCAGGGGTCCCCCAGCAAGGGCTTCCCCTAACCTCTCTCAAGGGACACAACCTCACGGGGGACTCCCAGAGGGCTGCCCCCACTCTTCACGCTGTATTCACTTATTTTGCTTTTAAGTACATATTTAATATATATATTTATATATACAAGGTGAGAGGGGTGGAGGAATTAAACTCAGGTCAGCAGTGTGGGCTGCATGCAAGGCAAACGCCCTACCCGCTGTGCTACCGAGAGTATCTCGCCTGCACGGCAAAGCCTGGTAAGCTACCCATGATGTATTTGATATGTCAAACACAGTAACAACAAGTCTCATGATGCAGACGTTACTGGGCCCGCTCAAACAAATCGATGAACAACGGGAGGGCAGTGCTACTAATATAAGCAGGTGAGAGCGATAGTACAGTGGTGACAGTAATTGCCTTAAACGTGGCTGACCCGGGTTCGATCCCCAGCACCACATATGACACCTGTGCACCACCAGGAGTGAACCCTGAGCAGAGCAGAAGTGAGTCCTAAGCACTGGGTGTGACCAAAAGAAGAGAAAAAATATAAAAATCAATCAAGCCTGGATCTGGAGCAGGAGTACAGCAGGTAGGAAAAAGAATCACTTAGAAAAAGAAAGAGGTGAAGACCGGGTAGTACAGGGGGGAGGGTGCTCACCTAGCATGTAGAGACCTGGGTCTGAAACCTGACCCCCCAATATGCCCTCCAACTCCAACGCCCCTCCTACCCCCAGCCCTGCCAGGAGTGATCACTGAGTGCAGAGCCGGGAGAAACCCCTGAGCATCACCAGGGGTGGCCCCAAAAGCAAAGTTAATATTTAAGGGCTGGGGAGAGAGCACAAAGGGCCAAAGAACGTGCTTTACACATAGAAGGGTCAGGTTCTGTCTGAGTACCAAAAGGAGCGACCTCACACAGTACACTGGGCATAGCCCCTACGCACCTCAGAATGTAGCCCCCACTTTGTAAAAATTTTTTTATTAGTGAAACACCATGAGGTACAGTTGTAGACATAAATTTATGTGCTGGAGGTTCAGTTATACAATGATTGAGTACCCATCCCTCCACCAGTAGCCATTCCCCACCTCCAATTTTTAAAGTGAATTTATATATATATGGGCTGGAGCAATAGCACAGCGGTAGGGCGTTTGCCTTACAAGCGGCCAACATGGCCGACCCGAGTTCGATTCCTCCGCCCCTCTCGGAGAGCCCGGCAAGCTACCGAGAGTATTCCATATGCCAGACACAGTAACAACAAAGTCTCCAATGGAGACGTTACTGGGCCCGCTCGAGCAAATCGACGATCAACGGGAGGGCCTTTACCATATATATATATATATATATATATATATATATATATATATATATGGTAAAGCTGTGCTATCACTCCAGCCAGCACAGCGGGTAGGGCGTTCGCCTTACAAGCGGCCAACATGGCCGACCCGAGTTCGATTCCTCCGCCCCTCTTGGAGAGCCCGGCAAGCTACCGAGAGTATTCGATATGCCAGACACAGTAACAACAAAGTCTCCAATGGAGACGTTACTGGGCCCGCTCGAGCAAATATATATATATATATATATATATATGACTTACAAATCTTTGTGCTTGGGGTGGGATGGGGGGATGGGGTGTGGGAGGGATACTGGGATCCGTGGTGGTGGGAAATGGGCACTGGTGGAGGGATCATTTTATAATTGAATATTTGATCATTGTATAATTGAAACCCTAGCCCCCTCTTTAAACCAAAGACAGGGAGAACAGGAAGTGAGCATCTACTAAAGTTGGTATTTTCACATTTTTGTGTATAAGCACTTGACACTATAGATATTTGAAGCAGAGACATGTATTTTTATATTCGTTATTTGTCTCTTCATTCATTTGGTCTTTGGGCAACACCCGGCAGTGCTCAGGGCTTACTCCCATCTCTACACTCAGGGAGACCCTAGAGGATGCCGGGGAATGAACCCGGGTCAGCTGTATGCAAGGCAAAAGCTGTACTATTGCTCCGGCTCCTGAGCCACAATGACTTGTAAGGAAACCAGGTCTTCGAGGAACCTGGTTTCAGTCTATGTCAGCTGGGAGTCTCATGAGCCTGATAAGGAAACGGGGCTGGGGTAACACCTCCCCAGAATGGAGCATACACTTTGCCTGGGAGAGCCCCGGGGTTGGTCGCCAGCAATGCACTGTGTCCCAAGCATGGCGAAGAGTTCTTGGAAGTGATTTGAATTCAGTGATGTTCCTGGAGAGTTTGCAGTTTATTCAAATCCCTGGGGCTGCTGTGAAGAGCCTCAGGCCCCCTGAGAGGCTGCTGCATTTCTGGCTCCTGGGGCATTGTGATGCTTTGTATCTAGAATGCACTTGAGTACCAAGATGTGAAACTCCATCACTATGTGTGTGCAAAATTGTAACATTAGCGTTCTCTCAGAAAGAAGCCCTGGATACAGAGGGACAGCTGAGGTGACTTGACCAGGGATGAGGGGAATGTTATACCCTTGAATACCTTTGAACTTTGACCCATGTGGCAGTATTATTTAATAAGACTAGCACTTATCACAAAGAACATAAGCACCATGGAGATGGGCCAGAGTAATAGTACAGCGGGTCAGCACTCGGCTTATATGTTGCTGACTCTGGTTTGGTCCCCATCATCGTGTACAGTCCCCAGAGCCCTGCCAGTGCCCAGAGTACATCCTGCACACTGCCAGGTGCGACCCCAAATACCATGGAGGAAACAGCAGAGTGGGTAGGGGGGACCCTGGGACACTGGTGAAGGATGTGATGGTGGAACAAAGTATTCCTGAAACTCTGTCAGAAACAGTGATATAAATCATGGTACCTACATGAAAATGAAAAAGAAAGTTCTGGGAATCCTCAGGGATTTTTTCCAAATGACTCCTTTTTATTTTTTTGGGGCGGGGGCATGTCTGGTGATGCTCAGGGCTTACTCCTTACTCTGCACTCAGGGATCACTCCTAGAGGTGTTCAGGGGACATATGGGATTTTGGGAATTGAACCTTGGGTTGGCCACCTGAAAGGCAAATGCCTGAGGTCTGGCTGGAGCGATAGTACAGTGGGTAGGGCATTTGCCTTGCACGTGAACGACCCAGGTTCGGTCCCTGGCATCTCATAGGATCCCACGAGCACCTCCAGAAGTGATTCCTGAGTGCAGAGTCAGAGTAACCCCTGAGCATCGCCATGTGTGACCCCACCCCAATAAATAAAAGGCAAATGTCCTACCCGCTGTACTATTGCTCCAGCCCAAATATAAATATATATATATATATATATATTTGCTTTTTGGGTCACACCCAGAGATGCACAGGAGTTACTCCTGGTTCATGCACTCAGGAAACTCAGGAATTACTCCTGGCGGTGCTCAGGGGACCATATGGGATGCTGGGAATCAAACCTAGGTTGGCTGCGTGCAAGGCAAATGCCCTACCCGCTGTGCTATTCCTCCAGCTCCCCCAATTTTATATTTTAAAAATACCATTAGACATGGGCTGGAGCGATAGCACAGCGAGTAGGGCATTTGCCTTGCCATATAGCTGACCCAGGTTCGATTCCTCCGCCCCTCTCGGAAAGCCCAGCAAGCTACCGAGAGTATCCCACCCACACAGCAGAGCCTGGAAAGCTCCCCTTGACATATTGATATGCCAAAAACAGTAACAACAAGTCTCACAATGGAGACATTACTGGGCCCACTCAAGCAAACCTATGAACAACAGGAGGACAGTGCTACTGTGTTACCATTAGACGTGTGTTCTTAGAATAATAATGTATGAGCACAGAGCTACATCCACACACGTTGTGCTCAGATGTAAGACCCTGTGCATGTGCCCACCGTATGGTCAGGGTCTCCCCTTGCCACTCTAGAGCTGCCTATGGTGCCCCCTCTACTTCCCACCCTGTCCCCCAGGAACTATGTAACGTGGGGCCAGTCACTCCCTCCCTTGAAGCTGCACCCCTCTCTCCTATTCCACCGGGCAAACGAAGTGCCCAGTCATAGCACTGTGAGGGTGTGGGATGACGGAGCCGCAGGAGCGCCATGCCCCCTCGCCCACCTGCCAGGGAGGAGGTAACCTCGCACTTGCCGCCATCGTTCCTACCTGGCTGGGTTTGGGGTGCCCAGCTCCGCCTCCCCCATCTCCACTCACCACCACTTCTTCTTCAAAGACCTTATCGCCCTCTCTGATCTTCTGCATCTCAGTGTGTTCATACTCATGCGAGGGGTCCCCCATGAAGCGGCCCTTCACCATGGCTGTCTGCTGGGCCATCTCCTCTGTGGCGGGGGGCAAAAGGCTCCACTCCATGCAGTTCAGGCTGCCAACAACACCCACATCACCCACTGCATCCGCACCCACATTCCCCCCTCCCTCTGCCTTCCAGCTGCCTCCACTGTAGGGGGTCATGCCTTTTCCTCTTGGAAGCACTTGGCAGCTGTGCCCAGACCACCCCCCGCCCCCCGTCATGCGACTTTATTCACAAGGTTTTTTTTTTTGTCATTACCACATCTGGCTATTGAACACGTGTTGTGGTGCCAGGGAGCAGGAAGCATTGTCCTCGGCTTGTGACAGAGCTGGACACCAAATGCATGACCTCAGACCGGCAAGACAGGGGCTCTACTCATGAGCCACATCAGGGGTCCTCATTTTTGTTCTCCTTTTATTATAACTTTGCTTCGTTTTGTTTTGGGGTCATACCTGGCTGTGCTCAGGGTTTACCCCTGGCTCTTTGCTCAGAAATCACTCCTGGCAGTGCTCAGGGAACCTTTTGTGATGTTGAGGACTGAATCCAGTGCACGTAAGCAAGTGCTTTACCTGTCGTACTATCTCCATCCCCTGTTCTACTTTTAACACATCTTGCAGTGATAACTGGGTTACAGGAGGTCTTCCTCCCTCGGGGGTGAATAATATGGAGGCAGAGGTCTAACCTCTGGTTTACAGGAGGCATTCAATCAATGTGAATTGATACACAGATACAGATTAATGGAGTCTCCAACTCCATTGGCGAGTACAGACTATTTTGTAAACCCTCCATTATCACTGAAGGGGATGTAATAAGGGGGGAAATGATGGAGTGATCCTACACAGTATCATCCAGGGAAATTCCCCCATTTCTGTATTTCCTCTCTCCTATTCCAGATTTGTCTACGTCTTCCCAGAGCTCCTGCTGGCAAGGGATGGAGCCAGCACCTTGGCCTGAAATCCAAACTGAGCTCTTCAGAGAGTGGGCCTGAGTGGTAGTACCAGTGGTAGTACTGGTAGGGCACTTACTTTGCCAACCCAGATTCAATCCTTGGCACCCCATATGGTCCCCTGATGCACCAGGAGTGACCCCTGAACATTACAGGGTATGGCTTCCCCAAACCAAAGAAAACATGAGGACATCTGGAGAGATAGTACAGAGGGTAAGGCACTTACCTTTCACTTGGCTGACCAGGGTTCAATTTCTGGTACCACATAGGGGCCCAAAAGTACTGCCAGGAGTGATGTCTGAGCACAGAGCCAGGAATAAACCCTTAGCACTGTCGGGTTTGGCAAAAAAAAAAAAATCCAAACGACATTTATGGGGCTAGAGCATTATTATACTGCTAGGGTTCTTTCCTTGCACTTGCATAGCTGGGTTTAATTACAGGCACTCCATATGGTCCCCTGAGCCCTGCCAGGAGTGATCCCTGAATGCAGAGCCAGGAATAAGCCCTGTGCACAGCCAAGTGTTGCCCCCACCCCACCCCTGCATAAAGTGTGAGGCCCCGGAGGGATAAGACAGTGGGTAATGCACTTGCTCACACACAACTGCCCCAGTTTCCATCCTCGGCAGCCTATATCGTCCCCAGAGCACCGTCAGGTGTGATCCCTGAGCGTAGAGCCAGGAATAAGCTCTGAGCAAAACATAGTGTGACCCGAAAACAAGAGTATGGATTCCAGAGATAGTTCAAGGGGGAGATGCGGTTGATCAGATCTGCACCAATATCGTATGGTCCCTTCGAACACCGCCAGGAGAGTCCTCACTGCGGACAGGAATAGTCCCTGAGCACCGCTGGGTGTGGCCCTCAACCCCAAAACAACAGACAGCCAGTCCGCCCTCCATGCATTCTGGAACTTTCACCCTGGTCCAACAGTACCAGGACCTCTACTATAAATCCACCCGCTATTTCTCCTGCTACCAATTCGACTACAAGCCCCGCCCACCCATCCGCGGGGCCCACCCACAGCAATGCCCCGAGCCACCCTCCCCGCCCCTTCCCCGCCCATCAAAGGGCGGAGGTCCAACCGCATCAACGCGTACTCCCAGACCCCGCCCCACCCCCGCATGCCCCGCCCACCCAGTGGCGGAGGTCCAACCACATCAACGCGGACTCCCAGACCCCGCCCCATCCCCGCCTGCCCCGCCCACCCAGTGGCGGAGGGCCAACCGCATCAACGCGGACTCCCAGGACACGCCCCCATCCTCGCCTGCCCCGCCCACCCAGTGGCGGAGGTCCAACCGCATCAACGCGGACTCCCAGACCCCGCCCCACCCCCGCATGCCCCGCCCACCCAGTGGCGGAGGTCCAACCACATCAACGCGGACTCCCAGACCCCGCCCCATCCCCGCCTTCCCCGCCCACCCAGTGGCGGAGGTCCAACCACATCAACGCGGACTCCCAGACCCCGCCCCATCCCCGCCTGCCCCGCCCACCCAGTGGCGGAGGTCCAACCACATCAACGCGGACTCCCAGACCCCGCCCCATCCCCGCCTTCCCCGCCCACCCAGTGGCGGAGGTCCAACCACATCAACGCGGACTCCCAGACCCCGCCCCATCCCCGCCTGCCCCGCCCACCCAGTGGCGGAGGGCCAACCGCATCAACGCGGACTCCCAGGACACGCCCCCATCCTCGCCTGCCCCGCCCACCCAGTGGCGGAGGTCCAACCGCATCAACGCGGACTCCCAGGACACGCCCGCAGCCCAGCCGGTGGGCTTCACCCCTTTCGAGACCTCCACGCGCGGACCCCTCTGCCCCAGCGAGCCTCCGGAGGCCGCCGCCCGCCCCGGCGCCAATCCCCACCTGTACAGCGTCTTGCGCGGGGCGAGCTGGTCGGCGCTCAGGCCCTGGGCGATGTAGTAGTCGGCGACGATGCCGAGGATGCGGCCCCAGAAGAGGACCCGATCGTAGCGATAATCGCGTTTAACCAGCTGGAGGGAAGTGAGCAGCGAGGCTCGGCGATCCGGGCTGAGACCCTGCCCGCTGCCGGACGCCAGCTCCAGCGACAGCAGAAGGCTCTCGGCGTCCATGGTGCCCGCGGCCCTGCTCAACGCCTCCGGTTGCTAGGAGACGCGGTCTCCAAGGAGACAGAAGCCCCACCCCCACCGGGCGGGAAGCTGGAGCCGGCTTTGCTCCTCTGTCCCGCCCGGCGCTCTCGGTCCTGCTCTTCTCAGAGCCTGGGCATTTCCCCCAGTCGGAGACAGCTTGTCACGGCAGGAGTGGTTTCCCCTCACACAGGTAGGCGCCGGCGGTCGCTGGCAGGTCCCCATCCGGTCCAGGTCCGCCCTCCCACACTGCCGGCGTGTACTGAGCTTGGCAAGGACAATAAACCTGTGACACTACCCGGACTCACTTCTACCCCGACTCACTTCTGTCACGTCCCTTCCGGGCTTAGAATTGTTGAAAAGGAGGCCGGAACCATAGTCCAGCAGATAGGGCGCTTGCCTTGCACGCGGCAGCCCCAGGGTCCATCCTCGACATCCCCCATGGGCCCCTGAGCTCCACCAGGAGTGATCCCTAAGTACAGAGTCAGTAGTAAACCCCAAGTACCACCTGGCTGGCCTCAAAACAAAACAGAAAGAATTGTGGGAAGAGTTTGAGAGGTTCTTAAATTAGACAGCTGCCCCCCACACACACCATGCACACACAATCAGATCTTGTAGAATGAGGGGGGTCTCTGTTCTTTTTTTGGGGGGAGGGATTCTTGGGAACAGTGCTCAGGTAATTACACAAAGTTGGCATTGAAAGAATGTCTGTGAGCAAGGCCAGCACCTTACCTTCTGTACCATCTCTCCAGGCTGAGGGGGGCCAGCACCATCTCTCCAGCTGCTGATGGTTCAGTGCGTTCTCAGATGTCTCCTTACCTACCCATTCCATAGGGTTAGTACACATAAATGGAGACAGGTACTAGGGCAAGTCATGTGACAACAGGAAAAGTGAGTGTAAAGAGTGATACAAAAAGGTGATATTTGGGGCCGGAGTGGTAGTACAGGGGGTTGGGCATCTGCCTTGCACTGGGCAGACCGGGGTTCAATCGCTGCCATCCCATAGGGCAGAGCTAGGAGTAAGACCTGATTGCTAGGTGTGGCCTAAAAAGCCAAAACAACAACAACAAAAAAAAAGGGATATTTAAAGGTCACTTTCTGGGTCAGGAGCACAGTGGGTAGGGCGCTTGCTTTGCACATAGCTGACCCAGGTTTGATCTGCAGTACCACACATGGTTCTCGGAGCCCTCCAAGTGTGATCCCTGAGCACAGAACCAGGAGTAAACCTATGAGAGCTGCCAGGTAGCACTGTCCACTGTCCTCCTGTTGTTCATCGATTTGCTCGAGCGGGTCCAGTAACGTCTCCATTGTGAGACTTTACTGTTGTTACTGTGTTTGACATATAGAATATGTCACGGGTAGCTTGCCAGGCTTTACATTGTGGGCGAGATACTCTCAGTAGCTTGCCGGGCTCTCTGAGAGGGGCGGAGGAATCAAACCTAGAATGAGTTGGTCGCATGCAAGGCTAACGCCCTACCACTGTGCTATCGCTCCAGGTGTAGCCTCAAAACAAAGAAACAAAAACAAAAAAAGAGATCACTTTCTAGGTATAAAGAAAGTAAAACGAGGATTGGAATGATAGCACAGCGGGTAGGACGTTTGCCTTGCATGCGACCAACTCGCTCCGGGTTTGATTCCTCTGCCCCTCTCAGAGAGGTTTGATTGCCAGCATCCCATTTGGTCCCCTGAACACCGCCAGGAGTAATTCCTGAATGCAAAGCAAGGAGTAACCCCTGAGCATTGCCAGGTGTGGCCCAAAAAGAAAAAAAAAAGTAAAACGATACAAAAATGGCAAATAATGAGACCTTGAGAGTCAACTTGAGTCTGAGAGTCAAGTTGAATTTCCTAAGTCGGAGGGGGGACCTTGAGACAAAGTAAGAAGACTTTGATACTACTGTGCTGGGTGTGGCAACTTTGTATTCTTGAAACATGTCCATTACTGCTAACATGGTAAATCACAGTGAACTAGCCTGTAAATGAAAAAAGTAAAAATAAATCCAGGCCAGGGTGTTGCTGGGAGGACCTGGGTTCCAGCCCTGGCACCACAAAGATCACTTTCCCATCAGCTATCACCAACACTGCCCTTCCTTGGAGGCATGTTACTTTCAAGTCCAGACCAGAGAGTACCAGCAAATAAACATCACTCCCTGGATAGAGGCTGCTCCTCAACTCCCCCTTGGGAGTCCATGGCTAAGCCTCAGCAAGTCTGTTGTCAGGGAAGATGGGCTTTGTTAATATTGTGACTAATCTTTTAATTTCTGGATTCCTGGGGAGAGGACTCATGAGCTCAGAATGATATGGGCCTCCATGCAAAGTCATCAGGGAAGTGTCTAAATGACGCAGATAATTACTTTGTTTCAGCTGTCTAGGCATTGTTTATGGAGGCCTTTAACTTTACTATTTGTGGGAAGCTGACTTGGCTTACAGTATCTTCCATCTGAAAAGTGTATCAAAGCCCCACTCCCTTGGGTTAGGTATGTAGCTTCATGGTAGAAAGCACTTGCCTTGCAGGTGTGAGGGCTGGGTTTTGCAATCCCTGACACCACAGAAAAACAAAACACTCCCTACCTTTTTGGCCCACTTGTCAGCAGGGAGCTAATTTAAAGGTTGGAGCACATGCTTTGCATGCAGGATCCCTGGATTCAACCCCTGGCACCACATGTTCTCCCAAGCATCTGGAGAGTGATCTCCCCACGCCCAGCAGTGTGACCACCCAAAAGACAGAAAGTCAAAATTCTAGCTGAAATAATATGGTTAAGATAATTTAGATCAGGGCTGGAGCGATAGCAGTAAGTAGGGTGTTTGCCTTGCATGCAGCCAACCGGGGTTCGATTCCCAGCATCCCATATGGTCCCCCGAGCACCGCCAGGAGTAATTTCTGAGTGCATGAGCCAGGAATAACCCCTGTGCATCGCCGGGTGTGACCCAAAAAGCAAAAAAAAAAAAAAAAGATAATTTAAATTTTTTATTTTCATTTATTCCTTTAGCTAGTGGTGAAATTTTCTCTCTCATGTTCCCTGGCCACCCATCACCTTCTATAGGGCAAATCTTAATTATTTCAGAGTGAAACCACAAGGGATAGGAAGTTCTACCGTGTTGGAGCTGGAGTGATCATACAGTGGGTAGGGCGTTTGCCTTGCATGTGGCTGACCTGGATTTGATCCCTAGCACTCCCATGTGGTCCCAAGCTCTGCCCAGGAGTGGTGCCTGAGCACAGAGCCGACGACGAGTAAGCCCTGACACCACCAGGTGTGACCCAAGGACAAAAAGATAAAGGAAAGCTGTACAGCATAAAGCACGAAGGCTCCAGAGTCATGAAGACCACATTTGAATGTGTTTCACCAGTTAATTCAAGCCAGTCCATTTTCCCCAAGCCTCATTTATAAAAAATAAGGATGGAATTACAACATAATATAAAATAGAAACTATTTTGTTTTCAAAAAAAGCTTCCCAATGACACAAAAAAAATAGGATATATTGTCACTATGTAGACTCCTATCTCCAGCCTGAGTGGATTATGCCTTCAAATTGCTTCCAAGAAATGAGCAGGTTTTCTCCAGGAAAAGAGCATCAATAAGGGGCCAGAGAGAGAGTACAGTGGGTAGGGAGCTTGTTTTGCATGCAGCTGACCCAGGTTTGATCTCCAGCACCACATATGGTCCTCTGAGTACCACCAGGAGCGGTTCCTGAGTGCAGAACTGGGAATAAGCCCTGAGCATCACCAGGTGTGTGTCCCCCCCATCCCCCCCCCAAAAAAAGAACATTATTTAAGACAGCAGCATGACTGTGAGTCTAAGAGCACACACTGGCATGGCCTCGCCAGCAATGAGCTGAGAGGAACTGCCACAGGCAGGAGGGCAATGCTGGCAGGGCCGTGAGCTGCCAGCACAGTGCAGTGGAAAGAGGCTGGGCAAACTTGAGACAATGAGATACTTGGCCTCAGGGAGCTGATAGCACTGGACACCGCTGGGGCCTCAACTCAGGCTCTGCAAAGACTGTCTTCTCTTCTCAGCCCCGTCTATAAACCCCTTCTTCAGAGTGGCCTCTGCTTTGGGCAAACATCAGAAGGTGCCAAGGACAGAGAATGCCATGCTAGGAGTTAACGGATAAGGACTTCAATCCCTACTGCACTATCAAAACTCTTCTAGAGCTTGGGACCAGAGCAATAATCTAGTGGGTAGGGTATTGCCTTGCGCACAGAAGACCCAGATTCGATCCTCAGCACCCCATAAGGTTTCCTCAAGCCCCTCCAGGAGTGATCCCTGAGTGCAGAGCTAGGAGTAAGTCCCAAGTATTGATGGGCGTGGCACAGAATACCAGGTAGGGGCCAGAGAGATAGCACAGCGGGAAGGGCCTTTGCCTTGCATGTTGCTGACCCAGGTTCAATCCTCAGCATCCCATATGGTTCCTGAGTACTCCCATAATTCCTGAGTGCAGAGCCAGGAGTAACCCCTGAGCATCACTGGGTGTGGCTCAAAACTGAAACAAGCCAAAGAAAAACCAAAGAACAAAGACTTGGCCAAGTCACTTCACTTCCCAGAATGGCCTGGGGCAGCTTAAAAGAATTATTAAAATTTCTGGTAGGCTGGGGGTTTTCTCAAGGAATAAACCATTAATTCCTGCATTTGGTGGCTTTACTCCACCCCCAGGGCTGTGGGTGTGGCCCCTGAGCATGGCACCAGAAAGCTGCACTGTCTGCATCCAACCCCAGCACCACTGCATTTGATTCATTTTTATTATTTTTGTTTGGGGGGGCCTTAGGGGTCACACCTGATAGTGCTCAGGTGTTCTTCCTGGCTCTATGCTCAGGGGTCACTGCTGGTAGTACCGAAGAGACCCCATATACAGTGGCAAGGATCAAATCAGGCCACATGCAAGGCAAGTGCCTTAACTACTGTACTGTTTCTCTGCACCCTCTCCTTTTTGGCGGGAGGGGGCCCTCACCATACTCTGCTCCAGGCTTACTCCCGGCTGAGATCTGGGATCACTCCTGATAGGGCTCAGGGGACCTTATGCAGTGCTGCGGATAGAACCCAGGCTGATCGTGTACAAGGAGAGCCCATAATATGCCGTACTATCCTCCAGCCCGTACGGCATCTATTTCCATTTTGCTGTTTTTGGGGTTAAACTCAGTTGTGCACAGGGCTTACTCCTGGCTCTGTGCTCAAGGATCGTTCCTGGTGGGGTTCGAGGCACCATATGGGGTCTGGGGATCGAACCCAAGCCTGCCACGTACAAGGCAAATGCTGTACCTTCTCTGGCCCGACAGTTGCTGTTTTTCCCCAGAATTCTTCAAAGCCCTGACTCATAACTGGCCAAGAAAGACAAAATACTCAGCTTCCAGTCTGAAGTCCTTGTTTTTTTAAAAAGCTAAGGATTTGGGGAAATTTTAATAAAAATTCATTCATTTTATATTTCAGTTCATGAGTCATACCCACATCATAAACCTGGTTCAGAATCCTGAAAAGGCACAGCAAAGAGCAGAAAAGAGTCACTTCCCTAAGTGTGTCTACCCGTGAGCCCAGATTTGCTTTCCAAGCCCAAAGAGCAGTGCCTGGGCCGGCACCCACTGGGAAATTCCATCTCAGACTCTAAGAGCCGCTTGCAGTCCATGACGTCCCCCACCTGAAGGTCAGAGAGGACGCCTGAGCCCGAAGGCAGCAACTGAAGCAGGAGATGGAGAAGACTTGGTGCCAACACACAGGGGAGAAATAACTTAGCAATTGATTTCATGGTAAAAGCAGCAGCTTTCTTCATTCGTGGAAACCTTTCAGAGTCACCGGCGCCTGGAACCAAATGTAATCCTCCCACGCCGTGGCTGGAACGGAGGGGCGGCCGCAGGACAAGGTCACAGTCAGTTTGTGGCCCCGGCTGGGCACTCTGTAGTTGAGCTTGGGTCGGAACCAATCCTCTCCACAGTCGCGGTGGCCCAGGGCCATGACAGTGGTGCTCATAAGCGGAGGGGCCTGCAGCTCGCTGAAGGCATTAGCCAGGAAGATGGCTCGGAAGAGCCGGCGCAGACAGGCCGCGGTGCTCAGACTCTGGTCCATGCTGCTGGGGGCCAAGCAGGACAAGTCCAGCTCGTAGAACTCCTTGGGACTCAGGGCACTGCCTCCCAGGAGTATGAGCACTCGGGGCACTCGCGTCCGGGCAAAGAGCCCCTCCAGGTGGCTAAGGACGCTCTCCAGTTCCGTCAGGGTTTGCTGGCATCTCCTGCTGTTCGCCTCGGCACCAGCCCGAGATTTCTTCTTCACCGTGTCCTCTGCCTGAGAGGACAAACAGTGGTGAGAGGAGGCAAAGAGCAGAAGGCTAATGCCATCGCAAGAGCACTGCTGGGCTGAGGGAAACTCACAACACGGGAAATTCAGGGACAGTCTGGCCTTCCTCAGAGGGCAAGGGCACAGACGGAAAACATACACTCTTGGCGCAAAACCAAAATTCTCCCAAGCTGAGAAAAACAGACAGTGTTCTGCAGCCAGTATCCAGAGACATGCGAAAATATAAATATATTTTTTAACAGCCGTCAAGATTTGGCGAAATGACAGGTAGCAGGTGTTTGTCATGCTGGGAACGAGCAGAGGAATGAAGACACTCGGGTCTAACAAAGGTGATTCTGGAGAGCTGGGTCTTCTAACAGAACAGCAAACTGAGCACATGCTTACTTGTGGTCCCATCTGAAATACTTCTAAACAAAAGAAGGACAGGTAGGAGGGAGGAGAGAGAACTTGAGGATAAAGAAACGGAAAGCAGGGCCGGAGCGATAGTACAGCAGATAGGGCGTGTGTCTTGCAGACAGCTCACCCCAATTCAATCTCCAACACCCCACGTGGTTCTCCAAGCACTGACAGGAGTAATTCCTGAGTGCAGAGCCAGGAGTAACCCCTGAACATAGATAGTGAAGCCCAAACACTTATATATTATATATAATAATGTTATCTCCAGATATATAGTACAGAAATAGTACAGAGGATAAGGCACTTATCTTGAACCTGGCTGACCTGGAATCAATTCCTGGAACCCATATGGTCCCCCAAGCCCCACCAGGTGCGACCCCTGAGTCCAGAGCCAGGAGTAAGCCCTGAGCACTATGGCCCAAAAAGAAAATTGGAGAAAATACAGTAAAATGGGTCTGGAGAGATAGTACAGCAAGTAGGGTGCTTGCCTTATAAGCAGTGGATGTTGGCACCATATATGGACCCCCACAGGCCCTGCCAGGAGTAATCTCTGAGCACCGTTGGGCATGGTCCCCAAACAAAAACAAATGCAAGTTCTGTAATGAAAGGGTCAGTTTCTGGAAAGTTAAAGGCATTTCAGAAAAAGACAAAAGGGGCCGAAGTGATAGTACAACGGGGAGGCATTTGCCTTGCACACGGCTGACTCGGTTGTGATCTCCAGAATCCCATATGATCCCAAGTACCACCAGGGATAATTTCTGAGTGCAGAGCCAAGAGTAACCCCTGAACATTGCCAGATGTGACCCAAAAGACCAAAAAAAAAAAAAAAAAAAAAAAAGTAAAGAAACCCAGGAGCTGAAACACATTCCTTACAGCTGCTTAGGTTAACATGCAGGAGAAGATTTCTTAGATTTGATTTTTTTTCTTAAAAATAAAACAATCCCGAGGGCTGGAGCAATAGCACAGCGGGTAGGGCGTTTGACCCAAGTTCGATTCTCAGCATCCCATATGGTCCCCTGAGTACCACTAGGAGTAATTCCTGAGTGCAGAGCCAGGAGTAACCCCTGTGCACTGCCAGGTGTGACCCAAAAAGCAAAAAAAAAAAAAAAAAAAAAAAAAAAAAATCCCTCAGCATTTATTATCATGTTTATCATGTGGCAATAAGATAACAGAGATCAAAACAAGATGAACAAATGTTATAATACTACTTTCCCAAAAGAATCACCAAAGAAACACACTTGTGCCTTCTTAACAACTTCTCTTCACCAATCATTTCTAAGTGGAGACATTTTGGAGCAGAGTAACAGCATGAGCTTATGATCTGACCTAGTTGTTTCCCTGACTTGGTTTTGGAATCTCTTCTGCATATCTAACATGAGGTTCATATACTCAACAAAACCGTTGACACAGCTCTCCCGCTTCAAATTCACTTGCTCATAAAGCCACACCTGAATCTGCGATCAGTTTTGCAAGTATCTGAAGAGGAGGTGGATGGGCTACACTGTTACCTTCTGTTCTTCCTGGCCCTGCCCGGTGGTAAGCCTTGGTGGAAGTTCACAAAGACCTGACCTAAATTTCTTCAGGGCTTCGTATGCTTGTTTTTGTTTTTGTTTTTGTTTTTTTGTTAAACATCTAGCGATGCTCAGGGGTAACTCCTGGCTCAGTACTGAATTAATACTCCTGGCTGGAAGCCCATCTGGGATGCTGGGGATTGAACCGTAGTCGGCTGCACGCAAGGCAAACACCTACCCACTGTGCCATCTCTCAAGTCCCTGGACCTCGATTTCTCAGACGACTTTTCCCCACCTTTGGGGGTCTCGCCACCGACTTTCTCCCAAAGCCGGCCGCCTACCTGAGGGGTCGGCTTTCGGTAGAAGAACTTGAGCTGTTCGTATGGCAGCGGGAGTTGCTGGCGTTGGTACATGATATGCTTTAGGAGTTCACAAGTGAAGCGACAGCAGCCTTCCTGGCTCACAGGCCCGGGAAACACCACCGGCACCAAACAATCCCTGGGGCAGAAGTGTTCCAAGGGGGTGGGGGGCTCCTGGGCAGAAGCGGCGTCGAGTAGCTCGATCGTGGGGGCGCAGGTCTCCTCCGACTTCTCCTCGTACCACTCCGAGTCTGCAGGAGTCCAGAGGGATACGGAAGAGAAACGGGAAAGGGCCGAGTGAGTCCTCCCGGACTCGGGGCGGGCCCCTCCTCCTCGTCCTCCCGCGGTGGCGGGGAGGTGCCGGCTGTCACCGAAGCGGGCGGCGGGTCCGGCTCCGGGGCGGATGCGGGACAGGAGCTGAAAGGCGAGGGCCGAGCGGCCGCCACGGGGAAGGGGGCGACGCCGCGGGGCCCGGGGGATGGAGGAGGAGCCGCCGCCGCCGCCGCCGCCCGGCGCCGGGAAGAAGCAAGACGGAGACGGGGGTGGGGGGGGCGCGCGCGGCGGGGAGGAAACGGGCCTTACCGGGGACCGCGGCCGCGGCCAGCACCTCCGAGTCCGGAGCCGCCATCTGGGTCTCGTCCTCTCCGTCCTCCCGGTCCTCCTGCTGCCCCGCCCGGCTCCCGCTCCGGCGCCCCCTCCGTGCGGTTTGAATGGGCGCGCCGCGGGGCATCCTGGGAAGCCGAGCCTCACTTCCGGCGGGCCCGGGCAGGGCCGGAAGCGGCCGCCGCGCCGCCGCAGTGGAAGCCGGAGGCTCGGCTGGGCTGCAGACGGACCCCTCCGGGCTGACCCCGCGGCGTTCTCGGCCCCCCACCCTCACCCCCAGCCCCAGGGTGCCCGGGCTCTCCCCGCAGCCGGACGTGGTCCTCGCGCCTCTCTCCTAGCCCGCCTCCACCAGACCCCGCGCGCACCCTCCCGCGGACCGGACCCCTGTCCTAGGTCCTGGAAACGGCCGCGGGGGACTTCCCCGACCAACGGTGCAGCGTTAGGTGTTGAATTTTTTTTTTTTGCTTTTTAGGTCAAACCCGGCAATGCACAGGGATTACCCTGGCGGTGCTCAGGGTACCACATGGGATGCTGGGAATCGAACCCTGGTCGTCCGCGTGCAAGGCAAACGCCCTACCCGCCGTGCTATCGCTCCAGCCTCAGGCGTTGTTGAGTTTTACAACGGAGCTGGAGAGGCGCGAAGAACATTGTCGCCTAACCTCGGGTGGGAACGAGAGGTGGGCCCGGAGGAAATGTGCCCGCGAAACTGTGCCCTGTAGGATGCGTACGTGAGCGAAGAGAGGGTCCTCCAGGTCCCGGAGCCCTTGAGAGACAGGAGCATCCTCCAATGGAAGAATGAAAAGACGGACCGGGGAGAGCGCTCAAGGGCTGAGGATCTGTAAAGCATACACGAGCCCCAGAGTTCGCGGGCTCCTCTCACCGCCCCACCCGAGAAAGGAAGGGCGGGAGAAGAAATGAAAAGCGTACAGGTGATAGAGTTAAGGCAGCGGCGCCTAAGCAGGAACCAGCTCATGCCAAGGCTTTGCAAGCTAGTTGAAAGAGTTTAACTTGATCCTGTAGAGGAATTGGGGAGCTTTAACGGGTTTCAGTACTGGAGTGGCATAGCGTATATATAGTTTGCAAATTTAACCTCCCTACTGGCTGCAGTGTCAGGGTTAGATTACAGGGAGGATAAAAGGAGGCAGAGATACCAGTTACTGCTTAGCCACTGTAATTACCCAAGTGTATGGTAAAGAGGTTTTGAACCTCCTCTTCTGGGAGTCATATTGGGCTGGGAGAGAACTGGGAGACACTAGGAGGGAGCGCCAGTGCGCGTGACTGTTGATCCCAGGGAGAGAAAGAGGATAGGAGAATGCCAAGAAAGCACGCAGATGTTTTCTCTTCAGTCAATCCATGGCCAGTTGTGCCTTTCGATGAGAGGAACCGCTAAAGGAGGATTACATTCAGATTCGGTGGGGTGCAAACTTGGTGGTGCTCCAGGGACCATGAAGTTCCAGGAATGGAACCCAGGGCCTCATGCATGCAAGGCGAGTGCTTCACCACCTACTAACAGTACCTGCTCATAAATTGAGCTTTTGACAGACTGTTTTTGCCATTCTAGAGGAAAGTGAAGAGATACTTAGATACACCTGAAGAAACAGGCTCAGTTTTGAAAAATCATCAGCCCCCATCCAAAAAAGAAAATGATCAGCTTATGTACAAAACAGATATACACATGGGGATGAAGGGGTCAGAGAGAGTACAAGGGTTAGGAACTTGCTTTGCATGTGGCTGAGCCCAGTTTGATCCTTGGCACTGCATATAATCACCCACCCAGGAGGGATTCCTGAGCATAACCAGGTGTGGCTCTCAACACACGTGCTCCCCGAATATGAAGTAAAATATAAGAAAGTCAAGAATCAGATCCGTGTAAATGCAGATCTCATGTAAATGCAGTAGGAAGGAGGGTGACTTGTCAAATCAAACAACTACAGACATCTCTCCACCCATTTAGAAGGAAAAATGAAATTACTTCCTACTACACAATCTATAATTGGGACAATTTTCAAGTGAATTAAAGAGCAAAACAAATAAAACTGAATGTAAAATAAGCGTCAAAACTCAGAAGAGAAATACAGGAAAATAATTTATAATCAAGAAGTGAAATTTGGCCTAGGCATGATATAAAATGAAGACCGTAGAAGCAAAAGATTGCTAACTTTAAGTTTAAAACATATGTCTCCCCCTCAAAAAACATGTCCCCCTTGGGCTGAAGATAGTACAGTGGATAAGGGCATGCAGACCACAGTGTCCAATCCCCAGCACCCTTTATGATCCCTTATGCTCCACCAGGAGTTATCCCTGAGCACAGAGTCAGGAGTAAACTCTGAGCACAGCTGATGTGGTCCCCAAATAAAAATCAATAAAGGTCTGTATCCCTGGGGGTTGGAGAAATAGTAGCAATGTCTTCCCGTTATTCATTGATTTGCTCGAGCAGACCCAGTAACATCCCCATTGTGAGACTTTGTTGTTACTGTTTTTGGCATATCAAATATGATACGGGTAGCTTGCCAGGCTTTGGCGTGCGGGCAAGATACTCTCAGTAGCCTGCTGGGCTCCCTGAGAAGGGCGAAGGAATCGAACTTGGGTTGGCCGGGTCAGCTGCATGCAAGGCAAACGCCCTACCCACTGTGCTATCGCTCCAGCCTGAGCATCACCAGGTGTGGCGCCAAGACCCCCAAAACAAACAAAAACAAAAAATATATGTATAACAAAATATATTTGTGTATGTGTGTGTTTGCACCCCTGAGCACAGGTAGGGTTGCCCCTAAGCATCAATGGGTGTGGCCCCCATTTTAAAAAATGTATGTAAAGATACTATACACAAAGAATAAATGACTAATAACATACCAGGAAAAGTGTGTTGTGTTGTGTGTACATGCCACAGCCAAGCACCTCATAAGTATCCCCTCCAGGAACTAAACACACACACACACAGCACCTTTCATCCACCAGCAGCCTCATCGCCTGGACAGACCGACTCCTCAGGCAGCCTTTACTTCTCCATGTGGTAAGCCAGGATGTGTAAGAATGGGCTATCAAAATGGGTTACCCCTTCTCCTTGCTTAAATGAAGTTCTCCCCTTAGGAGACAAGGGGGTTGGGATGGATGAAGTGAAATTGTGTGTATTGGGGTGGTTGAAAGATCTGTGAAGATGAGAGCACATGTTATCAGGTGAGTGCAGCAAGGCCCTCGTTATCAGGAGAACCCAGAGCTGATGGTGGGGAAAATGTTGGTGGAAAGATCTTAGCTCTTCCTCCCAAACTCCAGTTTCTCACTGGGTCTCACTGACTTCTTCAGTCTCAGTCTATAAGTAGCAGTTTCCCCACCAGGGTTGTGCCCCTGCTAGGGAGGCCGGCTGCAACATAACCTTCCTTCAGCTGAACAGGGTTGAGAAGAGACAAGTCACAGGTGTTTCAAAAGCACCGAAGACCCCACAACTGACTGGGTCCACGAGGTCCTTTTGCAGATTTTTCTTCTCCTGCTCCCCCTTCTTTTGGGGAGTGACGCTACCTGGACAGCGACATGAGCAGTAAACTGCCTCTCTGCTTGTGATCTTGGGGGCCATGGACTCCCCCAGGTCTGAACCCCTGAAAGAATCGCCAGAGGTAAGCCACTAATCGTCGTTTCTCGTTTTCCAAGGAGCAAGAAGGGTCTGGAGGGAAGCGTGGCTGTAGTTCTTGCCTTCGTGTTGCGTGAGCCGGTAGTTGTTTGTGAAGGGAGGGGAGTGGACATATGGCGAAGTGGTGAGTCAGGGAACAGCCACGAGGCTGGAACTTGCACCCCCAGCGTCCTGACTCCTGGTCGGATGACACTAACTGCTTCTCTGTCCTGCCTTTTTAGTATCCTGAAGACGGGTTGATGTTGCTAAATGTGTTTACTCTTTGCTAACTCCAAGAGCACAAAGAGTAAGAGAGGTGCCCGGGCAAGAGAGTCAAAAAGTCAGCAATTCCCCGGGGCCGGGGCCAAGTTTCTATTCCCGGCCACGGTCCCCGCCTTCGCAGCGGGTGACGTAACGGGAGCCCCAGCCCCGCCTACCGCCCCGGTGGTTTTAAAACCGAGCTCGGTTCTCCCTGATTGGTTCGGCTTCAAAACAAAGGGGAGGGGAAATGCTCGCGACTTGCATCCTCGTAGCCCACAGGCAGCAAGACTGGTTTATGGGTTCGGGCCTCGTGTCGGAGCCAACGCGGTGTCTCGGGCTGCTAAAACCAGCCCCCGGAGGGTGCCGGCCTGGTAATAAAGCAAGAGACTTACTCTGCAAAGGCGGCACAATAATCGCAACAATAACAGCCGTAATTAAGCCAACCACCATCCCGCCTCCGCCCTGGCATTTGCCTTGACTCATGCCAATGGCATGCCGGCCGTCGGGGAAGAAACTGAGGCAGGGGCGGAGCCAGCAGGCCGGAGGGGCCCTGGCTCCTGGAGTTGCCCTGAATTCTGCAGCTCTCCAGATCCAACCAAAAACGTGTTATTGCCAGGGATCGAGCAGAAGGACGGAATGGGGAGCGTCCACAAAGCTTGATTCTGGTGCCAGCTTTCTGCTTCCAGTGACTTATGCGCACCCCCCGCCCCCCAGATCGCGGGGTTTTAGAACTTCTGCCCGAGGCCCTTAGACCCACTCAGAGCGAGCCGCTGAAGAACTGGACTACATCTCCCTGGGCCTTTGCGCGCAAAGGCGCGCGCGTGGCCTAAGCCCGAAGCCGCCCGCGCCCCCGGCGCCGCGATGCCTCCTGGGAGTTGTAGTTCGGGCTCCATAGCTGCCGACGGAAGTCTCGGGCGTGAGGACTCCACGTCCCGTGGCGCCGCGCGGCTGCCTCTGACGCGCCCGGGGCCGGGGCGGGTGGGGGCGTGGCCTGCCAGGGCCCCACCCCGCTCCCCTCCGGCTGGCCCGACGCGGCGGTGGCAGTAGGGGCGGTGGCGGTGGCTGTAGCGGTGGCGGGGGGGAGGGGCCGGGCGGGGGGCTGGCGGCGGCGGCGGCGGATGGACTCGCGGGTCTCGGAGCTGTTCGGCGGCTGCTGCCGGCCCGGAGGGGGCCCTGCCGTGGGCGGAACCCTCAAAGCCAGGGGGGCCGGCGGCGGCAGCGGCTGCGGGGGCCCGAAGGGGAAGAAGAAGAACGGAAGGAACCGAGGGGGCAAAGCCAACAACCCCCCGTACCTGCCCCCCGAGGTGAGCAGCGGAGGCGGGGCGGAGTGAGAGGAGAGACCCTCCCGCTCCCGGGACGCCGGGAAGGCGGCGCCGAGAGTGCTCGGACCCCTTTCCGGCGCCGAGACCCCGGGAGAGACTCCCCCTTCCGGTCCCGGGACCCCGGGGAGAAGCAGCAGAGAGGCGGGACCCGCGCCCCCCGGCTACGCGCCCCGGTGGTGGTGGGGGCGGAGTGGGCTGAGAGAGACCCCCAGGGTCATCGCGATCCTCCCATGCCCCTCTCCCCTTGGAAGGAACAGGGTCGAAAGCCCCGATGCCCGTCCTGGAGTGAGGAAGGGGCAGTTTGCTGAACTTGTTTGGGAGGTAATGCCGGGACAACGGGAAAAGAGCCACATTCGGTCCCTGACCCTGAGTGCGCGCCTTGGGAGACAAACGCATACAACAACAGACACACACACACACACACACACACACACACACACACACACTCACGTCAGGCTTAGTCCTCCGCCCTTTGCCTGTCCAGGAGGAAGTGGGGACAGTTCTTCATATCACTCGGACACTCCCTAAGGCAGAGAATAGCTGCTACTTTGTATCTCCCTCCCGGGAAGGGACAGGAGTGGATCAGGGTCTGTCAGAGCAACCGTGTACCAGATTCACCTGGATTGCCATCCTAGCCCTAGACTTTCTCACTGAGTACCGCAGAAGTGTCCCGGGCAAACTGAGCTGCTTACAAGTTCCTGGGTGATGTTCATGCTCCTGGGCCAGGGACCAGACTTTGAGATCCATCAGTTCTGTGCCACTTTTTCTGAAGTTCTCCATCCTAATTCTTGCATCTCTAGAGAGTTGAGGGGGTTGGAGGAGTGGAGGCTGGATTGCTCCCAGCGTGTGATCTGCTGCTTCTGATTCTTCTCTGGGGTCACTCCTGGCGGGGCCCAAGGGACCGGATGTTGTGCCCGGGGTTAGAGCAAGTACCTTGGACTTTCTCCACTGTACAATTTCTCCAGCCCTGAGAAAAGTGATTTTTTTAAAGGAAGATAGTTGTTGGAGGGAAAAGGTTTCTCTTATATTCCATGAGATGAAGATTTTCTGGGAAGACCTTTGTGGCCTGGGAGCTGGAGGCCTGGAAGGGCTGGAATAAGGACAGGAAAGGACGTAGAAAGAGAATGGCTGGGCCAGAGCGGCCGAGCATGCAAATGTGCTGTGGCTGGCACCCAGGAGGGCAGGGATCAGGCAACAGGTTGCTTTGGTGTCGGGTCACCTGACAGAGGGAAGCAGTGGGGGAGATTGTGGGGTGCACTCAGCTGAGGGGAAGGGGGACAGGAGGCAAGTCACGGTGTGCTTGGCTTGAGGGGTGCAATTCCTTTAGTATCTGGCCTGCTCTTGGTATCAGCTCCAGCTTGGATGCCCTGCCCCTTGTCCCCTGGGCTGTCTCTTGCGGACCTTAGGGTGACCATTGGTTGACTCACCCCGTGGCCCTGGTCCAGAGCCCACGGCAGCCTCTTACTCTAGATGACATCAGCTGAGGGGAGCAGGGAGGAAGGAAATGGTGTTTCCCACCCAGATAACTAAAAGACCCCAGCAGCCTGGACACAGATGAGGCTTCGATTTTGAGGGCACCAGTTGGAGACCCTGGGGAGAAGGAAGGGGTGACCTTGCATCTAGGAAGAAGTTGCTGGCCAGCGCTCAAGCTGGCTATGTGCCCCAAAGGTCTTCACCCAAAATCTTCATCTCGTGGAATAGAAGAAAAACCTTTTCCCTCCATCAACCACCTTCCTTTCAAAAAGACGAGTGTGTGCACCCGGCGGCCCTTCTGAGGAGCCAGGGGGGCTGGGGTGAGGGCTGCTGCCTGGTCCTGGTGGGGGGTGTTGGTCTGCTGCTTTGGTGACAGCCCGGTTTCTTTACAGGCTGAAGATGGAAACATCGAATATAAAGTGAGTCTTGGACTGGGGAGGGGCAGGTTGCGCTGGAGGGCAGTGGGAGACGTCCCCAGGCGCCACAGGGCTGTTGGCTCAGAGTAAGGGCCCTGGACCTCACCTGGGAAACGGATACCCACATGGGGCCAGGCAGGAGGGGTCATGGCAGTGGAGGGGAAGATGCCCTGGGGGACTTGGGCACCGGCTCTGATCTTGCTCCCGCTGGCTCTGATCTGCTCCCGCCGTCCCCCCATAGCTGAAGCTGGTGAACCCGTCCCAGTACCGCTTCGAGCACCTGGTGACACAGATGAAGTGGCGGCTGCAGGAGGGCCGCGGTGAGGCCGTCTACCAGATCGGGGTGGAGGACAATGGGCTGCTGGTGGGGCTGGCCGAGGAGGAGATGCGGGCCTCCCTCAAGACCCTGCACCGGATGGCAGAGAAGTACGAGAGTCTCACTCAGGCCTCGGACCGGGCGCTGAAGGGGGGGCCCTGGCAGCCTTTGCATCCTTGCTCCTTGCTGTGGACCTTCCTTAGCTTTTTTTTTTTTTTTTTTGCTTTTTGGGTCACACCTGGCAATGCACAGGGGTTACTCCTGGCTCCATACTCAGGAATTACCCCTGGCGGTACTCAGGGGACCCTATGGGATGCTGGGAATTGAACCCGGGTCGGCCGCGTGCAAGGCAAATGCCCTACCCGCTGTGCTATTTATTGCTTCAGTCCCTGGACCTTAGCTTTTGAGGTAGTGCTGGTAGGGCAGTTGTGGGGGACTCCCAAGTTCAGGGGCTCGGGGTGATTCTGGTGATTCTCAGCCAACCAGGCTAGTGGTTCAGTGAAGGGGGCTCCAGGGCCACATCTGACAATACTGGGGGGGAGGGGGGACACATGTGATGCCAGATGGAACCAAGGTTGGGCATGCTTGTCACACCCCTAATGCTGTACCATCTCCCACCCCGGACCCTGGCTTTGTCTCTCTGGCCCATGGATGGGAGATAACATTGAGTGGGTGCCACGGCTGTGGGGTGGTGGTGACAGTGGGAGGTGACGTGAGGTGCTGGGAGCTGCGGGGTGAAGGCCACGGGCCCCGAGACATTTGGAGCTGGGGGGAAGAATGCAGGGCTGAAGTGGCAGCTGTGGCCTTGCCGTGACAGAGTCGGGGCAGACATCACTGTTCTCCGGGAGCGAGAGGTGGATTATGACAGCGACACGCCCCGGAAGATCACTGAGGTGCTGGTCCGAAAGGTCCCCGATAACCAACAGGTGAGCACCCCGGCATCCTGCCTCCCTGTCCCGCTCCCTCGGCCCCCGTCCCACCCGCCGTGGTGAGGGGAAGGAGGAGATGGGTTGCCCTGACCAGTGGCCGTTCACCTACAGTTCCTGGACCTCCGTGTGGCCGTCCTGGGGAACGTGGACTCTGGGAAGTCCACTCTGCTGGGCGTCCTGACCCAGGGAGAGCTGGACAATGGCCGGGGCCGGGCACGGCTCAACCTTTTCCGCCACCTGCACGAGATTCAGTCTGGCCGAACGTCCAGCATCAGCTTCGAGATCCTGGGCTTCAACAGCAAGGGCGAGGTGCATGCACTCCCCGGGACCCCGCGGGCCCGGCCCCAGGAGGGGCTGCGAGAGGCGAGGGGCTGTCCCGCAGGCCCTGCTCAGCTCCCCCTTCCCTAGAGAGCGGCGGGGTGTCAGCGGAAGCCCCTCAGCCATGGGGGTCCTGGGGTGAGAGGCGGGATCAATTCTGGACTGGTCGTGGGCCTGGCCGTGCTTCCAGGCTTGGGGGGCTTGGCCGGGGGCGCTGAGCACCCTGGGCTCTGGGCCAGGTGGTGAATTACAGCGACTCGCGGACGGCGGAAGAGATCTGCGAGGGCAGCTCCAAGATGATCACCTTCATCGACCTGGCCGGCCACCACAAGTACCTGCACACCACCATCTTCGGCCTCACGTCCTACTGCCCTGACTGCGCCCTGCTCCTCGTCAGCGCCAACACCGGCATCGGTATGCGTGCGTGGCGGGGGGCCGGGCCGGGCCCGCCCCAGACCTGGGCACCCAGTGCATGTGCCCCACCCACCCGCCTTCTCACGCTCTGTCCCCGCCACCCCTGTTCTTCCTTGGAGGCAGCCGGCACCACGCGGGAGCACCTGGGGCTGGCTCTGGCCCTCAAAGTACCCTTCTTCATCGTGGTCAGCAAGGTGGACCTGTGTGCCAGGAGCACCGTGGAGAGGACCGTCCGCCAGCTCGAGCGGGTCCTCAAGCAGCCTGGCTGCCACAAGGTCCCCATGCTGGTCACCTCCGAGGATGATGCCGTCACTGCTGCCCAGCAGTTTGCTCAGTCACCCAAGTAAGCCATCACTGGCCGGAGCCCTTGGCCGGGACAGCCCCTCCCCGCTCCCGGCCGCACCCACCACTCCACTTCTGACCCTGGAGCGCTGGGTGTCTGGGGGAGGCTCCCCCACCTCTGACCGGGATCCTGGCAGTGAGGGCAGGCGCCTCTCCCTTGGGTTTGGGGGTGGGGGGCCTAGCCCCCTGAGACACGCCCCTCTCCCTGCCCTGGCGCTTGTCTCTGCTTCCCATGGGAACTCTGCTCCTGTGCCCGCCTTTCCCCTCTGCAGTGTCACCCCCATCTTCACACTGTCCAGCGTGTCTGGAGAGAGTCTGGATCTGCTCAAAGTCTTTCTGAACATCCTCCCGCCGCTCACCAACAGTAAGGAGCAGGAGGAGCTCATGCAGCAGCTGACCGAATTCCAGGTATCCGGCCCCCTGTAGACCCCCGCCCCCGTGTCTGCCGCTCGCTCCGCTCAGCAGGACACTGACAGCCGTTTCTTTGGCTTCAGGTGGATGAGATCTACACAGTCCCAGAGGTGGGGACGGTTGTTGGAGGGACCCTTTCCAGGTGAATGGCCCTGCCTGCTCCCACCTTGCCCCAGAGAGGAGCCCCCCCAAGCACACAGGCAGCTCTCGCCCAAGGAGAGCCGGGAAGGAACAAACAGGATGGCTACTTCTGGGGAGTCTCGGAGTCCCCAGGCCCAAGGAAGAGACCTAGAGTCTTGTCAGCCCCCGGAAAGGGAGGTCCCTTCACGGTCCAGCATAGACAGTGGTGCCCCAGGGGCTCTGTGCCCTTGCCCTCGGGCTGCTAGCCCTCAGGGCCGCAATCTGCCTGGGGGCCTCCCCAACCTGCCAGACCCCACCAGGAAGGGAAGGGGGGCTGGGGGACCCTAGCAGAGGCGGCAGGCGAAGAGCCTCGACTGACGCTGTGCCACCTGCCCTCGGGACCACAGTGGGATCTGCCGAGAGGGGGACCAGCTGGTGGTGGGCCCCACGGATGACGGCCGCTTCCTGGAGCTGAGGGTCTGCAGCATCCAGCGGAACCGCTCTGCATGCCGGGTGTTGCGAGCCGGCCAGGCCGCCACGCTGGCCCTGGGGGACTTTGACCGGGCGCTGCTTCGCAAGGTGAGGCGGGAGGGCGGGCTGGAAACTGGTCCCCGGGACTCAGAAGTCTCTACCCCAAAAAGCTGGGTGCCCAGACTGATGGTGCGTGAAAGAAAGACTTAGAATTCTCAGGAAGCGCAGGCCGCTAACTAGGAACCACCCGGCGCCAACCAGAGGTTCCAGGGCTCCTAGGGTGCAATGCAGCAAAAGGCGGGAACACATCAAAGGGGCTCCCTCCAGGAGGAAAATTTCAAACTTGTTTTGGGGGGAGGGGAATCACACCCATGCTCAGAGGTCACTTGTGGTAGTACTCAAGGGACGCGCAGTGCCAAGGGTGGCCCCTGCACATAAAGCATGTGCCCCAGCCCTGGAGGCTGTCTTCCGTGGGGAGGGGGGGACATCGTGTTCAGATCTCTGGAGAAGTTTAAGAGCTGAGGAAGGTCTGGGGATGACCAACTAAGAGTCCTGTCCTGCCTGAGTCTGGGATTGCGCCTCCCCAGGGCATGGTGATGGTGAGTCCCGAGATGAATCCCACCATCTGCTCAGTGTTCGAGGCAGAGATAGTCCTGCTGTTCCACGCCACCACCTTCCGGCGAGGCTTCCAGGTAACCGTCCACGTGGGCAACGTCCGTCAGACGGCAGTGGTGGAAAAGATCCATGCCAAGGTGAGTGGGTGGGGGGGGACCCAGCCACAGCTGTTTTCCCAGGGAAAAGTCAGAATTCCCCTCGCTCCTCGAATCCGAGAACTGATCCCACAGAGGGAGCAGAGCCCCACCGAGGGTGGGAAAAAGCTGCTAAGACCCAGCTGGAGGGAAGCTCGTGGGATAGGCCAGGGCCAGTGACCACCCGTCTGCTGCAGGACAAGCTGCGGACAGGAGAGAAGGCAGTGGTCTGCTTCCGCTTCCTGAAGCACCCAGAATACCTGAAGGTGGGTGCCAAGTTGCTGTTCCGGGAGGGTGTCACCAAAGGCATTGGCCATGTCACGGACGTGCAAGCCATCGCGGCCGGAGAGGCCCAGGCCAACATGGGCTTCTGAGCCATCGCAGCAGGCCCAGCTCTGTCGCTGTCCCTCCAATACATAAGGTGAATTCCGGCACGCTGCCCCCGCTGACGACTGTGTATTAATAGGCTCGGGAGAGCCATGCCCTCTGCCACTTGCTCCCAGCCGGCTTTCTAGAGAGGTGCCAAGCTTGGCGTGGCCAGGGAGAGAGATGCCAGGGCACTCTTCAGCAGCTGCGTGTCTACCTGGTGGACTCATCGATCCTGGTGACCTCCCCCCACCCCCCGCCCCCCATGGCCTGTGCTGGAGGGAGCTGACCACCGCCTCAGCCCCGGGACTTGAGGCACTGGCCTGGCCACCAGCACTCCTTTTCATTACCTCTTCTTACGGCCATGTAAGTTGCCTGTTGCTACCCGACTCTGGACAAAAGACATTCTCTTCTGGCCCTGGGATGCTCCAGAGCCTCGAAGAAGTGGCACAGGAACTGTGAATGAGTGTTCCCACCCTGCACTTGGACAGAAGCCTGCTCCTCAACTCAATCTCCCTCCCCTCCATTCAAGGGCCACGTTCCCAGTTTCTGCTGTAAAGGCCCCACAGGTGCTACTTGTCGTGCTGGCCCAGGCGTGGGGCTGCCGAGCTCAGGCTTGGCGACCAGGTCAGCTGCTTGTCCACCGGCCCCTCCTCTGCCGTGACGCTGGTTTTAGTATTGGGTCAAACAGTCTGTTTCCCTTTCCCCCAGCTTGGTGGCTGGGGACCTGACCCACATCTCACTGTCCTGACACCCCTGCACCTCCACTTCCAGCCCCCATGTAAGTCCTCTTGTTTTCGTAATCTGCAGTGAATTATCCCTTTCCCTCTGTTGCAGGGAACCTGGAGGGAAGGGAAAGCAGTTGCCATATTTCCTACTTTTTAGGGGATGGAGTCCCTCCTTTCCCTTCATAGTGTCCTGGGTTCCACGGACTCAGGGATTTGTTGATTGATGTGTCTCTGCATATATATATATGTGTGTGTGTGTATATATATATGTGTGTGTGCATGTGTATATATACATATACATACATATGTGTATATATATAGTGTGTGTATATATATACATATTTAAAATCACATATATATTGTACAGAATAAAAGTTTTATTGAACACACTGTGCTGGTCTTAAGACACAGACTCAGAGCTCCATTCCTCCCCAAGATGGAGGGACGTGAAACCCTAACAGAACTCAGGCCTGAAGGGGGAGAAACACATCTGGTCCCTATCTGCCCGTCTTCCTTTGCTCCCCACATCTCCCACAAGCCATCAGTGTGCCAACGCTGTGACCAAGCATTCTGAACGGCTTGGCATCATTCTCTGAGCAGAAGAGAAAGTGAAACCAGCACCTCTCCAGCTGGTAGAGGAAACACCCACGCAATTGCCGAGTTGGTCCCTGACTAAAAGGTTCCCATTGTTAAGTAACCTGCTGCTTCTGTGTCCTGTTAAGAGAAGATGCCAGTTAAGGAACTAAGAGTAGCATTTAGAGACTTGGTCATTTGGTTCTCAGCTTTCCTAGTAATGCAAAATAGCCTGGAGAGAGGTTTAGATGGGCTAAAACTGGCTGTTGGAGCTGAGTGCCACCTGGCCAACTGGTAAGTATACTCAACTGCCATATTTCTTGGGGAGGGACAGACCAAGACTAAAGTTATCTGCAGAAAGGGACTATATTGTTATCTTGATAAAAGATCTAAGAAATGTGGGGCTGGAGCGATAGCACAGCTGGTAGGGCGTTTGCCTTGCACGGGGCCGACCCGGGTTCAATTCCCAGCATCCCATATGGTCCCCCGAGCACCGCCAGAAGTAATTCCTGAGTGCAAAGCCAGGAGTAACCCCTGTGCATCACCGGTGAGACCCAAAAAAGAAAAAAAAAATGATGTAAGAAATGTGACTGAGGTCCCAGTGAGCCTTCTGCCTCAAAGGTATTGATAGCGTCTCTACCGCTTAAGCTCAGCTGCTTTACAGTATTATGGGTTTTACTAAGAAACCTGTGGTAAAAGAACTTCCTCCTGTGTTGAGAACTAAGCGGTTCACTTCCTTCTGTACAGCTGACAAACAGCTGAGGAAAGGTCATGTTCAGCAATAGTACTACTGTACCTCTCAGCGTCTCGTCTGCTGTGTGCTCCACCTGCACACTGCTAGCATGCAATCAACATTGGTAATTCTCAGAAAACGGAAGGCGAGTTAGCCACTGGCAGCCTTCCACCCCCAATCATGCACACCTGCATGCATGCCACCCATTTTGGCCATCTAGGAGTCCAATGAAACAAGCTTTCTACACGGCTTTTTTTTTTTTTTTTTTTTTTTTTGCTTTTCAGGTCACACCTGGCGATGCTCAGGGGTTACTCCTGGTTTTGCACTCAGGAATCACTCCTGGCAGTGCTCAGGGGACCATATGGGATGCTGGGAATCGAACCTGGGTCGGCCGCATGCAAGGCAAACGCCCTTCCTGCTGTGCTATCACTCCAGTCCCTCTACACTGCTTTTCTGTATGACTAATCCCCTTCCACTCACTATACCACTGTCCTCCCATTTTTCATAGATTTGCTTGAGCGGGCAACAGTAACGCCTCACAACAAATTGTGAGACTTGTTACTGTGTTTGGCACATCAAATATGTCACGGGTAGCTTGCCAGGCTCTCTGAGAGGGGCGGAGGAATCGAACCCAGGTCGGCAGCATGCAAGGCAAACACCCTACCCGCTGTGCTATCGAAGTGTTAAAATGTGGTTCCACTTGGTATAGATAGCACCCAAAGGAAAAGACTTTATTATAGCTCCCCGCCTCCCCCGCTTCCTCCTCTTTCTTTCTTGGAACTAGCTTTAAGGGCCAGAGGGCACTGCCTGGCATGCAGAGCCTGAGGATGATCCCCAGCACAGTTTGGAAGGCCAAAATAGTTTTTTAAATCACCTCAGAGATCTCCAGGAAACAACCACTTTGCTACATTCATAGAACATTTAGTATCAGGAGTCTGAGTGCAGTACTTTGGGTAGGACGCTGGCCTTGCACACCACTGATCTGGGTTAATCGCAGGTACCCCAAATGGTTCCAGCCTGCCAGGAGTGATCCGTAATTGCAGAGCCAGGACTAAACCCCAAGTACACCGAGTGTAGCCCCCAAACAAAAAAGAAAAAAGAACATTTAGCACCAAGAGCATAAAAGGTTGGCTTGGGCCCCCAAACAAAAACCAGGTCCAGAGAGATAGACAGTACAGAAAGTATGGTGCTTGATTTGCATGTGAGCTGCTTTGGCTTATCTTGTTTTGATCCCTGATCCTCTGAAGCCAAAGATATTGAACCATTGTGTGTGGCTCAGAACTCTCAGCCTCAGTGGTTGTATGCTAGTTTACTAAGCAGTTATTCTGTATAAGGCAATATGGAGAATTCTCACCTTCAAAAAATTACAAACCAGGGGGTCTAGTGATAATACAGTGGGTAGGGTGCTTCCCTTGCATGCAGCTGACCCTTGCACCCCTTATGATCCCCCTGCACTGCCAGGAGTGATTCCTGAGTATAGAGTCAGGTCCAAAAGCAAAACTTTAAAAATGGAGGGGCAGGAGAGATAGTAGAGGAGTTAAGGCACTACTATTCTGTACCCAAAAACCTGAGCACAGTGCCCGGAGTGGTCCCCGATCATCTCAAGTTGTGGCCCATAAACAAACAAAACCCCATCAATCCAGACCCTGAGAGATGGCTGGAATACATACTATGGATGCAGGAGGCCCAGGTTTTATCACCAGCACCCCACTGTTCTCAACACTGGCAAGAGTAACCCAAAAAAATTCCACAGTAAATTACAAAAGCACAAATCTAGAAAGGGTCATATACCCAGTGAATACTATAGATTTGGTGGAACATTTTTTGAAAAAACATTTCCTGGTAAGGCCCCATAGGTTTTCAAACATTCCACTTTTCAAACAATACATACCAATTTATAATCAAGCCTCTGCTTGTGTGGGGGAGTGTACACTGTTCTGGGTTCTCTACACATTTCAAGAAGGCTTCCCACACCAGAGAAGTCAAAAACCAAAACTAAAAACCAAAAAGCCCCAACTTTCCACCTTTAAGAACAGAGATCAACAAAGTACTATAAATAGACAAGCACAAAACACTAAGTACAACATTAATTATAGCACTGTAGCACTGTCCTCCGTTGTTCATCAATTTGCTCGAGTGGGCACCGGTAACATCTCCATTGTGAGACTTGTTACTGTTTTTGGCATCCCAAATATGTCACAGGGAGTTTGCCAGGGTCTGCCGTGCAGGCGGATACTCTCGGTAGCTAGCCGGGCTCTCCAAGAGGGACAGAGGAATCGAACCCAGGTCAGCAGCGTGCAAGGCAAACGCCCTACCTTCTGTGCTATCGCTCTGCCCACAACACTAGTCACTTAAAAAGGAAGTGGTAAATACACCTGTGCATCTGAAGCCAGAAACAACTCTTCAGGTTTGTACTCTAGGGTTTAAAGGACTATTATCCTTGATACCTTTTAGATGTTTCTTATACTTGAGGGTACACTCTGGAGGGGCCAGAGAGATAGTACAGTGGGTAGGGTGTTTGCCTTCCATGTGGCAGACCCAGGTTCAATCCCTGACATCCCATATGCTCCTCCTAGAACCTCCGAGAGTAATTCCTGAGCACAGAACCAGGAGTAACACCTGAGCACCCCCGGATGTGGCCAAACAAAACCCTCAAAGATACATCCTGGGAAACTTTGTTAATCCGTTAATGCTGCTCCTCCAAACCATGTTCAGAATGGTAAGATCGAGAGTGTGGGGCTGAATTCTGAATATGGCTTCTCAGTGCAAACAGCTCCTAGACTGGTTCAGTCACAATATCACTTTACATTAGAACAAAACATAAGAGGGTAGATGAGCCATGGACTGCAATTGTATTAAAACTAGAGTTTAGCGGCATGAAATTCAGTATTTATTGAACAGCTTTTGTGTACAGGAACCTGCCCCAAAGTAGTCCTGTCACTTCAGGGTTTCAAGGCTTACAGTTTGGTCAGATATTAATACTATGGAATATAAAAGAACACAGTATGAGACTAACAACCAAAGGCAGTAGGGACAAGGGGAGGAGGATTGCTCCGTGGTAGGAAGCCTGCCTCATGTGCTGGGGGAGAAGGCAGTTAGGATGAAGAAGGGAACCACTAAGTCAAGGATGGCTGGAGGAATTGCTCGGGATGAGAGGTGTGGTGAAAGTAAACAAAGGACCAAACATGATGGCCTCTCAGTATCTGTGTTGCAACCATAATGCTCAAAAGTAGAGAGTAAGAAGGAAGGTGCCTGCCACAGAGGCAGGGGTGGGATAGGGTGGGAGTGGAGGGAGGGATAATGGGAACATTTGTGGCATTGGTGGCGCAAAATGTACACTGGTGGAGGGATGGGTGTTCAATCATTGTATGACTGAAACTTAATCATGAAAGCTTTGTAACTATCTCACGGGGATTCAATTTAAAAAAAAAAAAAAGATTAATACTAAACCAGCCCAGTCACAGAACTGGAAGGAATTTTTTTTTTTGGTTGACTTTTTTTTTTTACTCAGTTCTCTTTCAGTGCCAACTTTAAAAGTACACCATTGTTTGTTTTCCTTTTGTGGTGGGATAATCAAACTTGGGGCCTTATACACATGAGAAATATGCTTCAGCTCTGGAGCCAGTTCTTCAACGTTAAAAACATCTTCTTAATCTTTGCCATTTAAGGCATTATTCTCAAATGAGAAAAGTGACTCGGTTTGACCTAGCTCTCATCCTATTTTTTGTTTGTTTTGGGGCCACACCTGGCAGTACTTAGAGCTTACTACTGGCCCTGTGCTCAGAGACCTCCAGGAGGAGGAGGCCAGAAAGAGGACATGGGTGTGGGGGGAAGGAGCTCACCTTGCATGCTGCCAACCCAAAAATTAAAACAAAACACAGGAGCCAGAGGGCTTAAAGGATTCCCTTTGCCGGTGGGAGGCCGAGGTTCAATTCCCAGCATTCCATGGTCCCCTGAGCACAATGCTGGGAATAATCCCTGAGTACAGCCAGATATAGCTCTCCAAAATTTTTTCTACGGGCCGGAGCAATAGTGCAGCAGGTAGGGCGTTTGTCCTGCACGTAGCAGACCTGTGTTCGATTCCCAGCATCCCATGTTTGCCCAACACCGCCAGGAGTAATTCCTGAGTGCAGAGCCAGGAGTAACCCCTGAGCATTGCTGGGTGTGACCCAAAAAGCAATAAAAAACATTTTTTCTAAACTTAAAATTTTTTTTCAAAGCAACTATATCTCTAAAAATTTTTACATCTCAATTGGCAGTGGGATTAGAATCCAGCCTACGAAGAGATGAGATCTTTAATTCAGCATCTAATGTAACTTTTTTCCAATTAAAAATGTCAGAGTTTTAGGGGCCAGTGAGCGAGTACAATGGGTAGGGTGCTTGTCTTGCATGCAGTCAACCTGGATTTAATCTCTGACAAGGAGTAATTTCTCAATTCAGAGCCAGGAGTAATTCCCAAGTACTGTAGGCCCAAAATCAAACAAAAAATTAAAAGCTTCATAGTTTAAGAGCGTGTTAGCAATCATGATGTGAAACATCTAGATAGATCCTCAAGGGCTAAAAATTTAATGAACTTTCATAAGCTATCAGAATCCTAAAATTCAAATATTTACAGTTATGAATATTCTTTAAGAAGTGCAGAATTGAATTTTTAAATTTTAGAATATTAGGACTTTGCGGCAAGCCTGAGCGCAATGCTAGTGTGTTAACGGCTTGAAAAATGATTCCAATGTCTGCATCCCCTGAGGCCTTGGGCGTTTATTACTAGAGGCCAAAGGACTCTTAGGAGTTCTTTTCTGAGGAGAACTGGTAGGAACTGCCTGGGGGGTTGAGGAGTGGGGTTGCCAAAAAGATTTCTGCAGTTCGACTGCAAAATGATAGTCGGCATGTTCGGGCATCTCCCACACAGGTATCAGAGCGTGACACTTCTCACAGGGCACTTGGTCCTCAGCAGTTGCAAGATGTGGGGGAGTAGCTGCCTTCGGAGCTACTGCCAGGGCCAGCTTGGAATTTGACGCAAGTGTGCTTGGGCTGTTCAGGACCAAGTTCATCTCTGCAGGAGTTGCTTTAGAGGGGCCTGGCTTGAGCGGCTCTTCACTGACAGGAGCACAACCTGGATTCTCTGTTGGAAGACGGTCTGGAGACACAGTAGGGCCAGACAATACACTTTGTGCAGGGATGACTACGGAAGTGTTATTCAGACTTTTCTGCTCGGAGAAGGGTACAGCTTCCTCAGCGAGACTGGTTTGGGAAGGTGGTGAGGGTTCAGATGGTGGATTACTTATGGGGGCCTGGGTAGTGGCAGGCAGTGATGAAAGGGAAGTTTCTTTGAGTTTTTGCCTTTCTGCAGCTTTGCGGAAGAATGATTCCAGAGAACTGACTGTTTTCTTGTTAGGTGTCACTGCTGGGCCACTTCCTGGGGTCTTGACTTCAGAACTCTTTGGCTGAGAACTTGAGTCACTGCTCAAGAAGGGAGTGATGTCTGTGCAGGAAGGAGCGGCAGAAGTAGAGAATTTGGTGGTACAGAGGAAAAGCATCGTGAGGGGAGGGGACCTGTTCAGAAAGTAAGGAACAAGAAGACTAGCACCAGGTTACAGATTCAATGTAGAGGAAATCAAAACTGCAGTTTTCAGACTGGTACAGAGATTGTGATGGGCACAGAATTGCCTAACATGCTCGTTGGTGATGCAGATATTGGTGATCTAGGACTAAATGCTGGTCAGTTTATCTACCCAATTTTTTGACATGAATTGAATTTCAGAAGATGAAACTTGCAGGGGCTGGGGAAACTGTATTGCAAATAGAGTGCTTGCCCTCCACGGGACGTGTCCACCCAGTTCTATCACTAGCACCCCTTATAATCCTTTGCGCACTGCCAGGAGTAATTCCTGAGTAGAGAGCCAGGAAAAGGCACTGAGCACCATTGGATATGACATCAAAACAAAAGGAACAGATGAAATTTGCTTTTACATGCAGCTCAGTCCCTGAATTAGGTAGAGTAAATGCTGGGCCAGAGAGATAGCACAGCAGATAGGGTGCTTTGCTTTGAACAAAGCTGACTCAGGTTCAATCCCCAGCACCCTATATGGTCTCCTGAATCCATCAGAAGTGATCTCTGAGCACAGATCCAGAAGTAAGAGTTGGGACCACTGGGTATGGCCCTAAAACAAAAACAAGACAACATCAGAAAAAAAAAAATGCTGTTTTAAAATTACGGACAGTAAAAAAAAAAAAATTATGGACAGATTCTATCTTCTGGTTTCATGCTTGAAGACAGTCTTATAAATAGGTAATCTGATGTTTACCCGCCAATATGTATTATGCTATTGGTGGTAGGATTTGTTATAGTCTGTTTACTTACTGGGTTTTATGTGAACATATTAGTAAATTATCACTTGATTCCATAAAATTGTTTAACATTTAAAAATATACCAGAAGAATCAAATAAATTAAATAAAGAACAAAGACTCCAACTGTAGCTCTGTCTGTACTCTATAGTTCCTCTAAAAAGTTACTGCTTTTCTAAAAATACAGAAACTATTAACTTTTGATAATCTTCAGTCAGTACAGAACGATAAGCAAACAACATGAAACTGTGAATTTGGAATGCTTTCTTCCAATATAACAAGCTATGTTAAATAATTGAAAGGTTCTAATATCTGGATATTAAATCAACACACTCCAGTCATATCGGTCTGTCGATTGGTGCTACCCAGTGGAGTTTATACCTGTGACTCTTACTACCATTGATTTCTTACCACTTTTATTACCAAATGATAGTTTTGTTTGTTTGGAGGCCATACCCGACAGTGCTTAGGGCTTACTCCTACCTCTGCACTCAGGAATTACCAAATGATATTTTTTTCTCTTGTATTTCTTAAGCTATAGTTTGTGAAGCTGCTCCCAGCTCTGTTCTTGGGAACTGCTCCTAATATTTCTGCATATGCACTCAGCCTATTAAGCAATCTCTCTGACCTTCATAGAGAATGCCTTTTATTTTATTTGGGTAAGGTGTTTTTTTTTTTTTTTTTTAAATCACACCCAGCGATGCACAGGGGTTATTCCTGGCTCTGCACTCAGGAACTAGTCGTGGCGGTGTTCAGGGGACCATATGGGATGCTGAGAATAGAACCCGGGTCGGCTGCGTGCACGTCCTCCTCGCTGTCCTATCGCTCCAGCCCCTATCTGGGTAAGGTTTGAGCCATACCTGGGATTCTCAGGGCATACTCCTGGCTATGCAGTCAGGGATCACTTCTGGCAGTGCTTGGGGGAGTCTAGGGGTGGCAGGGATCGAATCCAGGTCCGCCATGTGCAAACAAGTGCCTTATTCACTTGTACTATCCCGCCAGCTCCAGAAGATGCTTTTTTTTTATATATATATATATTTTTAATTTTTTTGAGGAATCACACCCAGCGATACTCAGGGGTCACTCCTGGCTTTGTACTCAAGATTACTCCTGGTGGTGCTCAGGGGACCATATGGGATGTCAGGAATCAAACCTGCGTTGGTTGTGTGCAAGGCAAACACCCTATCCATTGTACTATTGCTCTAGCCCCAGACGCTTTTTAGATAGAACAGTTCTAAAATCTATTTTTGAAAGTTGAGTCCTACACTCCAAGGGCAACCAGCCATCCCCCCGATGACAGCAAGCCGATACAGGCAGGGACAGAACAGGCTCACTCCACCTTTCAAAGACCCCAGGAACTAGAACACAAGTGCAGCCAAGCTGCCTTGCTTCTAGGATTGCTTCTGGTTTCTGTTCGGTTGGAGGCCACATCCAACTGTACTCAGGGAACCTGTGTTGCCAGGGATGAAACAAACTGCATGCAAAGTGTGGAATTAGGCCTTGAGCTAGTCCTGTGGCTTGCTACTGTTTTTTTTCCATTCCCCTCTGCAATATCTCCTGCTAGCCAGGGTCACAGGAAAAAAATCCATCCCTGCTGAACAGAGCCAAAACAAGTATCTGCTGAGAAGATGAACTAGAAAGAGACTTACCATTCAGTCTGAATTCTTGAAGTATTACAATTCCGGATGAGAGCAAAGGCATCACTGCTCATCTTGGAAGCATCATAGCGGGTGAGGGCACAGCAGCGGCGCAGGCTGCTAAGACGTTTGTCTCCTTGTACACGGATGCTTATAACCAACTGAGTGGCCACCCGGTCATTCTGCGGGTATGACAAGATTGAGACCATAAGCATCTGAAGTCTATACACTGAAATGCATGAGAGGAAATTCAAAGAACCAGGTTGCCAGAATGGTTTGGAAATACTCCAGTTCAAGTATGTATGTGTATGTGCAGTGTTGCGGATTGAAACCAGGATGGAACATACACAAGGCAAGCCAACTTAGCACTGAGTTACACCCCTTGCCTCGAAGTTTAAATAAAATTAAGTTCAATGTTGGGCTGCAGCGATAATGTTTGCCCTACCTGCTGTGCCATGGTGCTCAGGAGTCATTTCTGGCAGTGCTGGGGAGAACATGTGGAGTACTGGGAAATGAACCGAGATCGACTGTGTGCAAGGCAAGCACTCTACCCACCATACTATCGCTCCAGCCCAACCTCCCTATTTTCTTTTAAATTAAATAGTTTAAAAAAAATTTTTTTTGCTTGCTTTATTTCCCCTTTTTTTTGCTTTTTGGGTCACACCCAGCGATGCACAGGAGTTACTCCTGGTCCATGCACTCAGGAATTACTCATGGCGGTGCTCGGGGGACCATATGAGATGCTGGGAATCGAACCTAGGTCGGCTGCGTGCAAGACAAACGCCCTACCCCTGCGTGCTATTGCTCCAGCCCCTAAAAAATTTCTGAGGGGCTGGAGCAATAGTACAGCGGGTAGGGAATTTGCCTTGCACGTGGCCGACCCAGGTTCGATCCCTGGAGTCCTATATGGGCCCCCTGAGCACCGCCAGGAACAATTTCTGAGTGCAGAGCCAGGAGTAACCCCAGGGCATTGCGGTATGTGACCCAAAAAACAATAAATAAATAAATAAATAAATAAGACCTTTCTGTTGGAGTTGGTTTTTTTTCTTTTTCTTTTTGGGCCACACCCAGCAACACACAGGGGTTACTCCTGGCTCTGTACTCAGGAATTACTCCTGGCGGTGTAATTCGATTCTTAGCATCCCATATGGTTCCCCAAGTACCACCAGGTTCCATGAGCAACTCTTGAGCACTGAGTCAAAAGTCCAGGATTAGCCCCATCAATATCAGGTATGGCCAAGAGAAAGAAAAAAGGGGCCAAGCTGGGAGATAACTTAAGGCGTTAGAGCTATAATGTACAGGGTATCAGGTATGATCCCTGGCACACTGGCTTCCTAAGCACCCCTAGGTGTAGCAGCGTTGGGGAGCCCCTCTTAAAAAAAACAAAACAACAAACAGAAGTGATTGGAGGGCCAGAGTGACAGTACAACAGGTACATGTACAATAGTACAATAGGCTTGCCTTACAAGTGGCCGATTGGGGTACAATCCCCAGCATCCTATATAGTTCCCTAAGTCCTACCAGGAGTGATCCCTAATCACAAAGCCAGGAATAAGTCCTGAGCAGTAGTGGGTATAGTCCCAAAACAAGACCAAAAAAAGGGTGAAGAATCCAAAATTTGTATAATACAATATCTAGAATATATAAAGTAGAATATGTACTTGTTTTATTTTGGGTGGCACACCCAGCAGTGCTCAGGGAACCGTATGTGGTGCTCAGAAACAAATCAGGGTCAGCCAAAGTAGCAGCATGCAAGACAAGTATCTTATTTTTTGTTGGCCTTGTATTTATTAAAAACAAAAAATCAGGAATCGAATCGAATCCGGCTCGGCCAGGCTGGCTGCGCGCAAGGCAAACGTGCTATCACTCCAAGCCCCAGACCTCTTGTTACTGTGTTTGGCATATTGAATACTCTCGGTAGCTTGCCAGGCTCTCCCATTCCTCCGTCCCTCTCAGAGAGCCTGGCAAGTTACCAAGAGTATTCGATATGCCAAACACAGTAACAAGAAGTCTCACAATGGAGACATTACTGGGCCCGCTTGAGCAGATCAATGAACAATGGGAAGACAGTGTGTTTTAAAAAATCAGGAGGCACTTGATGATACTCATGGGTTATTCCTGGTCCTGCACTCAGGAATCACTCCTGATGGTTCTGGGAGACCATTGAGACCATTTGGGATGCCGGGGATCAAACCTGGGCTGGCCATCTGCAAGGTAAGTGTCTTATGGGCTGTACTACTGCTCAGGACCATTTTAATATTCCTTTTTCTTTTTTGGGTCACGCCTGGCAATGCACAGGGGTTACTCCTAGCTCATGCACTCAGGAATTTCTCCTGAAGGTGCTCAGAGGACCATATGGGATGTTGGGAATCAAACCTGGGTTGGCCACTTGCAAGGCAAACACCCTATCCACTGTAATACTGCTCCAGCCTCATTTTAATACATTCTTAAACTATTGTTTAGGTTACCAGAGTGTTAGTGTTACACAGTCACGGTTTTGATATACAAAATTACTTTTCTTTCATCACCACCCAAGTGCCTAAGACCTGCTACTACTGTCCTTGTTTGTTTTTACTTTTGGGGACTCACCTGGCAATGCTCAAGGGTTACTACTGGCTCTGCACTCAGGAATCACTCCTGGCAGTACTTGGGAGACCAAATGGAAAGCTGGGGATCTAACCTGGGTTGGTGGCATGAAAGGCAAGCACCCTCCCAGGTGTACAAGCTCTCTGGTCCTGCTAACTCTGTCCTAAGGTCACTTTTATCCACCTCTTCCCAGCCCTTCCCTACCAAAATGTGCTAATATCATGTAATATAAGGTCAAGGATATGTCCTCTTTCAATAGTATCTAGTCCCTTGTTTTGTTTCTCTATAAGCCACAGATAAATGAGATCATCTGACATTTGATAGCACAGCGGTAGGGCGTTTGCCTTGCATGCAGCCAACATGGCCGACCTGAGTTCGATTCCTCCGCCCCTCTCGGAGAGCCCGGCAAGCTACCGAGAGTATCTCGCCCGCACAGCAGAGCCTGGCAAGCTCCCCGTGATGTACTCAATATGCCAGACACAGTAACAACAAAGTCTCCAATGGAGACGTTACTGGGCCCGCTCGAGCAAATCCATGATCAACGGGAGGGCCTTTACTTTACTTTTACTTAATGCAACACATACCCCCTCCACCCCAGTTCCATCAACGTTGCAGTAAACTGCAAGATTTAATGGTGCTTGGGGGACCATATGGGATGCTGGGATTGAACCCAGGTCAGCCACGTGCAAGGCAAATGCCCTACCCTCTGTACTATCACTCCGGATTTAATCTTTTTTTTTCTTTTTTTTTTTTTTTTTGCTTTTTGGGTCACACCCAGCAATGCACAGGGATTACTCCTGGCTCATGCACTCAGGAATCACTCCTGGCGGTGCTCAGGGGACCATATGGGATGCTGGGAATCGAAACCGGCTCGGCCGCGTGCCAGGCAAATGCCCTACCCACTGTGCTATCACTCCAGCCCAGATTTAATCTTTCTTATAGCTGCACAAGATTCCATTTTGTCCATATACCACAATACAAAACATTTTTTTTGGCCACACCCGGTGATTCTCAGGAGTTCCTTGTCTGTGCTCAAGGAACATGTGCTCAGATTAGCCACATATCAGGCAAGGGCCTTAACCCCTGCACTACCTCTCTGGCCCTCCCTATCACAAATTCTTTATTCACTGATTTGCTCTTGGACACTTGGGTTGTTTCCATATTCTGGTCATTGTAGTTTGGGATGCAGTAAATATTGGTGTGCATATATCTTTTTGAAGATGTGTTTCTGTGTTTTGCAAACAGAAATGGAAGAATACTTACAATATTATGACAAATGATGGGGAAAGGAAAAGTAAAAGTGTTCTAGTGGGGGCTGGAGCAATAGCACAGCAGGTAGGGCACTTGTCTTGCACTCAGCCAACCCAGGTTCGATTTCCAGCAACCCATATGGTCCCTTGAGCACTGCCAGTGCTCAGGTAGTTCCTGAGTGCAGGGCCAGGAGTAACCCCTGTGCATCGCTGGGTGTGACCAAAAAGCAAAAAAAAAAAAAAAAAAAACAGTGTTTTAGTAATTTCCACACAGATAATACCTTCTATATTCTACTTTTCACTGAAGGGATAGTTCTTATAAGTAATTGAAAAAAGATCCAAAGTTTTCCTTTGGTATATCTACACAATGGAGTACTATGTAGCTGTTAGAAAAGATGAAGTCATGAAATTTATTTACATACAAGTGGTACTACATGGAAAGTATCGTGTTAAGCGAAATGAGTCAGAAAAAAAAGGATAGACATAGAAAGATTGCATTTATTTGGGGAACTTAAAGTAACAAAATAGGAGATTAACACCCAAGAGTGGCCGAGATTAGTACCAGGAGTTTTGTACCATGGCTTGGAGGTCACCCATACATTCTAGGGGAAAAGGGAGCTCAGATAGAGAAAGGAGCACCAAATAAAGGGTGTTGGGAGGATCTTCCCAGGATGGGAGAAGCATGCTGCAAGTAGACTATAGACAAAAATGATTGCCACTCAATGCCTCTTTTGCAAACAACAACACCCAAAAGGAGAGAACAAAAGGGAATACCCTGCCACAGAGGCAGGGTGGGAGGAGGGGTATGGGGGGGTGGGAGGGATACTGGGACCGGTGGTGGTAGAAAATGGGCACTGGTGGAAGGATGGGTGTTTGATCATTGTATAATTGAAACCCAAGCACAAAAATTTGTAAGTCTACAATTGTACCTCATGGGGTTTCACTAATAAAAATAAAAATAAAAAAAAAGATCCAAAGTTTCAGATGTTAAGACTGAGTTGTAAATCTACCCTTTAATTTGCCCTAATGTTGTTTTTGTTTTTTTTTTTTTTGCCTTTTGGGTCACACCCAGTGATGCATGCACAGGGGTTATTCCTGGCTCATGCACTCAGGAATTACTCCTGGCAGTACTCGGGGGACCATATGGGATGCTGGGAATGGAATCTGAGTCGACTACTTGCAAGGCAAATGCCCTACCCGCTGTGCTATCGCTCCAGCCCCTGCCCTAATGTTCTTAATGTTTAGCGCTTCCTCTAGCACTTCCTTCTTGCAGCCCCTTTTTAGAAGCTCGTGTAGTGATGGGGCTAGAGAGATATTTTAGTGGAAGGGGCACTTGTTTTGCACACAGTCCATCCTGAATCGATCCCTGGCATCCCAGATGGTCCCCTAAGCACTGCCAAGAGTAATTCCAGAGCACAGAGCCAGGAGTAACCCATATATGCAGTCCAGGTGTTGCCCAGTGAAACAAAAACAAACAGAAGAAGCTAGTGTAGTGTGCCGCCTCTTGGGCAGCACTTCTTCAGCTGTGTCCAGTCACAACCCCTCTCACCCAAGAACTTTACACATGACCCAAGGTATATAGGTCTACCAAACAGGCATGAAAATCAAACATCTACTGATTAAGTAAAGTAAAGTAAAGTAAAGTAAAGGCCCTCCCGTTGATCATCGATTTGCTCGAGCGGGCCCAGTAACGTCTCCATTGGAGACTTTGTTGTTACTGTGTCTGGCATATCAAATACGTCACGGGGAGCTTGCCAGGCTCTGCCGTGCGGGCGAGATACTCTCGGTAGCTTGCTGGGCTCTCCGAGAGGGGCGGAGGAATCGAACTCGGGTTGGCCATGTTGGCTGCGTGAAAGGCAAACGCCCTACCGCTGTGCTATCACTCCAACCCTATATGATCCCAAATGAGGTTGCAAGCCAAAGTTTAAAAATGAGGCTGTAGAAGCAAAGGCTTTTCAACTGCGAGGCTGGTCACACTTACAGCAGAATGAAAACTGCTACAGAGACCAAGATCAGTAAGTCACTTTTCAATGGAGCTTAAGGATCTGAATAGTGTGCGAGTGTGTGTTTGTGTGTGTGTGTGTATGTGTTCCCACCTGGGGGTTCTTACAGGTCACCTCTGGTGGTGCTCACAGCATCACAGGCCAAACTGGGGTGAGTTATATGCAAGGCAAGTTCCTTATACTATCTCTCTTATCCTAAGCAACTGAATATTGTTGATGTAATGCAAGTTAAAAAAAAATATTTATATATATATGGGCTAGAGTTCAACAGGTGAGGCAATTTGCTTTGCATGAAGCCAAGATGGGTTTGATCACCGGCAGCCCATATGGTCCCCTGAGCACTGCCAGGAATGATTCCTGAGTGTAGAACCAGGAGTAAGTTATGAACACTGCCAAATGTGGTCCAAAAACAAACAAACAAAAAAATTAATAATAAATAATTTTTTAAAAGGGTCAAAAGGGAGAGACCATATAAAGGTGAAAATATGCCCTCAAAAATCTGAATGTGAAAGCGCCCTTTTAAGGCACTTTAGGAAGACCCCCATTTTGGGGGGCACAGAGACAGTATAGGTGGTAAGGCATTTTGTTTGCATGCAGCTATGGCAGCCATGACCCTGGTCTAAATTCCTGGAAAAACACACTTCCCTGAGTATTGCCAGTGGTCACTCCTGAGCCTAGCAGTCACTCCTGAGCACAGAACAGGAATAGCTCTGAACACCACAGGGTATGGCCTACAAAGCATCCCACCACCACCACAAACACATATTTTATGAACAAATTCACACAAATGTGTATATCTTGAAAAATACAAATAAGTGATTAAAAACAAATCCTTATTGACTAAAATCATTCCACTATTATTGAATGCCTACTACAGACTAGGAGCTAACTAGAGATATGAGAGGAAAGAAGATCTAAGAGAAAAAAAAAACACCAAGGATCTTTACTTGTAGTAGCAAATAAATAACAAGGAGGCATGCAATAAAAAATAAATGACTACAGAGTGCTATGTGAGACACAGTACAGAGGGCCTGATGTCAGTGGAGTTGGAATCACAGTGTCAGCGCATGAACACTGCCAAGTACGAGCACATTTTGGGCATAAAGGTTTTGAAGTTTAAATCTGTATTAGGGTTTTGAAGTTCAAATCTGTTTATATGTGAGGGTCTAGTTTATCCCTGACACCATCGATTTGCATGAGTGGGCCCAGTAATGTCTCCATTGTGACACTTGTTTCTGTGTTTGGCATATCGAGTAAGTCACAGGTAGCTTGCAAGGCTTTGCCCTGTGGGTGAGATACTTTCGGTAGCTTGCTGGGCTCTCCAAGAGGGGCGGAAGAATTGAACTTGGGTCGGCCATATTGGCCACTTGCAAGGCAAACACCCTACCGCTCAGATATCGCTCCAGCCCCCCTGACACCATAAGATTCATATTACATTGGTATGGGCTAAGTGCTCTCTGTGGCGCCATGGGCCTGAGTGTCACCTCCCGTCAGCAGCCAGGCTCGGGCTCATGCTGGAGAGCCAGGAGGCCGGCCTGGCTCAGCTTCCTCTGGCTCTCTCGCCCACTGCCTTAGTTTCCCCTTTGGGAGATGGGTGTATCACCTGCCAAAGACACTATCAGCAAAGGCCTCTGAGACCCTGCCATGAAAGAGGCCACTCTATGCCTCGGCTCAGGCTTGCGACTGTTCCTGATTAACTGCCAGGCAGTGCGTGAGCACAGCAAACGGGAAGGGGAGGGGGCTAACCCCACGCCCTCGCAGCAGGCAGCGGCTCCTGAGCGTTCGGGAGGTGATACTCACAATAGTCATCTTCCCCTCTTGGAGCTCCACCACTGTGAGGGCTGGAGCAATAGCACAGCGGTAGGGCGTTTGCCTTGCAAGCCACCAGCCCAGCTGAGCTGGGTTCGATTCCTCCGCCCCTCTCGGAGAGCCCAGCAAGCTACTGAGAGTATTTTGCCTACACAACAAAGCTTGCAAAGCCTGGCAAGCTACCCATGAGGTATTCGATATGCCAAACACAGTAACAACAAGTCTCACAATGGAGACAGTTACTGGCCCCCTTGAGCAAATCCATGAGCAATGGTAGGACAGTGCTACATTGTATGACTACAGGGCCTTGGGGCTTATAGAAATGAGAACAGAGTGACCCCTAGTGGGCAAAGTCAAATAACAACTAAGAGTGTCAGCAAACAAGGGACAAAGAGGGAAAAAGTTCAAAGATATGAACATATAATGATTTGTGTCAGGGGCTGGAGCGATAGCACAGTGGTAGGGCATCTGCCTTGCGCGCAGCCGGCCTGGCGGAGCTGGGTTTGATTCTTCCACTCCTCTCGGAGAGCCGGACAAACTACCGAGCATATCTCGCCCGCACGGCAAAAGCCTGGCAAGCTACCCGTGACGTATTCAATATGACAAACACAGTAACAACAAGTCTCACGATGGAGATGATACTGGACCGCTAGAGCAAATCGATGAGCAACAAGAGGACAGACAGACTCCAACACAACGCAGCTGCTGCTGTTCAACAGATGTTGCCTTGGTTGCCTGAGTAACGCTGGGGATGATCTCTCCTCACAAAAAAAAAATTATGAGCAAAGTAAAAGTGGACACTGGACAATGATAACAGAACTAAGCTTATCTGAGAAAAGGGCATGGGAGTGACTCAGTAAGGGGTGCAATTATTTTACGGTATGTAAAAATATGGCTTTATATTATATAAAGGGTTCCGGGGCCGAGATCTCCAAGCCTACTCGGACTGGAGTCGAGCATCCTCCACCCAGATCCTCCAAATTCCAGTAGGCGGGGGTCACACCCACCAACTGGCCCCCTGGCGCCGGGTAATCCCATCAGCGGCCAAGACTCTGAGACTATAAAAACCAGCTCCCGGAACCGCGCGGCCGCATTATGACATCTTATTCCTACTTTGACAAACTGGCAGGCTACTGAATGTAGCCTGCCCACATGGCAGAGTCTGGCAAACTCCCCGTGGCGTACCCAATATGCCAAATACCAGATGGGTCTCATTCTCCTAAAGAGCCTTGAATATAATCTCAGGGCTAGGATGAAGGAGACGTTACTGGGGCCTGCTCGAGGCAATCGACGAATGTAAAAATACGTATCTACAAATATATTGTTTAAAGGAGAGGACCTTATGGTGTGAAATCTTTGACTTAATACTGTCTAGCTTGTTTGTTTTGGGGGCTTTTGGGGCTATAACTGGCTCTGCTCGGGTGACAGTGACAGTATGCAGGGCCAGGAATCAAACCAGAGTTGGCTGCATGCAAGACCAAGCACCTTGCCCACTCTAGTCTCTCTGGACCCCTTTTATTCTTTATAAAACTCAATAATTTAGAATCCGATCCTCAAATGTCCTGCTTAATGACTATTTTCAGAGTTGCTGGAGTTGGATGAGAAATATACCAAAGAAAAGAGAGAGGATGAGGAGGCAGCTCAAAGGGCTAGTGTGTATGATCTGCATGTGCAGGAGGCCCAGATTTAAACCCGGGCACCATGTGGTACCCCGAGTGCCACTGCAAGCATGAGGCTGGAAATAAACCCTGAACCGCATGGTGGTATCCCCCCCAAGGCCCCAGAGATAATAAGAGGTGCTAAGGAGATAATTGACATCAGCATGGTCACCAGCACTTCATGACTCCCAGCACTGCCAGGCCATGCATGGCTAGAAGTGACCCCTATTAAAAAAAAAAAAAACAACTGATGGTTGGGGCCAGAGAGATAGATAGTATATAGTGGATAGGGCACTTGCCTTGCATGCAGCTGACCTGGGTTTGACCCCCAGCACCCCATATAGTCCTCCAAGTCTGCCAGGAGTGATTCCTGAGCACAGAGCCAGGAATAAACCCTGAACATAGGCAGGTATGGCCCCAAACAAACAAAAAACCCAGCTGGGGCTAAAGAGATAGTTCAAGAGGCTGAGTCATGTTTCCCACGATGGAGGCCAGGTTAGATTCCTCGCACTGCACTGTCCTCTGAGCACCCCAAGGAGGGATCCCCAAGTACCACCTTGCCTCCTGGTCTATCTGTCTGCCCATTCTTCCCTGAACTTCCAAGACTGATGTCTTTCATGCAGTGTCTTATTTCTCCTTCGTGAGATAAACAGCAACTGGCATTTAAGTCCCAAAGCTCACCCCGGTAATATAGAAAATCTTACATCATTTCGATCCTTGGTGAGTCTCTCTTCTAGTTCCTGGGCTAATTGCAAAAGCCACCATTGTATCTTGAAAAAAAAAAAAACATAGTGAAACTTGAAACTTTGATCTTTCATTTAAAAGACTCGAGTTTTATAAAACTTAGTACTAGAATTAGTCTTAGAATTATTCAGTTCTCCCCCAAACAGAAGTGCTTGCCAAAAGCACCTTGCATAATTGTTACTGTCCCTGGAAATCTTCAGTAATCTGACCTACTGACCTAACTCAACACTTTCATTTTCTCTTCCTGTTGGCATGCCCCCAGGTGCATTCCAGGGATGTTCCAACTCCCGGAAAAGATAGAGGCACAATATCCCTTTTATGTCTTTTATGTTTCTTGTTATCAAAAACTGAGGCTACTACTTGAAATTTAGTCAGTTCTATTTTATTTTTAAATGAAACAGAAAAGGGTAAACACATTACAAGTTAAACAAGTCTACTTTCCACACATAAAAAGCACTTCTATTCCCTTTATGTGTTATAACATGTAAGTCCTTATCTAACTTAACAGTTATCAAAACCCACCAATGAGCCCTTTTAAAATTCATTGCTGTAATTAAAGTAATTCCTGAGTGCAGAGGCAGGAGTAACAAGTGAGCATTGCCGGGTGTGGAGCCAAACCCAAGATAAATAAAAATAAAATGCACTTCAGCTAATCAGTAGCTGAATAAATAGCAGTACTTCTACATCAAAAAAATAATAATAAAATAAAGTAAAATGCACTGCTCTGTTAAGAATGCTACTGACCTGCTCCTGAGTAGAAAGAGCCGTTTTTCCTGGGAAGTTCTTGCTGCAGCCAATGGTTTTGGGTAGTTTCCTGGGTTTAACCGGATCATGTTCAATCCCACGACACATGGCATATAGCCATGATCTAATAAAATCAGAAAGGTGAAGACAAAAGATTATTCTTGTTAAAAATACAAAAACCTGGATTACTCTTTCATTAAAAAATAGAAAAAAATAGAAAACTGTGGCTGGTGAATAGCACAGTGGGTAGGGAGTTTGCTCAGCATGTAGCTTACCCAGGTTTGATCCCAGGCATCCCATATGGTCCCCCAAACAGTCATTCCTGAGTGCAGAACCATGACTAATCCCTGAGCATCCAGGATGTGGCCCAAAACAAAACAAAGGAAATAAAACCTTGTCCCAAATTAAGTATGCCTCATCTCTGGTAGAACCCCTGTCCTTCCTGATGAATTTCAGTTCACTGATTTAATGTTTTACAAGTCATAGTTTAGGGGGCTGGAGTGATAGCACAGCGGGTAGGGCGTTTGCCTTGCACGCAGCTGACCTGGCTTTGATTCCCAGCATCCCACATGGTCCCCCAAGCAACACCAGGAGTAATTCCTGAGTGCAGAGCCAGGAGTAACCCCTGTGCATCACCGGGTGTCACCCAAAAAAAGCAAAAAAAAAAAAAAAGTCATGGTTTATGTTTTTGAGAAAGGAATCGAAATAACTGACAATATCCCTATGGTTTTTGATTTACACTTAGGTCTAAACACAAGGATTTTAAGGGACTATCAATCACAATTTTAGCTCACTTAAATGATGTATATAGTCAAGCTTGAAAATAACAATTCCTTTCATCAATCTACACAGGTCTATGAAAAGAGTTGTTTAGCATACAGACCATAATGATCTAATATGAAACAACTGAATTCCTCAAAGAACAAAGGTTAACCTAAAGATAGATCCAGATTCTACTTGATCACTATTTCTCAAAGTAGGCTGGGGAAGAGATGAAGGGTCAAGAAATTGTGGGTTTTCAGAAGTAGATCTGGGTACTAGTGTGGACAGTGCTTTCTGTTTGTTCATTTACAGAACATAAATTTGGGGGCTGAAGAGAACTCTCAACAGACTGGATCACATGTTTTGCTTGCAGGAGGCCCAAGTTTGAGACACAGTACCTACAGATAGTCCCTATCTCCCAAGTACTGCCAGGAATAACTCTCAAGTTCAGAACCAAAAATAGATCCCCCACTTCTCCACCTCCCTCCCCCCCCCAAAAAAAAAAAGAGAAAGAAAAAAGGTAGATTCCTAGGGCAGATGCTGATATTTTTTCCTGGAAAGAGGAAAGTAGGCCAAATAAGTTGGGACACCTTCATTTTTGATGCTTTTGTAAGGCTAGAGAGATAGTATAGAGGCCAAGGTGTTTATCTTGAATGCACCCAACCTGGGTTCAATTTCTGGCATTAAATATGGTCTCCCAAGCCCTGTCAGGAGTAATCACTGAGTGCAGAGTGAGGAGTAAGCCCTGACCACTGCCAGATGTAGTCCAAAAACCAACCCCACTCTGACCCACAAAACAAACCCACAAATGCTTTCAATATTGGAATTTAGCAAGTCCATAAAGGTTATGATTGAAAAATATTAGAATCACTTACCCATTCTTTTCCCCAAAATGACTCTGGAGCTGGGATTCAGTGAACTGAGTCAGTTCACCCATGTATTCTACTCCTAGAACTTCAATGACAGAAGCCCCAAGCTTTCCTCCAAGACTACGGCTGAGAAAAAAGAGACAATTTAAGGTCCATCATAAATATCAATAAATATCTATTGAGCAGACATAAGATAATCTTTTTGTGTCCCAAGCTTCTCCAGAAAATTAAGGAGAAATAAGAGATTTTACTAGTCCTTCAGGTTGTTAATTTTCTTGAATAAGACTCAATGATTTTGGGTAGTCAGATAGTCTGGGAATTAAGACCTGGGAAAGTTAACAATAGCACAGACAAATGAGAAAATTGATTACTCAACTATAAATCATTTTTTCGTTTCCAGTTTTCTTTCTTTCTGAGGACTAGGGACCAAACCAAGGGCCCCACATATTCAAACAAAGCACTCTACCACTGCACTGCATTCATGGCCTCTTAGAGAAAATTTTCACCCATACAGGCCTTACAACCTCATTTAGGGTTGAAAAATTCAATTTTACTTATGTTTTGCATGTGGAGGACCTTGGTTCGATCCCCAAATACACACATGAGACAAATATTCCCCAAACAAATCTCTTCCAAAACTAAAATCTTTTCTATTTAAAAATATAATTAAAATTTTTTCAGCCTGGTCTTTGAGGCTTCATATAATCTGTATTCAGTCTTTTCAGGCTCTTTTCTATATTATCCTCATGATGCCACTCAACTTGTTTGTCCTAGCATATTAAAAATACCTTGTGTTTCTCTCCTTTGTGTTAAAAACATCCTTTATGTCAGTATTGCTCTTCCATTCTCATCTTACTGTCCAAATTGTGCCAATACAAAATCCCCTGAGTAATTCTTCTCAAACTATTCTCTATGAACTTTTGATAACTACCTGTACAATTCATTTAGCAAGTACTCATGTAGAATCCTGTGATAGCATTTTCATTACTGTTTTGAACTACACTACCTCTCTTCCGCCAACTGTATCCTTTAATTTGACTGCTCTCGTGTCTCATTTGGGAGTAATTCGGTAGCCCAAAAGCCCTTGAAGAAAGGTAATATGACTTGACACGGGGCCAGTGAGATGGTATAGAGGGACGGGCAATTACCTTACACACAACTGACCTGGGTTCAATCCCCAGCATCCCATATGGTCCCCTGAGCACTGCCAGGAGTAATTCACTGTCAGGAATCACCCCTGAGCATTAGTGGATGTGGCCTAAACCCCACCCCTATCCCCCAAAATAGTAAAACTTGAATAAAAAGCCTAGAGAGAAATAAAATATTATTAAAAATCAGTTCTTCCTGTTCTTCTTTTATAAAACAGGATTGAGCATCTTCCACTGAATCTAGAACTGAAGACTTATTAGGGAAAAAAATGAGTGGATTTTCAAAGTTATCTTCCTCTACCAACCTGGTATCTTTTCCCTGGTGTCACACCTTCATAACGAACAGAAGAAACTACAACTTGCAAGTACCTTCACATGTATATGAGTGAAAGTAAGGTGCTCCCTGAACACTTACATTTTGCTAATAGGCACTTGATTGAAGAGCTGTGGGACTGCTCCCTGTGAGACCAGTGTCTGACGATTAGGCTTGTTTAGTCCACAGGCCAGTTTTGCCAGGACCTACAGTGTGGAAAGTGAAAAATCTCATTACTGTCTCCACCCATAGAGAGAGCACACACACACACACACACACACACACACACACACACACACACACACACCCCTTGAGTGCTATGTGACTCATGGTTTCCACATTAAAAATAATATAAAACCAGAAACTTGAGAACTAAATCTTGGTACCCCACAACAGCCTCATTGGAAAATATATATCACTATTATTACCCCAATTTTCTTTCCATATAATTCCATTGTTGGTTTTCCCTTAGTCATTTTTTTCCTACCCCATCTATACCTTAAGGTCTTTCCACTTTGAGAGAAAAAAGTACAGAAGCTACAAAAAATGTCAATTTGAAAATGCTGACCAGCTCCATTTATTTACATTTCTTGATAAGTGGTCGAGTTCCTCCCAGATCTAATCATTCTTAAGGTCTTAATCACAGGTTACCACCATTCAGTACCTGTGATAAAGTTGGGCTCAAAATTACCTTCCAGTAGTGAATATTTCCTGATACCATAAACAAGGTCTCCAAACGCAAATAATTAAATCTTTGAGAAGTTTTTGTTAAAATACTTAAGTAGTATACGATAACATTGGTTTGTCCTTTCTCCCTTGCCACTGGGAACTTAGGTCACAGTGCTTCCTATTCCTCTGTGGGAATGGCCCCCAAACAAAACAAAAACAAAATTCACTGGAGAGATTATCTAGAAAGTTCTACGGGGCAACAATTAGTTTAGTTTAAGTTACTACAAAAAGGTAGCTCAGAGGACTGGAACATGTACTTTGCTGAGGCCTGGATTGTGTCCCTGACATTGCGTGGTCCCCCTGAGCACTACTCGGAGTAATCCCTGAGCAGCAGTCCCAAAACCAAAAACAACAGTAATAGGAGCCGACTGGGGTTTGATCCCCAGCACCACATATGGTCTCCTAAGCGTGCCAGGGGTGGTTCCCGAGCATAGCCATGCATAGCCCAAAAACAACAAAAAAACAAAACTCAGATTTTCCTTTGGTCCTCAATATAAATTTTAAATAGGCACTCAAAAGAAGGCATGTGGAATGACTTCAGTGTTCCACTCCTTGCTGTACCAATATTTTTTGTTTTTGTTTCTAAAAATCTATTAGCTTTTACCTTATTGTGTGAAATTCCAGCTGAACACTGAAAACCAGTCTCCTTCTCGATGGCTGCTCTCATTTCCTCCACGATCACTGCTCCCACGGTGAGCTGCAGGTCTGGAGAGGTGGGGTTATCAATTTGAAGAGAATCAAGCCACTGTAGTAAGCCTTGTTTTCGTCTCTCCTCTGAAAAGATTGAAAGGTCACATTTAGACATTAAAAGTAATTATTGCAGCTAGAGTACAGAAGGTAGGGCATTTGGCTTACATGCAGCCGACTTTGGTTCAATCCTGGGCATCTCATAATGTTACTGAAGCACAAACAGGAGTAATTTCTGAGTGCAGGACCAGAAGTAACCTGAGCACCAATGGGTGCAGCCCCAAAACAATCAAAAACAAAAGCAAAATTTTGTTTTTGATCAAAAACAAAAGCAAAAATTATTTAATTGTTCTATTAACTGTATAAATGCTTCTTAGATTGCAAGCAAGGTTTCACAAAAACATCTTAAAAGACTGATTATGAAGCCTACACATTCTTCTTCATACTATTTCCAGCACCCTTCATTTTAGCATAAGGTGAACCATAATGTTCTGATTACAAACATATATTTCATAAGAAATGATTTAATTATAGTAGTGGAATACTGTTACTTTGGTGGTGGTCATAGTGTAGTTACACATACTTAATAGTACAGTGAAACTGAATTCCAAAAACATAGTCTTATAAACCAACATTACTTGTTCCCCTAATAAAATAATTTTGTATTTTAGAGTGAAGGGGAGGGGTTGGCCCTGTTGTACTTAGCTAGCTCCGTGTTCAGGAATACCCCTGGCAGTACTTGGAGGACCATATCTAGTGCTGGGGATTGAGTCAGGGTTTGCCAAAGTGGCTATATACAAGGCAAGTTTTTTATGTCCTATGCTATCTCTACAAACCCTAAACCCTAACACACACACACACACACACACACACACACACACACACCCTTCCTCTCCAGTTCTCTCTCTTTTTTTTTTTTTTTTTAGTTTTACCATTTTTATAGTTCAGGAGTCTTTTTATTTAAAAAACAACAACAGCTTCTCTTGGGGCAGAAGTGATAATACAGCAGGTAAGCAGGTAGGGCATTTGCCTTGCATGCGCCCAAGCTGAGTTCAATCTCTGGCATCCCATATGTCTCTTGAGCAAAGCCAGGAGTAATTCCTGAATGCAGAGCCAGAAGTCACCCAAGATTGCAGGGTGTGACCCAAAATGCCAAATAACAAACAAAACAACATCTTTCATTCCATGATTCCCTAGAGAATGAGCTTTAACAGCTCAGGCTTCTTCTCACAAAGTGAGAAGTCACTGGGTGGAGCAGGCTGGAGCTTCAGTGGAACCCAAGTTCCTTTCTCTTTGATGTCCTCCTTTTTCTGAATGTTGTCTTTTGCCTGCTTCAGAAAGCTGTCTCGACTTTTATTTATTTTTTTCGTTTTGGGTCACACCTGGAGATGCACAGGGGTTACTCCTGCTCTGCATTCAGGAGTTACTCCTGGCGGTGCCTCAGGGGACCGTATGGGATGCTGGGAATCGAACCTGGGTCGCCCGCTTGCAAGGGAAACGCCCTACCCGCTGTGCTATCGCTCCAGCCCACCTCAACTTTTAGAGTGCTTAATATGTCCAACGGGGCTGGAGCGATAGCACAGCAGTAGGGCGTTTGCCTTGCATGCAGCCAACATGGTCGACCCGAGTTCGATCCCTCCGCCCCTCTTGGAGAGCCCAGCAAGCTACCGAGAGTATCTCGCCCGCACAGCAGAGCCTGGCAAGCTCCCCGTGACGCATTCAATATGCCAGACACAGTAACAACAAAGTCTCCAATGGAGACGTTACTGGGCCCGCTCGAGCAAATCGATGATCAACGGGAGGGCCTTTACCTTTAATATGTCCAATACGAACATCAATTCTCTTGGCAAGAAATCTTGCCCTTTGCTTGCTTGCTTGTTTGTTTACTACAATGCCAAAGGCATGCTGGGTAACATTGTAGACTCTTCCAGTTTTGCCATGGTAACATTTGTGGGGCATTCCTTTTTGGACAGTGTCCCTTTATGTTCAGGATCATGACCTTCCTTGTAGAACTGCACACACATGGCCAAAGCAACAACTCCATGTTTTCTGAAAAGTTTAGAAAATATAGAGCTGGTGCCCTTCCTGTTTCCCTTTGTGTTGGACATTTCTGGCAGTTCCTGCCGCAAGGCTTCTCCTCTCCAGGTCTCTAATTTCTTAAAACTTTCCCCAGGAACATCTTTAAGAAGTCTGTTGTCATGCAATAGAATAATTAGAATTAATCCAATCTTCTCTATGAACTGAAGTTAGAATTTACATGTTTTTAGAAGGTGTTTCTGAACACCCTAAAATCCAATTAGATCACTAGAAAACTTACTCTAAAATTTGTTAAAATTGTATTTAGCTTCAGACTCAGGGTCTTAAAACTTATCTGAGTGGTTTTTTTGTTTGTTTGGTTTTAGGCCATACCCGGTGGTGCTCAAGACTTACTCCTGGTTCTGTACTCAGAGATCACTCTTGGTGGGGCTTAGGAGACCATACGGGGTGCCACAGATCAAACCCAGGTCAGTGGTAGCATGCAAGGCAGGCACTTTACCCACTGTTACTATTACTCTGGCCCAGAACCACCTAGCTTTTAAAAAGCATAGGAAAATGATTATATAGCAAAGACACTAGCTACATAGGAAAGAGACATTTTGGTTTAAAGAATCAGTGATGAAGTATGAAAATGAGGCAAGAAAACACATTCAAAGTATCTTGGAAAGATGCACAGTGTAAGTTCACTTACACGGAGAAAAGAAGATGTGCAAAACAGGAAATAGAAGATGATTGCTGTTTCTCTCTTTGCTGACATGTCTGACTTCTTCCCCTAACACTCTGACAGAGTACTAGGCAGCACTGTACATATATGCCACTTCAGGAATTTTTTTTTTTTTTTTTTTTTTTTTTTGCTTTTTGGGTCACACCTGGCAGTGCACAGGGGTTACTCCTGGCTCTGCACTCAGGAGCCACTCCTGGCGGTGCTCAGGGGACCATATGGGATGCTGGGAACCGAACCTGGTTCGGCCGTGTGCAAGGCAAACGCCCTACCTGCTGTGCTATCTCTCCAGCCCCAGGAATGTTTCTATAGTTTGTACTGAACTCACTAATTAGTCAACATATCTCTAGTGCCAAAGAGACAGATCAAATGGCTGAGCAGATGCTTTGCATGTTGGCATGCAGGAGGCCCAGGTTCAACCCCTGGCACCACAAGATTCCCCAGCACCACCAGAGCTCTGACCTGGAAGAAACTCCTCAGCACCACCTCAGTTCACTGGGTGTGAACTCAAAACCAAAAATAAATATATCTCTATAATTTCATAGTATATTCTAATAATTTCATGAAAACCCTATTACTTTTTACATTTAGATTCCCCAGCTTTATAGTACATAGAAATCCTATTGATATCATTTTTTTTGGATGGGGGGCTCAGAATTACTCCTGGCTCTGCATTCAGGAATTGCTCCTGGTGATGTTCAGGGGACCATATGGGATGCTGGAGATCAAACTCAGGTCAGTCGCATGCATCCTATTTATCACATTCCCAAATACTTTATTTTCACATACTGAGTTTTGTCTCCTGAAACTTTGAAAATCTCACTTGTTCAAGTTCTAATTACCACTTTTGGTTAATCTCTCTCTTTTTGGGTGGGCTTCTAAGTTTTGTGATGGTTGATCACACAGTGGGGCCAGTGTGAACAGCTGGTGCTCTGGTTACGCCAGACTTGAAGCTTATAATGGTCACACTATGGTGTTCAGGGGACCATAAGTTGCTCTACCTCTCTGTTCCCAATTCTGAACTTTTATTTTTGGTTCAGAGAGATAGTATAGGAGAAAAGACACTTACTCTGCATGTGGCTGACCCCAATTTGAATCCCAGGTACCACGTTTGTCTTCCCACCCTGAAGCACCACCAGGAGTGATCTCTGAAGCACAAACACAGGAATAAGCCCCGAGCACTATCGGGTGGGGCTCCCCCAAAATAAATATTTTTCTTTTTCATTTAATCACTGTGAAACTAAAGTAAAATTAAAATAAATTATCTACAAACAGCCTGAGAGAGTACAGCGGGTAGGGCACTTGCCCTGCCTGAGGCCAACCTGGGTTTGATCCCTGGCACCCCATATGGTCCCAAGCACTCCAGGAGTGATCCCTAAATGCAGAGCCAGGAGTGAGTCCTGAACACCTTGGTGTGCCACACCCCCCAAATTATCTACATGATAAATATGGTATATAAATCTTAAGACAAAAGAAAATTTATCATGATTATAAAATTTATGACTCTGGTCCCAGGACAATAAACTTATTACAAGTTTCATCATCAACTTTGCCTCCATTAAGTAACACTTTTTATTTATATATTTTTGGCTTTGGGGCCATCCCTAGTAGTACTCAGGGTTTACTCCTGGAGGGGCTATGGTGGATCCTATGTGGTGCTGGAGAATGAACACAGGTCAGCTGCACGAAAGACAAGCACCTTACCCTCTGTGCTAACACTTTGGCCCCTAAGTAACACATTTTTTTTTAACTGTCCACTGTATTGCTTTCTTTTTTTTCAGTTAAGAGATTTTACTCTAATAGCTACAATGACTGTGCTTGTATGCTGAAATGAAAACTGAAAACAAGCATACAAAACTTGTGTACTGAAAGCGGTAAGACATTCCATGACACCAAACGAACCATTTCTGAGGTTTCCCCCAAAATAAAGTTTAACAGCTCCAGCTTCTTCAGTGTTTATCAAAATACAAAAGAAAAAAGTTGAGGCTGTTATTTATTTTTTTTATGGCAAATCTGACCCTTGCAGGCTGAGGGAGGGAAAGCATGTATAGTGGGTGCCCCAAGGAGTGTCCACTGTATTCTTGAGAAGTAAAAGATCTGCAACCTCCAGTGAGACAAATCCTATGACATAATGTAATTCCTCAGTAGTCCTTCCCACAGGTTTCTCTGGTCTGCCTTTCCACTTTTCAACACAACATTCGAAAGACATAATATGTAATTACTCAACAACAAAAGGAAACTACATCTTTCATCTTACTTGAAAATACAAGAAATGGGAAATTCACCACTGTGTTTATAAATAAGCTAAACTCTCTTGAAGTGTTTTTCCTTGACATATCTGCATTGTTACTACAAGTAATAATATATTGCCTATGGTTTTTCTATGACATCATCTTGCTATACACAGATCTGTATCCAGTTTCCTTTTGGGAGGAAGACACAGTCCAGGGTGTAAAGACACTAGTCTTGCACAGGGCCAAACCGGGTTTAAGCCCCAGCATTGCATATGCTCACATGAAAGCACTGCCTGGAGTGACCCAAGCAGAGTCAGGAGTAAAGCCCTGAGCTCAGTTCCATGAGGTCCAATTACTCCCTTCTTAAAAAAATTAAATGAAATAAAATTAAAAAAATACACAAAAGAAACAAAGTGTTTCTTTTTGTTATGAGTTAACACTGTATCTTATTTATTCTAATTCAGGTTAGAAAGTAACAGTTTGATACCTTACAAAGGACTGGAGGACAGATACACTGTTTTGTTGCAGTACCCAGAAGGGCACAGGATTTACTCTTAGATCTGGCTGGGGAAGGGGGGAAGAGGAGCGCATCACTCCTGGCCCGGGCAAGGCTTGAGGGACCATATGTGGTGCGGGGATCAAGCCTGAGTCATCTGTGTGCAAGGCAAGTGGCTACACTATTTCTCCAGTCCTTACACTGTTTTGAACACAGCCCTTATAAAAAGTCCTAGAAAATACACCTGTAGAAAGCCTCAAGTAGTATACAATTCTTGGCTCTGGGAGATGCAAAACTGAATTCCATTTTCTTAATACTGGGCTAAAAAATATAGAAGTTTCTATATGATCTCATATCTAGAATTATCATAATCTAATTTTAGATTAAGCCCTAGTTTAATATGGTGCCTCAGGCCACGCTAGGGCCAGGAGTGATGGGGGGGGGGGTGGCAGGGTGGAGGTACAGTTCTAAGAGTAAGCCCTAAGTACAAAAGAAATTTTTACTAATCTACTTTTATTACCCAAAAATTTACTCCTAATTTTTGGAGGCCACATTGTACAGGTAACATATTTCAGATGTCAGATAGTAAGGGATTAAGGGGCTTGTTTTGCACCCCAAATTCCCAGAATATGCTAGCACTGCCAGGGGCCAATTCTGAGCACAGAGCCAGGAATAACCCCTGAGCACTATTAGGTGTGGCCAAATCATATATATGTATATAATTTGCTTTAATTGCAATAATGATGGGGTTCCATACTTTACTGTGGTGCTTGCACACACTTGGTTTTGGTACACTACAGATTGCACACTGATTGTGCTGCCTGAATTATGCTCGCAGAATGTGGGATGGTGATGGGAATTAACTCACAGTCTCATGCTTACAAGATAGATGCTTTACCATTGAGCTATCTCCAGGTCTCCTAAGAAAATTTTTTTTTGGGTAGGGGAATCACCCAGTGATGATCAGGGGTTACTCCTGGCGGTGCTCAGGGGTACCATATGGGGGCGCAAAGGATCAAACCCAGGTCGGCCGCATGCAAGGCAAATGACCTATCTGCTGTACTATACTATCACTCAGTCCCCGCAAAAAGATATATTTAATGATCAAATACATGCTTATTATCTAGTTCTTACTCTGGAGAACCTGGCAGGCTACCAAAAGGATCCTGCCCACACGGCAGAATCTGGCAAACTCCCCATGGTGTATTCAATATGCCAAAAACCAGTAACAACGATGGGTCTCATTCTCCTGACCCTGAAAGAGTCACTTTCTAAAATCTCAGGGCTAGGACGAAGAAGATATTACTGGTGCCTGCTCGAGGAAATCGATGAACAACAGGATGACAGTGATACAGTGACAGTGATCAAATATATTATTTATTAAAACACATACACGCAGATAATACCACAAAGTTCTGTCAAGTAAAAATAAATCACTTATCTGGGTTGGAAAGACAGCTAACAGGCTGAACACGTGCTCCGTACGCAGGAGGCCTGACTCAAGCCCCCACTGCCATGATTCCCCAAGCACCACCAAAAGCGACCTCCAAACACCAAGGTGGGAATAAACCCTGAGCCCTATGGTCTGACACTCAAAATGAAACAAAAACCAAAGGAAAAAAATTATTCAACTCTTTAATAATATATTTGATAGTTAAATATATCTTCTTGCGGGGGCTGAGTGATAGTATAGTACAGCAGGTAGGCCGTTTGCCTTGCACGCGCGTGCACCCCATATGGTACCCCTGAGCACCGCCAGGAGTAACCCCTGAGCATCACTGGGTGATTCCCCTGCCCAACCACAGCACTGCAAGAGCAACCAACCATCACAGCCTCTCAGCAGAAGGAAGGAAGGAAGGGAGGGAGAGAGGGAAGGAGGAAGACATTCACACAGGGTTATAAACTTTAAAAAGATTCATATGCTTCTCATACAAATCTTACGAGATAAATGAGTCAAAACAACCTAACAACAATATGGGTAAAGAATTTAAACATGGGGCTGGAGCGACAGCACAGCAGGTACGGCGTTTGCCTTGCACACGGCCGACCAGGGCTTGATTCCCAGCATCCCATATGGTTCCCTGAGCACTGCCAGGAGTAACTCCTGAGCGTAGAGCCAGGAGTAACCTCCGTGCATCGCCAGGTATGACCCAAAAAACAAAAAAATAAATAAATAAAAAGAATTTAAATAGCAGACTAGATAGTACAGCGGGTAGGGTATTTGCTTGCATGAGGCCATCCCAGGTTTGGTCCCTGGTACCCCATATGATCCCCTAAGCCCGCCAGGAGTGATTCCTGAGCACAGAGCCAGGAGTAAAATCAAGAGCATTGCTGTGTGGCCCAAACACAAAACAAACAACAATAAAAAAGGGGGTGAAAAGAATTTAAACAGGCATTTCATGCAAAGCACTGGTATGTAGATAGTGAATTTACCAAAAAGTGCAGTTCAACACCAGAGACATCAAAAAAATATACTGTGACTTCACTACACACCAATCAAAATGAATAAAATGCAAAATAAATATGGACAAGGATGAAACAATAAACTTAAGCACTGCTAGTAGAATTCTATACTTATGCTACAATTTTGGAAAATTGGGTAGTATTTACTTCAGTTGAGTGTAGGTAAACTAAAGTTGAATGCAGGTAAACCCAACAATTAGCACTTGTAGTATCTACCCATCATAAACAAACATCTGGGCCACACAAAGATTTTACAAGAATGTTTTTCCAAGAATGTTTTTCACATCCCAGTTCGTAGTTACAGTTTAGAAACAAACCAAATACCCATCAATAGATTAATGGATAAACTGTGGTATAGTCACGAAGTAGAACACACTATACAGCAATAGGAGTAAAACAACTGAATATGGCTTTATGAGAATGGATGAATCGCATAAAGACAATGCTGGGTGACTGAAGTCAGACTAGAGTATATAGCGTAATTTCAATCTTATAAAGTTCAAAAATAAGCTATCTAGGAATCAAAATGGTTGCTTTGGCAGGGGGAGGTATACCTGATGACTATAAGGATAGCTTTTAAGGGTTCCAATATTATAGATCTGGATGTTGCTTACAACTGGGTTTATTGTAAAAAGTCATATTTTGCACACATAATCTGTGTACTTTGTATCAATTAAAAGATGGAGGGGAAGAGCAAATAGTACAGCAGGTAAGGCACTTGCACTGGCCAACTCTGGTTTGATTAATCCCTCTCTCCCTCCCAGCCCCGCTCCTTAGCCAGGCCTGCAGGAGCCAGGAGCCACCCCCACCCCCAACATTGCCATGTGTGACAAAAAAGTGGGGGAGGGGCCGGAGCGATAGTACAGCGGGTAGGGCGTTTGCCTTGCACGCAGCCAACCCAGATTCGACTCCCAGCATCCCACATCTCCAGGTGTGACCCAAAAAGCCAAAAAAAAAAAAAAAAAAACACCAAAGTGGGGAAAAAAGAGAGAGAGAAAGAGACACTGACACTAGAATAGTTTTATGGCAGTGCTACGGCTACCAAGCAAAACAGATTCCAAAGGCAGCAGGCAGAAAGAGTGTGGTGCCATTAAAGTACCTTTCTGAACAGCCCCTTTTGCTGTTGGAGGGTTTTGAGGCGACCCTTCAATGTACGTGGTTGGCAACATGTCAGCCGAGATAGGGTGATCTGGTAGCTTCTTCAGTCTCTCTTGTACAGCACCAGTCAGGTCTACATAAGCCTCATCAATGCTGGCACGTTCAATCACAGCAAAACGGGACATTATCCCCATTACTTCAACACTGGCTTCCCGATACCTAAAATGTACCAGGAGTGTAAGAATAGGCAATACATAGAAGCAAATGAGATTATTGGGCCCATCTCCTCCCATCAATAAATGGAAAGATAACATGCAAAATCAGTGTAAGGTTTCCTTAAACAAAGACAAAGAATAGAGAGTAATTTAATGGGCCACTGAGCAGGCATGAGCAGATGTGAAAAAACAAAACGTAACACAGAGGCAAACTAATTAGTGTGACTATTGCTAAAAAGTGCTCAATACATGAATATATGTATGTAACCTCTATCTCCCTAAGATGGAAATATTTCAAAAATGCTTACTAGATGGTTAGAGAGATAGTATAGTGAGTCATCTGCCTAACATGCAATGACCCAGGTTCAAGTACCATCTGGAGTATGAAGCTGCAGACTCACTGCCTTGCCCAGTGAATATCGGTCTGACCACAGACCTATTTAAACCATGACAAGTAGCTCTTTGAACTGTATACTGACACATTTTTATGAAAATATAATATTTCCTTTGAATACAAAGAAATTTGCCAGGAAATTTAGAGTTCATTGTTCCTATTGAAACCACTGTTATTTCTTACAAAGATACACGTGTCTCCTTCATTAAGCTATAAAGACTAGTATAATACTGTTTTCAAACATTCTCAAATGAAAGAAAGAATTAGAGAAAATTGAGTTCTTTTGGAGTTGGGGCTTCCAAGTGGTACTTAGAGGAACCCAAAACCACTCTTATACTATCTCTCTGGCCTCATATTTTGTACTGTTGGCCAACAGTGCTGGGAGCTTCAAGGACGACACCCAGAACTCAGAGCTGCAGTGCCAGTGACTGAACTCCGGGCTTACACACGCAAAGCAGACCTTTGAGTTAATTCCTTGGCCTCAGTTTTGTTTTGTCTGAGGGTTCTTGGTTTGGGATTTGGTGGTGTTGAAGTTTACCTGCCATGCCTGGGATCTAACCCAGGCCTCCAACGTAGAAAACATGCACTCAGCCTGCTAAGCTCTCTCCAGGGCAGGTTTGTGCACAAGACAGTGAGAGCATGACATCTCTTGCTCGTAAGAAACCATATTCCGGTTGTTGTGCCTTCACAGTTTCTTGAGCAAATTACTCCCCCAGCAAAGGGTGGGGTTTTCCCCTTTTGTTTTTTCCCTTGATCTGATTTTGGGCCATCCCCTTAGTGCTCAGGTTTATTTTTATTTTTTTGTTTTTTGGGCCATACCAGCAATACTCAGGCATCACTCCTGGCTCTGCACTCAGGAATTACTCCTGGCGATACTCAGAGAATCATACAGATGCCAGGATTGGCTGTGTCTGAGGAAAATACCCGATCCACTCACAACAGCTCCAGCCCCTGTTCTGGTTCATTTCTGATGGTACTTGGGAGAGTGTGTGGTGCTGAGGATTGAACCTGAGCCTTCCTGCATGTAGTACATGTGCTCAGCTTGTTGAGCTGCCTCTCTAACCCACCCCCAACCTTTAATTATAAAATTAAAAGGGCATCAAGGTGCTGGAGAGACAGTGCAGTGGTAAGATGCTATCTTGCTTGTGGCTGACCCAGGTTCAATCCCCAGCACCCCATATATTCCTTGAGTTCTGCCAGGAGTGTTTCCTCAGCACAGAGCCAGGAGTAAACCCTGAGCACAGCCCAGTATGTTCCAAAAACAAAACAAACCAAAAAATTAAAAAATAAAGACTGGGGCTGGAGTGAGAGCACAGTGGGTAGGGCATTTGCCTTGCACACGGCCGACCCGGGTTTGATTCCCAGCATCCCATATGGTCCCTGAGCACTGCCAGTAGTAATTCCTGAGTGCAGAGCCAGGTGTTACCCAAAAAGCAAAAAAATAACAATAATAAAAAAATAAAGAGTGCTGACCGAAGAACATTTGGGGGAAGGGAGGAGAACTGGACTATGCTCTGCAATGCTCAGGGTTTATTCCTGGCTCTGTGCTCAGAGATCACTGTTGGAGTGCTTGGGAATCATAAGGGGTACTGATGATAGAACAAGGGTTGGCCTCAAGACAAGTACCTTAACTCCTGTTCTATCTCTCTGGTCCACCAAAGGGCAGTTTTTAGATATTATTTATACAAAACAAATCTGAAAGATCAGTTTTTAAATTTCATGAAATATTATTCCTAACGCTTCCATTCCTCTTAAATTATCTTCTCTTCTAGGGCTGGACCGCATGCTTTGCATGCAGAAGGATGTTTGACCCCTGTTCCCCAGTCCTTGAGTGATTCCTGAGCACCGTCAAGTGTGATCCAACAACAGCAACAAACTCTTCTTACTTGGTTAGATTAGCTTTCCCACGCAACTCGCGAACTTGTGCCAGCAGAAGATCTGGACATAACTTCTTGGCATCATCTGCCCACATGTTTCTAGTCACCCCAAATGCACGTGCTTCATAACTCACTGCAATTATTCTAAGAATTAGAAGAAAAAAGGAACAGGAAAAGGTTACATGTTCACAAGCACTGGCAATGAAAATTTAACACAATAGGCTATAAAAATATTTGAGACAACCCACCTCCAATACCATGTAAGCTCATTTATGGGCCATGATCCAGAGACTCATAAATAAATTTTGAAAGAGATCAAGTTGCAGAATTCTTATCGACACCTGCACATGGCTGAGTCATTTGGGGCACCCTTTGTGGGGTGGATCAGCCCAAAAAAGAGCCCCTGCAGATCAAAGTTCCCACACTTCATCGCAGCCATGCCCCCGGCCCAGACTCCACTGTCTCAGACAAGCCTCACCCAGAAATTAATATGCCAAAAAATTCAAGTATGTGGTTTTGTAAGTGAAATCTTCAGGCTTTCAGAATTTGGATGGGCTATCTCCTCCCATCTTCCTGTACTTCCAGAAGCCCCGGCAGTCATGCACACACCCCAAAACTCCAGCCATATCACCCTGTTAAAAATCCTGAACTTGCTGGAGCAACATCTCAAACTAGGGCTGGAGCGAAAGCACAGCGGATAAGGTGTTTGCCTTGCGCGCGGCCAACCCGGGTTTGATTCCCAGCATCCCATATGGTCTTCTGAGCACCTCCAGGAGTAATTCCTGAGTGCAGAGCCAGGAGTGACCCCTGTGCATTGCTGGGTGCGATCCAAAAGTGGAAAACAAAATCTCAAACCCTACAACACTGATAATCCAGGAGTAGCACACCAGATTGGATGGGATGCAATGTAGAAGGCAATCAATCTTGGTCAACAAAACATAAACACAAAAGGCTTAACCTGTAACAACATTTTAGTAATCTCTTAGACAAGGACTTAATGGCTCCATGATGAGAGACAAAAATTTTCACTTTCTTCTAAGGGAACATTCTTTGATCATTCTGTTAGCAAATTATTGATAACAAACAATATAAAATAAATTATTAAGGGCCTGCTGTGGGGACAGATATAAGGGATAGTTGGGAAAACTGGAGAAATGATGGAGGGAAGGTGTAATGGTGGTGGGACGGGTGTTGAAATATTGAATCATGAACAACTTTGTAAAACACAGAGTTCATATAAAGTGTAAGGGGATAATTTACATATGAAGGTCTTACCTATTCCATGTAAACTCCAAAATATATTAACACAGAATTGCTTTAGAAGTTCTCTTAATGGCAGGTGGGACACAATAACTACCATAACAAGATCCAAGTATAAAATAAAATTTAATGGAATATACTTTAGATTCTAGACTTGAAAATGTATATATGTAAATGAGAATAGGCATTTTTTATATTGTATGAAATGGTTTTAATTTTCTTATTTACTTAGGTCAAAATCATATAGTAATCACTAATCGGCCCTACCAATTTATCTTCTGATCATTCTATTTGCCAATTCTTAAAGTTTTGTTTGAATGAGTAATATAAAGTAAATTTATTATGTGCCAAAGGTGGCAGGTTGGGATTGGGAAGGAAACTAGGAACACTGGTGGTCACTCTGGTGGCGTTGAACACAAAATGCTTTAAACAACTGTATAATGAACAACTTTGCAATCACAGTGTTTTTGCCTGAGCGGGCCCAGTAACGTCTCCATTGGAGACTTTGTTGTTACTGTGTCTGGCATATCGAATACTCTCGGTAGCTTGCCGGGCTCTCCGAGAGGGGCGGAGGAATCGAACTTGGGTCGGCCATGTTGGCCGCTTGTAAGGCGAACGCCCTACCCGCTGTGCTATCGCTCCAGCCCTACAGTGTTTTTAATAAAGATTAATTTTAAAAATCTGAAACTTTTTGCTCAATTTGTTGCTATTTGATCTTAAAAAATAACTGGGCTAGGATGTAGCTCAGTCATAGAGCACTTTCCTTGCATCTGGGAGGGCTTGGGTTTGATCCTTGGAAACAGTGAATACAAAAGCAAACAAAAAAAATCATAGTATCAGAAATCTAAAAAATAGGACCTCTCTATAAGAACCAGGTGTTCTTATAGATTATAACAGTAGTTAAAAGAGCCCCAAGAGAAACAGCTCAGCAACAAAGCACCTATCCTGCAGGCACCAACCACATTTGGGGCAAGCACCTAAACTAAGTGACCCCCAGACACCAGACAATTACTAAGGGCAGGGAGGGAGGAGAGTAGAAAAAGATCTAAATCAAGTTGACAGTTACAAGAATAATGAAGATACTTACCCACCACCTTTCCATGATTTGTATTGTACTACTGCACAAGGCTTATTCTTCAAATAAGGATTTTGCCGCTGCTCCACTTGAACAAAAAAACAGTCCATGTCTACCAGAGCAACTACACGGTCTTGTCCAGTATTCATTTTTCTGTAAAGAATATTTTACAATTAGAGGGGCTGGAACAATAGCACAGCGGGTAGGGCATTTGCCTTGCACACGGCCGATCTGAGTTTGATTCCCAGCATCCCATATAGTCCTCTGAGCACCACCAGGAGTAATTCCTGAGTGCAGAGCCAGGAATAATCCCTGAGCATTGCCGGGTGTGACCCCCCAAAAAAAGAAAAGAAAGAATATTTTACAATTAGAAAGGATATACCCTGGGAGTATGGTGCCACCAACAGGTCAACCTGTACCTGTTGGGTGAGTGCATCAGCAGCCTGATGGTGCCTTCAGGCTTCCTGACAGCCCAAAATTGCCCCTGTGTATTTGGCCAGACCCCAACAACTTGGGACCAAGTTTAACAAAAAATTAAATGGCCAAAAGTTAGGTATGTGGGAGCCATGTTCACAAACCACCTCCGGCTCAGCTATACAAACTTATTATTGGCCTTATTTCAGAGACCCATAGATAAATCTCAAAAGAGATCAAAAGCCACTGCAGAATAACATTGGTTTGTCCTTTCTCCCTTTCCACAGGGAACTTAGGTTTATCAGGTTACACCCATCACAGTGCTCTCCAGTCACTCCCATTCCTTTGCTTATCTTTCTTTGTGCTCTGCTTCCCCAACCAGTCTATCACCTTTTCCCCCTAATCGGACTCTGTTAACTTATAAGGTCAGATACTTCTAAGGACACTGGATTTGTATTGATAAGTGAAATATTGCTTTTCTCCTTCTCTTAGAGTCCTTTTGCATAGTCCTTTCCAGAGCGATGTCCTTTTTGTATAGACACAGGAAGAGAGTTAATATTATAATGCTTTTGTAACTTGGAAGTTAATTGACTTCGAATAATATTCACTCCTGGGCATCTGCTTTCTCAACTTAAGCCTCAGTTGCCCTTAGTTCCTAGCACCCCCAAAGCAGGGACCCAACAAGGGACTGAATGGACCCAGGGCAAGCTGTGAGCTACCCTGGCATTGAAATGGGCCAGACCAAAGTGCCACAATACTTAACTATAAGTTAAGAGCATGGTCATGGACAAATTCTATCATGATCCAAAAAGTAATGACAAGATTAGGACCCTGCTAGGATTAGGAAAGACTGATCTGGCCCTAACACTGTAGTCTGAGATCTATAGCAAGATGGCCCCAGGAGAGCAATCCTATGAACTTAATGTATCTTTTACTGTGTCCATACAGAATGACTAATATTATGAATGTATGTTTGTGGGACTAAGGAAAGGAGAAACACACCGTAGATGGAATTTCACTCTTGGGAGGGTCATCTTACTGAATGAGAATTTGTCCTAGAAGAAGCTTCCCCCGAGGGAAGGATTTTACCTCTGTTGATTTTATGACCACACCTGCATGTCATTATTATCCCAACCCCTCATGATTTGGGATTTAACTAAGGCTGGAGGAGTGGGCTGGAGGAGGCAGAAGCAGAAAGGAGAAGTATAAAGGAACAGGATCCAAGAGGAAGATGAGGGGGATAGGAGAAGAGAGATCCGGAGGAGTAAGAGAATGGAGATGGGAATGGAATAAACTGCAAGTGATACCAAACAGCCTGGCCCTCATTTCCTCCTTCATGGTTACCGGTCTTCCTGGGGTGTGGGAAGTAGCCTGAGACCACTAAACACAGGAGGTGAGAGAGAGTCATCACGAACTTTCATGATTTTTTTTTAAATACACTGCCATAGTTAATCTCAGACCTGTGCACGGCTGAACAGACTGGGGTAAATAAGGGGAGGGGGGTTGGCCTGTGCCTGCCCAAGCAGAGCCCCCAGCAGCTGCTTGCTTCCACAATCCAAAATCGCCACCATACTCCTGGTCTGACTCTACCATCTCAGGACAGACAGACCTCACGAGGATACAATCTGCTGAAAATTTGGGCATGCAGGTCTTGTAACTGAAATCTCCAGGCTTTCATGGAGTTGGGGTGGGCTACCTCCCCCCAACTTCCCAATACACATGGAAGCACTGGCAGTCACCCCCATAAACCAACTCCAGCACCATTCTGTAAACTCTATTATTGGCGTTGCTTCAGAGACCCCTAAATAAATCTCCAAAGAGATCAAAAGCCAGACATACAACAGTGAAGTCTCGGGAGACACCACAGAGTGGGAGATCAATTTCACCGGGACACCCCTGATGAAGCAGGTGCCGTCTTCCCGCCTACTCCAGATGGAATCCCGGTGACCAAGAGCTTCCACAAACAAGGCCCAGGTATGCGGGTTCCAGGACTAAATCTCCATGCTGCATGGTTGCAGAGGCATCAGGCTGTACCTCCCCAGCTTCCCGTCCACTTGTCAGTATGGCTGTCACCCCCAAAACGTGCCTTTGGGTGCCATCATAGCACACCAACAGCCCTGGTCCAGAGAAGTGCAACTGAATCTCAAAATGGATTAGTGCCGTAGAGAAATGTCTCTGGAAGCCAACCATCTACAATCTAGGATTCCCAGAAGTGCAAGACCATGGCACCCATGATATTCAAAATAAGCAAGGGACAATAAATGATCTAACATCTGCCCCTGGTAAGCAGACTTGAATGGTGGTGGGAAAATTTGAGCAAAACATAATGCCCAAAAGTAGAAAAAGTATTAGGGAAATTGTCTGCCATGGAGACAGGATGCGGACTGGGATGGGGGGGAGGGGGAGGTGGATATACTGGGGACACTGGTGGTAGAAAGTGGGCACTGCTGGAGGGATGGGTGTTTCATAATTGTATGGCTGAATCTCAAACATGAAAGCTTCGTAACTGCATCTCACAGTAATTCATTAAAAGAAAAAAAAAGTAATGTTGAGTTCATGCCCAACTCAATGAATCAATGGCTGAATAAATAGTAGTACTTCCACATTAAAAAAAAAAATAGAAGCGGCTCTCTGGCACAGCCATGACTCCAGAGCACAGAAAACAATCTCTTAATTATCTGACTCTCAGTAGAAATACTTCCAGGGTTAAAAAGTAAAATAGCAGAAATCCAAAACCGCGCAGCCGCAATAGCAGCCATGTGACATCATTTAATTCTTTAACTCAGCTGTAGAAAACAAATCATTTCACAATGCTTTTTCAGCATGTCTGATTTGGGGGGGGGGGGTAAACTCTAAATAATAATGGTGCATCTTTATCAAAACAATTAATCTAGTCAAAGTAGATAGAGTGTTAATTAGAATTCATCTGCCTCACAGGCGTGGGGGGTGGGGTTTATTGGGGTTCTTCGTGGTGAAAAATAAGTATTGGTAAAGGGAAATGTGTTTGATATTTGCATGACCAAGACCTAAACCTGAAAGCTTTGTAACTTTTCCCACAGTGATTCAATAAATAAATAAATTATATTTAAAAAAAAATAGAAAGGATATACTAACTGGAAGCCAAGGAAAATGACTTCTGTTCTCCCATTGCTCAATTACCATGAGCCTGATTGCATAAAAACTTAGAATGAAATAGGCCTTTCCATACACTTTTGAATTATAAACTGATCCATTTAAGCAAAATAAAAAGTACTGAGATGCACTTAAGATACTTCTCTCCCCTTCAATGATTGAATACTTCACAAAAGTATACCTAGATTCAACAGGCACATGAAAATGAGCTCAACATCCAACATTCACTGAAGGGAAAGGAAAATTAAAACCTTAATGGACAACAATGTCAGGTCAGGTCAGTTGAAGAATCTCAAATATAAAATATAAATTCAGGGAAAACAGAAGCAGAAACAGTATCTAAAATATAAATTATATAAGTATCTGTGTGAATTTTTTAACCTTGAGAGAGATAAATACTTCCTCCCTCCCATATCCAAGCAGTGTGTAGAGAATGTATGGGGCCACACACATTTTATTCTGAAAAAAAAAAAAAAATTTTTTTTAAAGTACAACAGATTTTATTTGGAGGTTTTCATTTTTTTATATATTATTTTTTATGTAGGAATACTGCTATTTATTCAGCCACTAATTAGCTGATTGAATTGGGCATGAACTCCACCTTACTTTTTTTCCCCATTTTTTATAATTTTATTTATTAAATCACCGTGAGAGCATTTACAAAGCTTTCGGGTTTAAGTCTAAGAGAGTATGATTCTCCTACACCTACTTTCTCCTGTTAACATTTTATACAGCACAATGATTGAAACTAAAAAATGAGTATTATAGGGCCAGAGTGATAGTGCAGCAGATAGGGCATTTGCCTTGTATGTGGCTGACCCAGGAGTGCAGAGACAGGAGTAACCCCTGAGCACTGCTGGTCTGGCTCCAAACCAAACAAAAACAAAAAGAGTATCAGAGGCTGGGGAGATAGCTCACAGGGCTGGAGTGCAGGCTTTGTCTGCATGTAGGAGCCCAAAGTTGTTTTGTTTTTTCTTCTTTTTTTTTTCTTCCCAATGTTGATCCTAAGGATGGTCCCTCCCCAGCATCTAAGGGGAGTGACCCCAGAGCACCAAGCTGGGATAGTTCCAGAGCACTACTGGTGAGTCTCCAAAACAAATTAAAAAATTGTAATAAGCATCAGTATAAGATCCAGCTACACACTTGACTTGTACAGATGATTCCTCTAATGTCCTTTCATCATGCCTCCCAGCCTCCAACCTGTGACTCCCATCCTTGGCTGACTCTTGTCTCTCAGTTTTAACTTTAGCGTCTGTTTTTTGTTGATTAGTTAAGGTCATGCATTTTGGCAATAATATTACGGAAGTGGTATGTCTCTGTGTAGGATATTGGAAGGGACATGGTATCAAAATGTCTTATTATTACTATGATCTTGGTTGAGATAGTTTGCAGGATTTTTACTATAGAGGCCAGAGAGAGAGAGAGAGAGAGAGAGAACAGTGGTACAGAGCTGGTACAGAATTCACCATGGTTAGATCCTCAGTATGCCATATAGTTCCCCAACTCCCTTCAGGAGTGATCCCTGAGGTCAGAGCCAGGAATAAGCCCTGAGTACCACTGATTGTAGCCCCAAAACAAAATAAAACAAAACAACAACAACAAAGGATTTTTACTATAAATTTGCCTATAAAAACAATTTTGTAGTGTTCTAATGGTGATTTTCTATCCATTTATGTAAGTTTCTGAAGACAAAACAATGCACACAATGCACTAACAGACATACTTAAGGTGTGGACATTAGGCTGGAAGAACTGCTAGATAATAATAGATATCCTGATTTTAGCATCATACATGCTAACTAGTATGGGTGTGACCTAGGCATTGCGATTTTTAAAAAGCTCAAGAGGCAATCTAATGTGCAGCTGAGAATGAAAATCACTGAGAGAAATGAATTAAGCTAAGGGACACAAGCAATTCAAGATTTAAATAGGAGAAACACAGGTTATACAGCTGAGTAAGCACCCAACTGTATTCTTCCAAAAAAAGGGTCAAAAATAACATGCACCTTTTGAAAAAGTGGCATGCAAATGCAAAGCAGAAAGATCAGCGAAAACAAACTCATTTGAAAATTTCAGAGTGGCATTAATTCCTTATAAACTCCTATTGGCTACCAGCCTAAAAAAAAAAAAATGGCAGAATGTGATACGTTCCTGTAAGTTAGAACCATAATTAGAAACCACTTTTATCATAAAGTGGCACTTACGTAGTATTGGAACTGATAATGCAATCATAAAAATCCGTGGAGTTGGAGAGATAGGACAGCAGGTAGGGCGCTTGCCTTGCGTGCAGCCAAGGGGACTCAACCCCGAGCACAGCCAAAGCATCGCCAGGAGCGATCACTTGAGCACAGAGACAGGAGCAACCCATGAGCACCGCCAGGCGGGACATCCCTCCACCCCCCAAAATACCAAAAAACTGTGCACTTGCTCTGCGCAGCCTCGACCATGCACCTTACTAAAATATACAAACACAACCACCAGATTCACGAACGTTAGCAAATAAGGAAACTCATCTGCCGTTCAAAATGTCCAACTGTCAGACACCTCCAAAAGGCTTTCAAATGACCTCTTTTGGAAAGCGGGAACTTTTCATTTTTTGATGGTGAAAAAAATGTTTAAATTATGAGCCTTTTTTTGGTTAAAAAAATAATTATTGAATTGCATCCCCATGAATGACAAAGTTACTCATGACTGGGTTTTGGAAACTTTTTTTTTTCCAAAAAAAGCATTTATGAACGTTTTTTATTAGCTCAAAAAAGTGACTCACATGCAGTGAATTCTACACACTGACACCTAAGTGCCAGAAGTGGCTCACACTTGAACGTTACGTTAAATATCTTAAGGACAAGGAACTTTTTTTTTAAGGGTGGAAATGAAACCGTGTTCAAACCCTGTCCCGCTGACTATAACGACTGCAACTATCTCTAACACGATAACATTATCTATGACACTGGGGGGGAAAAAAATTTTTTTAACAGTGCACAAGCTTTCTAACGATTCATCTTTAAATCACTGTGGGTTTGCTGGGCAGACAATCACAAATCCAGGGAAAAATACATCCAAGAAAAAGGATATATCCCAGAGAAAGGATACATCCCAGAAAAAGGATACATCTACGGAAAAGAATATACCCCAGAAAAAGGATACATCTAAGGAAAAGAATATACCCCAGAAAAACAATATATCCCAGAAAAAGAAGATATCCGAGGAAAAGAAGACACCCAAGAAAAAGAAAAGCATACACCTGAGGAAAAGTCCCAGTGAAGAGGGAGGCTAAGTTGAAGAGCTGACAGGAAAAGACCGCTAACCGCAGGGGGAAAATGTTTCTTCTTTTCTGCCCCACACCCGACCTCTTCTCCGAGCCTGTTTTCAAGTTCGTGTGTCATTTCGGCCCGAGTGTGCGGCCAGCGACAGCCCTCCCCTCAAGCCGCCGGACGGCAGCGAGACCCGCGGGTCCCGAACCCTCTTACCCGGTGTCCGGGGGGCGCCCGTCAGCCGCGCCCCGGCAGGAGACGCAGCAGCGGAGGGACCCGAGAGCGTCTTCTCCCCGGCCGCGGCTCGGCCGTCCTCAGGAAAACGCTCGTTCCCGGCCCCGCCGAGGCTGCTCGCGCCGGGCGACGCGCCTCAGAGCAGCCCCAGAGAGACGCAGCCGGCGGCGCGGCGAGTTCGGCGCTCTGGGCGGGGAGCTCGAAGCGAGCGCGCGCGCGGGGCGCCGGCCACCGTTGGCGCCTGCGCAGAGCCGCGCTTCCGCCTTCCGCCCCGCCCCCCGGGCGCCTCCGTCACAAGGGAGCCGCCACTTCCGCGCGCGCGTGCGCACGGGCGCCCCGGACGCGTGCGCAGCGCCGGGTCCTTCCCGGCTGGAGCTGGCGGCGCCCTCGCTCCCCCCTCCGGCTCCCCGACCCGCGCCCCATTCCCACCCCCACCCGCCCCGCGCCCGCTCCGCCGCGGCCGGGGAGCCCGCCAGGGGCCCCGCCTCGGCCGCCCTCCGCGCCTCGTGCTCCCGGCGACCGTGCACGCCGCACGCGTGCGCTCGCGGCTGGCGGGCAGCGCGCCATGGCGATGGATCAATTGAACGCGCTGTGCGAGCAGCTGGTGAAAGCCGTGACGATCATGATGGACCCCAGCTCCACCCAGCGCTACCGGCTGGAGGCCCTCAAGGTAGCCGCGGCCCCGTGCCCCGCTCGTGCCCACGCCGCGCCGCGCCGCCGCTCGCACCCATCGCGCGCGCCGGCCTCCTCCCTGCCCCTGGCGCACGTGCCCGGCCCGACCCCAGCCCGGTCCCATTCTTCCAGGTCCCCCCTGCCCCCCGCCCCGCCGGCCCCGGGCCCCGATCCGCGCCCCAGCCGGAGCTCCGGCCCCGCCGGGCGCCCCCTCTCCGACCCCCTCCCTCTCCCCCTCGGGGGTGCCGCTGGAATCTTTCTCACGACTCCTCCCCGCCCCCACCCCCACCCCTCCCTCGGGCTCGCCCGTGGGTATTCCGAGCCCGTCTGCGCCTAGATGCACGGCCGCCGCTCACTTTGCATGTTAAAGAGGCCGCTTTGGTTTCCTGGAAGTCGTGAGATTTGCGTTCCCAGAGGACCCGGCCCTGCCGCTGACACTCTACTCTTTCTTGTTGCGGTTTGGCGAGGCGAATACAAATCCGGGTAGCCGATACAATTCGCCCGGGTCAGGGAGATCCACGTGCCGGACCGCGTTTGGGTGCTGTAACTTAAACAAAGTAACACTTGGAGGAAACTTTGATACCTAGATGTAGGCCACAGCAGTTTGGGATTTTTTTTTTTTTTTTTGGGTCACACTCGGCGATGCACAGGAGTTACTCCTGGTTCATGCACTCAGGATCTCTCCTGGCGGTGCTCGGGGGACCAGATGGGATGCTGGGAATCGAACCCGGGTGGGCGCGTGCAAGGCAAACGCCCTCCCCGCTGTGCTATTGCTCTGGCTACGAGTTTGGGATTTTTTAAACTTGGATTTCTGTCTTTTATTATTGTCTTAAAAATAGATGTAGAAGTAGGCTATTGTAGTGGTCGTGCATGCATCCACTTATACTTAGAAATTAGGAATTTTAAGACAGTTTTTAATTTTTTTTTTTTTGGGTTTTCTTTTGTGTGTGTAGGGGTTTGGGGCCACAGGTGCTCAGGAAAATTTTTTTTTTCAAAGAATCATAATTTAAACATTTTTTTTTCACCAAAAAGTGCTCAGGGAATCAGGAGTGATGGTGTTTGGCCCAGTGTCAGGGTCAGCAGCTTGCTTTCTCTTCGGCACTAGGTCAGATTTCTCTCTCTCTCTCTCTCTCTCTCTCTCTCTCTTTTTAATACTAGCTGGCCCTGGCCTGGGAAATCTGGAGCTCTCAAAGGGAATGGAATTATTCTTTATTCATATAGCACAGCGGCTAGGGCATTTGCCTTGCACGTGGCCAACCTGGGTTCGATTCCTCCACCCCTCGGAGAGCCCAGCAAGCTATCAAGAGTATCCCACTCACAAGGCAGAGCCTGGCAAGCTCCCCATGGCATATTTGATATGCCAAAAGATAGTAACAAGTCTCACAATGGAGATGTTACTGGTACCCGCTCCCCTGAGCAAATCATGAACAGTTGGGAGGACAGTGCTACAGTGCTACATATGTGTCTAGAGTTTGCAACTTAAAATACATCTGAAGTTGAAGTTTGTTTTGTTATTTTGAACCACATCTTTTAGTACTGGGATCTGGAATATGGGTGTCAGGGCCTCCTGCATGCACTAGCCCATTGGCACCTGAGGTAAAGACTTTTTGTTTTTGTTTTTGTTTTTGGGCCACCCCCAGGGATGCTCAGGGCTTACTCCTGGCTCTAGACTCAGGAATCAAACGTGGTCACCCCACAAGGCAAGCGACCTACCTGCTGTAGTATCTCTCAGGCTCCATCTGTCTTCCTTCCTCCCCCCCCCCCTTCCTCTCCCCCTCGTTCTCCCTCCTTCCCTCTCTTTCTTCCATCCTTTGGTCCATGCCATACCCAACTATGCTCAGGGCTTACTCTTTGCTCTGCACTCAGGGATCACATCTGGTGGGGCTCAGGACTACATGGGGTGCCAGGTATTGAATCTAGGTTGGCCATGTGCAAGATAAGCACCCTACCCAGTGTACTATCTCTTCAGCCCCATGTTGAAGTTCCTTAAGATGAAGTTATTTTATTCCCTGCCATATCTTGGTTCATAAGGGAAACACTTAACTTTTTTTTTTCTTTTTCAGTTTTGTGAGGAGTTTAAAGAAAAGTGCCCTATCTGTGTCCCCTGTGGTTTGAGGCTGGCCGAAAAAACACAGATCGCCATAGTCAGACATTTTGGCCTTCAGATCCTGGAACATGTTGTCAAGTAAGGACCTTTTGCTCGTTCACTTCCAAGGTCTATGAGAGCAAATCTTTATTTCTTATAGAACTCGTGAAGCTATGCTGTAGCTAAACAGGACAGGTCTTCAGCAGAGAGGTGTGGTTCCAAGAAGGATACCAGAACTGTCTGCATGATACCTTATGCATGATAGTAGTATTGTAAACAGTACCTAAAAGGGGAAAAAAGGAAAAATTGCCTGCCTTAGAGGCAGACTGGAGGCCTGGGAAGGAAACTGGGGACATTGGTGGAGGGAAGCAGATGCTGATGAAGGAATGGGTGTTAAAACATCGTATGCCTAAAAGTCAATCATGAATAACTTTGTAATTCATTGTGAATCAATTTTAAAAAAAAGAAAGCAACCCACCCAAAGAGAACATCAGAACCTCTTATGAGTTTTCTTCCTGTAAAGTGTCAGGTACTGGCAGTGCTAAACATTCTATGAATATTTGCTGATGCCTGCCAGAATTCACACTGCATTTATTGAATTGCTATATGCCAGTGGTCTTTAGAATAAGTCATGTTTAAAGAAGTTGAATTAGGCATTGTGACAGACATTTTTTCGATTTTGAGGCTGGCCTTATAAGATGTGCTCCTATGAATCTCAAGCAGGATTATGTGAGAATAATTGAGAACTTCCCCTGACTTTATTTAGTCTCTTACTTCTGCCTGTCAGAAGAATCAGCCTTGAGATTTAGTCTCATATTTCCTGGAATTATGCTATTACCTTAAAAGCTAGCACAGAAAGTAATTGTCAAGACTCTTTTCCCAGGAATGTTGTAATTAACTCAGACATATATATGCTTTTGGTCTGTTCATAAAATTAAGGGAGAAGGCTGATAAAACACAAATCCTGTCTGTTATCGAGCTACTATCTTTATAAAACTCCCAGTATTGATTAAATAGAAAGCTTTTGTTGTTGGTGGTGGTGGTTTGGGGACCACACCCAGGAGAGCTCAGAGCTTACTCCTGGCTCTACACTCAGGGATCTCCTTGGACAGACCCCAAGAATGTTGGGGATCAAGTCTGGGTTGGCCACGTGCAAGGCAAGTGCGCTACCCACTGTACTATCACACTGGCCTCCTAATATAAACAGATTTTTATTTGTTCTCAGGGTACAAAATTCAAGGTAAGTAATTTCTTAATGAAATTACCAACATAATCTAAAGCAGGAATTAAACTAGCCTCTAAGGGAGAGATTTCTCATGGGCTCCGCTGACTTGATTCGTTTTGGTGGGCAGGTTTCGGTGGAACAGCATGTCTCGATTGGAGAAGGTCTATCTGAAGAACAGTGTCATGGAGCTGATTGCAAACGTAAGGAATGGCTGGTAGCCTGGTATTTCTGAGTTGAAATTCAGCATGGCTTCTTCGCCATAGTGTTTGGGTTTTGTTGGTTGGTTGGTTTGTTTGTTTGTTTTCTGGCCACACTTGGCTGTCCTTACATTGCACTCCTGGCTCTGCACTCCGGGATTACTCCTGGTGGGCTCAGGGGACCATATGGGATGTCGGGGAGCAAACCCAGGTCAGCTGCATGCAAGGCAAGCACCCTACTCGCTGTACTGTCTCTGCGGTCCTTTCAGCAAAGTGTGTGTATAAAAACTTACCACTTGTGCATGCTTTCTCCGCCAGTGAATTATGCCTTACCTTAACACCATCACAAGAAGTCATAGTTTATTATTTCTCTTACTAGGTTTAATTAAGCCCTGTGGTATGTTTACTTTTACTTTTTTGTTATTGTTTTGGGGCCATACCTGGTGGTGCTCAGGCCTGACTCCTAGCTCCTGTGCTCAGGGATGACTCTGCGGGGCATAGGAGAACCATATGGGGTGCCGGGAATTGAACCCAGTTCTTCTCTGCCCTACCTGCTGTCCCTGTACTATCACTCTGGCCACTGCTTTTACTTTTAGCTATTGATTGATTGATTGATTTCTGGTGGCAGGGATGCGACTCAGGTCCTCATCCTCTATCACAGAGCTCCATCCCTGGCCTGATTTCCACTCTTATTAATCATGATTGGCTTAGGAGCCACATCTCATAGTGCTGAGGGGCTACTCCCAGCTCCGTGCTCTGACACTGCTCCTGGTGGTCAGTGCTCAGGGGACCCGGTGCTGGGATTGAACCCAGGCCTGTAGTATGAAATCTTAAAAATATGCTCAGCCTGTTGATTCTCTCAGCCCCGATTACCACTTTTGACAGGTAAATACTGGAAGTGTGTGTGTGTGTGTGTGTAGTGCATGTGAGAGGCGGGGTGTGCAAACGACAGATGTACAAGGTACGGTGCTTGCTTGCACCCAAACCCCAGTTATTCCCCTGCCGCACATCTGGTTCCCTGCGCATCACCAGGGGTGATCGCATAAACAGAGAGCCAGGAGTAAGGCCTGGGCACCTTGAGGTTGTGCCCCCGCCCCCCCAGGCCAAATATGTTAGAAATGTAAAGACAGGGCAAAGGAAATTCAGCAAATGGATGTAGTATTAGTGACCCAAAGATGCACCATTGAGGCCAGCATTGTGACCGCGGGCATAGAGCACATGCTCGGAGAGGACCTGCCAGGGGTCTGAGAACAGGTCAAGACAGAACAAGGCGCTGGCCTTGTTTCACAGACACGCCCACGTTCAATCCCTAGCACCACTACGGTCCTACAGTGAATGTGAGCACAGCGGGGTGTGGCCCAGAAACACGAGAAAGAGAAAGGGCCCGAGAAAGAGGAGAAAGAGAAAGGGCCCCTGGATCCCCAGCACTGCACATCCGCTGCCTCGGGCACAGCCCCCAGCTCCTGGACTTGGCCCTGCCAGCTTCCCTCCCCCCCAATTGAAAAATTCTCAGAATGAATTTGTTTCAGAGCTTAGACTGTGACTCTAAGCATGTTTTCAACCCACTGCATTTATTTTTAATTTTATGGGGGTTTTTTGTTTTGTTTTGTTTTTGGGTTTTTTTTTTTTGTTTTGTTTGTTTATTAGTTTGCTTGTTTTTGCTTTTTGGGTCACACCCAGCGACGCACAGGGGTTACTCCTGGCTCTGCACTCAGAAATTAGCCTGGCGTGCTCAGGGGACCATATGGGATACTGCAAGGCAAGAACCCTACCCTCTGTGCTATTGCTCCAGCCCCTTGTGTTTGTTTTGATTTAGGGCTAAACCAGGGGCCCAGTTCAGTGCTGGAGTGACTATGTGGGGTGTTGGGGAGTGAACCCGGGGCTCATACGACGAGGCATGTGTGCTCTCGCTTCCTGGCCCTCACTGCCACCAGTACTCTCCTACCTAGCTTCTGCCCTTTTGAAACCAAGAGCCTAAAGAACACGGAATCCCTCCTCCTTTTTATTCCCAGAGTTGTCTTGGACCTTAGTGTTTGTACCCAAGGGACCAGGGAGCCATCTGAGGTGCCGGAGATTGAACTTGGATCAGTCTGTATGTTTGACAAGCGCCCGACCTGCTACACCGTCTCCCTGGCCCCTGTCACGGATCTTTTCACTCCTGCTCTCCAGCCCCTGTCCTGCATATTAGTGGTGACAGTGGTAGTTTTCAGTCTCTCTACACCTTGGACATCATACTGACGAGCTAGAAGACCACTGTTCTAGTGCCTCTCACAGCAAATCCCCTTTGAAGTTGGTTTTTTTTACTAACTTATCTGGCCGGGACCTGTGGCTTGCTAATTCCGGGATAGAAATTGTAATCCACTGATGTTTGGAGGAAGGAGGGGGCTCTCCCAAGTGATGCTCACACAGATCCAGGGGACCAGTCTGAGCCCCTAATATCTCTCCTGCCCCAATTTATACTGTTTTTGTTTGGTTTTGTTTTTTGCTTTTGGGGTCACACCCAGTGGTGCTCAGGGGGCCAACCTGGGTCAGCCATGTGAAAGGTAAATGCCCTCCCCTCTGTACTACCTCTCTCTTCCCCCCTCCCCCCGAGATTTTTTTTTAAACATTTCTTTTCTTAACTCCCCTCTCTTACTATATGGAACAATAATTGAGCCTTTCCGTATTAATTACTAGGTAATAATATTTCTGGACCGCCCCCCCTCCCCCACAAAAGAATCTGCAAATCATGCCAAAAATTTAAATTGTCTCCTTTTCCACAGAGGAGGGAATCTCCTGTGAAACTCAGAAAAACTGAGTTTCGGTAGATTTTACGGAAGTAAAACTACTGGTAGTATGTTCAGTTGTCCCCCATAACTTCTTTCCCATTCTCCCTTCAGCCTCTTGGTCTCCTTTTTTTATTCCCCCCCTGACTTGCTTATGAAATGAAACAGGAGTGGAGAGTGTATAAAGGCAAACGATGCTGCCTTCCCTGCCCTGCCAGTATCCCACCAGCTGATGCAACCGAGTCGTCTGGGGCTTGGGGCGGGAGGAGTGCCCAGTGAATGCAGGCCAGGTGACTCACGCAGAGAACAGGTTTGCTCTGCTTCAAAGGAGGCTGCTGCTCAATCAAGTTCCCACATTTTTATGGTCCTTCCCCCCCACCCGCCTTGCATTTGCTCTAGCCAGGCTTCTTACTGTCTCTGATTCTTTTTCAGGGCACACTGAACATTTTGGAAGAGGAGAATCACATTAAAGACGTTTTGTCTCGCATTGTAGTGGAAATGATCAAACGGGAGTGGCCCCAGCACTGGCCTGACATGCTTGTAGAATTGGACACTCTTTCCAAACAAGGGGTATAAAATATAACTGTGTCTGTCTGTTTGCTTTTAGATTTTTTTTATTGGGGGGGGTTCTCTTTGTTTTGTCAACAGCAAAATCCTTGGGTGTGCTAATGATGAAAATAGATTATAGTGTAATTGGCTTTTTTCTGTTGGTATAGGAAACGCAGACAGAATTAGTGATGTTCATCCTTCTGCGACTGGCAGAGGATGTAGTGACCTTCCAGACACTACCCCCTCAAAGAAGAAGGGATATCCAGCAAACCTTAACACAGAACATGGAGAAAATCTTCAGTTTTCTACTTAACACACTCCAAGAAAATGTGAACAAGTATCGGCAAATGGTAAGGGATAGTTCATCTCTCAGAAGTAAAAATTACTAATATGAAGTTTTGTATTTGTAGTTTAAATCCTTAGACTTCAGCAAGGAACTAGGATTTTCAGTTTAGCCCCCCCCAAAAAAATGGAAGGAGGTCATTTATAAGAAACTCAGTGAAAGCCCGTTTCTACTAAAAAACAATTCCTTTTGTAAGTAACTTTCTGAAGTAACATAAGAAAAAAGGTAGTCACGGTGATTCAGTTTTTAAAAAAGAGGAAGAAAGGTGAATGCCTTCTTTTTGTTTGCTTTCATTTAGGCCATATCCAGCGATGCTCAGGGACAAGTAGTGTCTGGGATCAAGCCCCCGACTACCACATGCAAGGCGTGTGCTCTGGCCCATTGAGATAGCACCCCAGCCCCTGAACAGACTTGAGAAAAATCGGTATAGGGGCTTGAAAGATAGTATAGCAGGTAGGGTGCCTGCCTCGCACAAGGCTGACCTGGTTCGATTCCTGGGACTTCTGTCCTCTGAGCCCTACCAGAGTGATCCCTGAGTTCAGAGCCCTGAACACAGGGTCCTGAGCACAGCTGGGTGTGGCACAAAAGCAAACAAATTGAAATAGCGTCCAATTTTTTGTGCATATGAGTTTTTTAGGTTTTACAATACATGGGTCATACAATGGGCTGGAGCGATAGCACAGCGGTAGGGCATTGCCTTACAAGTGGCCACCATGGCTGACCCGAGTTCGATTCCTCCGCCCCTCTCTGAGAGCCTGGCAAGCTACCGAGAGTATCTCGCCCGCACGGCAGAGCCTGGCAAGCTCCCCGTGACGTATTCAATATGCCAAACACAGTAACAATAAGTCTCATGATGGAGACGTTACTGGGCCCACTCGAGCAAATCGATGAACAATGGGAGGACCGTGACCGGGTCATACAATGTATTTTAATCTACGCCTTTCCCATTGACATTCCATCATTTCAGCTTACCTTTGCCAGTGATAATTTATATTCATCTTTATTATCTTTTTTGCTTTTTGAGTCACACCTGGCGATGCACAGGGGTTACTCCTGGCTCTGCACTCAGGAATTACTCCTGGTGGTGCTCAGGGGACCATATGGGATCCCGGGAATCGAACCTGAGTCGGCCGCATAAAGGCAAACGCCCTACCCGCTGTGCTATTGCTCCAGCTCCCCCCGCCCCATATATATTTATTTTTTGGTGGGGGGGTCACATCGGGCGATGCACAGGGCTTACTCATGGGTCTGCACTCAAGAATTACTCCTGGCAGTGCTCAGGGGACCATATGGGATGCTGAGAATCAAACCTGGGTTGGCTGCATGCAAGGCGAATGCCCTACCCGCTATGCTATCGCTCCAGCCCCATATATTCATTTTTCAGAGAAAGAAAGCTAAGGCTCTTTTAGAGACGGAGTTCTTTCCTTGCTGGCATTGGTGAGCTTTATTCACGTGTCATTTTTTCATTGCTCTTCATTTTCGTCTTCTGGCCACTCTTGGTGGTGCTCGGCACTGCTGCTCCAGGCTGCGGTTGGCCTGCCGCTGCTCCTGGGACCAGGGAGTGCCAGGGATGGGCCCCATCCTCCCGCCACAGAGCATGCTCTCCAACCCGCTGAGCCAATTCTCAGGCCTTTTCTTATTATAATTTTATAAAAAAATTAATTGTGTTTGGGGGCTGGAGCAATAGCACAGTGGGTAGGGCGTTTGCCTTGCAAGTGGCCGACCCGGGTTCGATTCCCAGCATCCCATATGGTTGCCTGAGCACCGCCAGGGGTAATTCCTGAGTGCAGAGCTAGGAGTAACCCTGAGCATCGCCAGGTGTGACCCAAAAAAGAAAATTAATTGGGTTTATTAGTGGGGCCAGGGATTGATTGAACCGAGAGCCTCGTGTATGCTAGGCATGTGCTTTTCTACTAAGCTACATCCCAGCCCCAGGTTGTATTTTTTTCTTTTTTCTTCTCTTTTCTTATGTTGTGTTTTAGGGCCACACCTGGCTGTGCTCAGAGCTTATTCATGGTTTTATGCTCTGGCGTCACTCCTGACAGGCTTGGGGGACCATATAGGATGCCGGGGATTGAAATCGTGTGGGCCAAGTGCAAGAGTAGTGCCTTAACCGCTGTACTATTTTTATGGCCTCTTTTTTGTTTCATTCTGGTGCCTCACCCAGCTGTTCTCAGGGCTGACCTCTGGCTCTGTGCTCAGGAATCATTCCGCACAGTGCTCAGGGGGCACATGAATTGCTGGGGATCGAACTGAGATCGGGCACATTCTTGACAAGCACCTTCACCTCTGTGTCTTTGCTTTTTGTTTTAGTGCCACAACCAGCAGTGCTCAGGGCTTTCTCCTGGCTCTGAACTAAGGGATTTATCCTGGTGGGGCTTGGGGACCATATGGGGTGCTGGGGATTGAACCCAGATCAGCTGCAAGTATGGCAGCGGCCCTATACTCTGTCTTTCTCTCTCTCTAGTGTATGTATTTTTTTCTTATTTTTTTCGATAATGTTCCAGCACCCGTCCCTTCATCAGTGTACATGTACATTTCCCACCACCAGTGTCCCCGTTTTCCTTCCTGCCCGCCCCCCACCCCACCCCCCTGCCTGCCTTTATGGCATGCACTTTCTCTCTCTTCCTCTCCCTCTCCCCCTCTCTCTGCTGGGTATGGGCCAAACAAAACAAAACTAAACAAAAAACAGCAAAAAGAGTTGAAGTTCATTATGTAAGACTGGGGGACGTGGGAAGTTACTTGTTTTTCTCATAAAAAAAAAACACTGGATTCTAACACTATTTTTTCCCTTCTTCAGAAAGCAGATAGTTCTCAGGAGTCAAAGGTAAGAGCTCTTTGTGGAGTTGGGAGGAGACTTACGGCTTTCGGGTCCAGGGGCCTGGGAGAGAGAGAGCACCACGGGTTAGGCACTGCCTTGGACGCCGCAAATCCCGCTTTGATCCCCAGCACTACATGACCCCCAGGTGCTGCCTGCAGAGATCCGGGGCAAAGCCAGGGCTGAACCTGCACTGAAAAAACAGCACTTGCCAGGACAGAGATACCTAGCAGAGAGCAGCTTTAACCGTGGTTCATTTGATCTTTGAGTTTCGGCTGAAGGGAGTGAAAATTAGAATATTGGAGATGTTTGAAGGAGGTGAAATGGCCAAACATGCCTTTTGCTTTTCAGTTTTGGTCCATGCCCAGTGGTGCTCAGGGGACTACATGGTTCCAGGAATTACAGTGGGCCTCCCCGCTGCGAAGCGTGGGCTGAATCAGCGGTCTCCAGCCCCATGTCATATGCTTTTAGTTTCCTCCAAATTTTACAGTATTAAAGCACCATATTTACAGCCTTACTCATGGTTGGGTCTTAGACATACAGTGTCCCACCCCCCACCAGCGTTAGCTCCTGCCACCAGAGCTCCAGGGTCCCGCTCCCTCCCCTTCCCCAGCCTGCTGTCTCCACTGGCACCTTTAAAGTTTGATCATCAAAGTTTGGGTTTCCCGATTTCAGTGTCATCGGCTCTGTGCTTTGGATATTTAACTCATTCCTTAACATCACTGATGTACCTTGACCCTGGCATCTGTTGCTTCTCATCTGTCTCTTCTCCCCCACCCTCTGCTCCCCCCTTCTTTTTCCTTCTCCCTATACTCTGGGGCCAAGAATTATCTAGGTATTCCCCCTTTAAACCATTGCATTTCCTTATCTAAATACCACATATCAGTAATATCCTGTATTCTTCTCACTGTATTAAGCATGATACCTTCCATTTCCATAATAAGCTTTTTTTTTAAGATGCCAGGATTTATAATAAATTTACATTCTAATTTTTTTTTTTTTAATTTGGAGGCACACCCAGCACGCTCAGGGATTACTCATGGCTCTGCACTCAGATCATTCTGGCAGAGTTTTGGATGCCAGGGATCAAACCCAAATCAGCCTCATGAGCACCTTACTCGTTGAGCTGATTCTCCAGGCCCTATGAAACGTTAATAACAGGGTTTCACTGTACAGTGTTCCAGTACCACACTCTGCCAGAGTGTCCCTTCCCCTCAACCTATCACCCCCCCCCATGTACTCTTACTGGGGGGTGTCCAAAATATCTTTGGGTACATGTACAATTTTCTAAACTGAAAAATGAAAAAATAGAAGAGGCCAAGCTGTGACGAGACACCCGGGGCCTCACGGGATGGGGTGGAGCCGGCCCTTGTTCTCCCCCACCCCAGCGAAACTCCGAGTCGCCTAAGATCAGTCCCTCCGGTTACTGATCAAGCTGCTTAATGGCCATGATCCCAGAGGCACACATGCAAAACTCGGAACCTAGTGGCTTTGGGCAGAAATCCCTCCAGGTTTAGTTATTAAAATTTCAGAATTCCAAAATCGCGCGGCTGCGACATCATATGCTATTCATAATCAGCAGTAGAAAACAAATTGTCTAATGTTGCCTTTTTGGCAGGTCTGAGTGTTGGGGAAAATCCCAAATAATAATGGTGGGATTTTCGGTGTCGAAATATTGAATGTAATCAAAGTAGAGAGAGAGTAATGTGGAAATCATCTGCCCCACAGGTAGGGGGAGAGTGTGGGATGGGGGCATACTGGGGTTTATGGTGGTGGAGAATGAGCACTGGTGAAGGGACGGGTGTTTCATCATTGTATGACTGAGACTTAAACCCGAAAGCTTTGTAACTGCTCTCACGGTGATTCAATAAATAAATTTATTTTTTAAAAAAAATAGAAGGAAACAGAGAGGACCGGGATTAAGATACTTGCCTTGCATCCTCGAAACCCTGGTTCAAATCCTCAGCACTACATGCAGTGCCCCGAGCCCTTCCGCTAGCTAGGGCCCCAAACCCAAAATAGAAATAAAATTGGGGACTAGAAGGGGCTCAGGTGTAATTACGGTACCCTTGTCTCTTGTCAAAAGTCGTTTCCTTTTCACATAGGCCCAGGCAAACTGTCGTGTAGGAGCCGCGGCACTGAATACTCTGGCCGGCTACATTGACTGGGTGTCCATGACTCACATCACTGCTGAGAACTGTAAACTCTTGGAGATGCTGTGCCTGCTTCTCAATGAGCAGGAGCTGCAGTTGGGAGCAGCTGAGTGTCTGCTCATTGCAGTCAGCAGGAAAGTAAGTCACCACTTCAAACTGACTTTTATCTTGGAGACGGGAGAGAGAGTGAGAATGAATGTGTGTGCAGTTGCATGTTGTAGCAGAAAGACATGTAAAGATTTGGCTTCTTTTCACATCAACTTGCTGCCTTTTAGCCGTCTCTGGTCCCTTTAGGCATGTTATGTGACCATTCAGATAGTGAGGTACAGACACTTGTCAGACTTTTTGGTTTGGATTTTGGTGGGACCAGGATATAAAATACGTACTGTACTTTTGACCAACATTCCCTCTCAGGCTGCTAAACTTTGAGAACAACTGAATCTTGACACATGGGAGATAAATTTAATATCATAGTTTACTTAGTTTTCATTTTGGTGTTTGGGCCAATTCAGTGGTGCTCAGAGGTTACTCTTGGCTCTGTGCTCAAGGGTCATTCCTGACAGGCATAGGGGACCATGTGGGGTGCCAGGAATCAAATCTGGGTCAGCTCTGTGCAAGGTGTTACCCAGTATACTGTCTCTCCAGCACCTAATACCCAAGTTTAAAACTCAGTTTAATGTCAAAGAGTGTTGGGTAGTTAATGCACTGGCTTTTTTATGGTCGTACATCACTAACGACAAGGCCAAGTTCTGAAAAATTGAGTGGTTTCTCTGTGCGAGTGTTGGAGTGTATGTAGTTGCACAACCTGCATGGAATGTGCTAGAGTTTACTGGAACTTTTTTGTTTTGTTTTGTTTTGCTTTTGGGGTCACACCCTGCAATGCACAGGGGTTACTCCTGGCTCTGCGCTCATGAATTACCCCTGGCAGTGCTCAGGGGACCATATGGGTTGCTGGGAACCGAACCCTGTTTGGCTGCGTGCAAGGCAAACACCCTACCCGCTGTGCTATTGCTCCAGCCCCTCACTGGAACTTTTTTGACTTCGAGTCTATTTAGTCTGCTGACTACCGCAGAGCTGACTGCTCGGGACCATTGTTGTGTACACTCACTGTAGTTGACCAAGGCAGACCTAAAATTAAGTAGCACAGAGCTGTTATCTGTCTCGTCTCTTTACTTCAGTTCTGGTCACACACTTGGCAGTGCTGGGGGACTGGTTCGAGAGAGGGTACCCAGGGCCCCAGCCTTCTGAGGATCTGCCCTGTCCAAGGGCTTGTTTTTTCCTTCACATCTAATTCACAGACTCACCAGTGAATATATTTAAAAATGGGAGCTGGGTTATAGACTAAACATGATTGTCACCCATTGCCTCTTCTGCAAACCACAACACCCAATATGAGAGAGAGAACAAAAGGGAATGCCCTACCACAGAGGCAGGGTGGGAAGAGAGGGATGGGGGGTGGGAGGGATACTGGGATCCGTGGTGGTGGGAAATGGGCACTGGTGAAGGGATGGGTAGTTGATCATTGTATAATTGAAACCCAAGCACAAAAATGTGTAAGTCTGCAACTGTACCTCATGATGTCTCACTATTAAAATTTTTTTAATATTAAAAATACTTCAGAGAAAAAAAAATAGAATTTTTTTTTAAAATGGGAGCTGGGTACCAGAGATAGAGCACAGTGGGTAGGGCATTAGCCCTGCAAAGCATTGGATTCGGGTTTGATCTATGGACACCCCATGTGGTCCCTTGTACCACTAGATCACGAGAAAGTCCTGAGCGCAGCTGGGTGTCACCCCCAAACTGGAAGAAAACGAATGGGTAGGCATGTGCGTAGGAACAGTATGGAGGTTCAGGTGCTTGTCTTGCTTGTGTCCAAACCCAGCTCAATCCAGGCACCCCATCGGTGCCCCAAAGCACCGCCAGGGTGCACCCCTGAATCCTGAGTGTTGCTGGGGGGGGGGGGGGGGCCACAAACCCTTCCTCAAACCTTCCCTGTGGAAAAGTCAAGAGGTCTAAGAAGACACCAGAGAAGTGGTTTCGGGGGCCCGAAAGACAGCTGACACGAGCGAAGGGCGGGCCTTGAGGTTGGTATCCCAGAGTCCTCGGCTCCCTTCAACCCGCTGCCAGGAGTGGCCACCAAAAGGCGTATTGAACAAGGGGGGGGCCTTTCCCTCTGGGGCAGTCGCACAGAGCCTTGTGAGAAGTTACGAGTATGTTGGTCGCATCGATAAAGAATACATTAGTGCTCGCAAGTTCTAGTAACGTGCTTCATGTTAACTTCTGTTACCCAAAAAAATTGGATCTAGGGCAAGTTGGAAGACCGGAAGCCCTTGATGGTCTTATTTGGCGACGTGGCCATGCATTACATTCTGTCTGCGGCACAGTGAGTATCTGCTCCCCTGTGTTGTGTGTTTTCTCATCTTGTCTTTTTAAAATTCTGGTCGGGCCAGAGAGTGCGGCAGACCATGTGGTGGCGGGCCCTGCTTGTGTCCTTGCAGCTAGCCCCCGGCCGTATATGACCATTCTGAAAGCTGGTGCTGAAATAAGTTGTGATACCCACTTTTTTTGTTGTTGTTGTTCCAGTTTTCCCATTACTTGCAATTTTCCCCTGTCGCTTCATCGTGCTCTCACTCTTTGCTCCTGATGATCCCTACACGTCTTAATAGCTTGGGGCCTTGGCCTCACGATGTTCTAATGTGCTGGGCCTGCTCTGATAACAGAGACCTAGTGCTCTGCCCATCAAAGTGATCAGTGTTGGAGCCAAGATATAGTTCAGGGATAGCACATGTGCATTGTAGAAAGCATGTATCCCTGGTACAGCCCCCCCCCCCCCCCGGCCCCCAAAAAAAAAGAAGTGGAGGTCTTAATATGTTCATTGGGAAATGTATACATAAACCTGCAATATGTGTTCTGTCTTAAAATACTGGTTTCCGGTTACATTTTGATTGTGCTGGAAATTGAACTGTTCCTACTATGTGTATCTTCCAGTGAGTCAGGCACACTAACGCATTTGTCTTCACAATAGTTTCTGTCAATATCTTCTCTTGCTCTTGGTCTCAAGGATGAACAGTGATTACTTAAAATCCCTTATTTTGCATTCTGATACCATTTTTACAATGGCTTTCTTTTTTCTCTGTTGACACCTCTTTCTAGGGAGTCCTTTGTTTTTTTTTTTTGTTTTGTTTTGTTTTGTTTGCTTGTTTCTTTTTCTTTTTTGGGCCACATCTGACAATGCTCAGGGTCTACTCCTGGCTCTGCACTGAGGAATCACTCCCGGTGGGTTCAGGGGACCATGTGGGATGCCAGAGATCAAACCCAGGTTGGCCATATGCAAAGGAAGCACCTTAACCCTATATTAGCTCTAGTCTCATTACACATATAAGTGTATTCATTCTTTAATAATAATTCCAGAGTGTCCAGAGTGATAGTCCTGTGGATCGGACACTTGCCTTGCACACATGGTGTGAGGCACATACCCTACCCGCTAAACTATCTCCCTGGCCCTAGCCTAGGGAAACTCAAATGATCCGCTGAAATCGGGTGTTCGGGCACAGATCATACAACTCCATTTGAGGCCAGTCCGTTTGGCTCTCAGTGCTAATCGTGTTGTTTCTCATCTGACAGGACTGCTGACGGAGGAGGCCTGGTAGAGAAACACTACGTCTTTCTGAAGAGACTGTGTCAGGTGTTGTGTGCTCTGGGCAGTCAGCTGTGTGCATTGCTGGTGAGCACCGGCTCCAGGGTTGCAGGACCATTGGAGAGCCTTTAAAACTAGATGTTGAAAAGCGCCAGGTGCCTTGATTTTAGCCTGGTGTGAAGCAGCGTGCTACACATTATTTCATGTGACTTTCTATATTGAATTGTTTTAATCCAGTATGAACAAGAAAATAGCGTTCTTCAACTTTGGGGTGGGGTGGGGAAGGGGTTTGGGCCACTCAGGAGTTACTCCTGACTCTACTCAGGAATCACTCCTGGCGTAGGGGACCATATGCAGTGTTGGGGATCGAACCCAGGTCAGGTATGTGCAAGGAAGGTGACTTGACCTGCTGTAATATTCTCTGCCCCCCTTCAATCTTTTTATACCTCCCGACCTACAATTTTGTGCCCTGTCCTGCAAATGGGACAGAAGGCAGCAATAGTTTGCAGTCTTTCTACATCTACATGTCAGCTGCTGCACCGTGAGATACACAGTTACAAAGTATATGAACACATGATTGGGTTTTAGTGATACAATGTTCCAATAATCATCCTTTTACCAGTATTCACTTCCTGTGGCTATAGGCCACTCCTTTTCTGTTTTGATTTTTGAACCTGGTGGTGCTCAGGACTTACTCCTGGTTCTGCACTCTTTTCTGGTAGGGCTTCAGGGACATGTGGTGCTGGGGATCGAGCCTGGGTCAGGTGCATATAAGGCAAGTGTCCTATCCATTGTGCTGTTGCTCCGGCCCCTTATCCACTGCTTTCATAGTTGGTTGCTTTTTTTAATAGTGAGTGAGTAAAGGCCCTCCCGTTGATCATCGATTTGCTCGAGCGGGCCCAGTAACGTCTCCATTGGAGACTTTGTTGTTACTGTGTCTGGCATATCGAATGCGTCACGGGGAGCTTGCCAGGCTCTGCCGTGCGGGCGAGATACTCTCGGTAGCTTGCCGGGCTCTCCGAGAGGGGCAGAGGAATCGAACTCGGATCGGCCATGTTCGCTTTTTTTAATACCTAGAATTTTTTTCTTTTTGGGTCACACCTAGCAATGCTCAGGGATTAATCCTGGCTCTGCACTCAGGAATTACTCCTGGCGGTGCTCAGGGGACCATATGGGATGCTGGGAATCGAACCCGGGTCGGCCGCGTACAATGCAAACACCCTACCCACTGTGCTATCGCTCCAGCCCCAATACCTAGAATTTTTAAAAAAATTTTTTTTTACTGTTACTGGTGGTGTGGTCTTGGATCATACCCAGGGGTATTTGAGGTTACTCCTGACAGTGCTCAGGTGACCCTCTGGAACCGAGAATCTCCCCAACATCCATTCTGTAAGTTCCAGATTGTCTGCACTGTTATTTTTGTGAGTTTTGTTGGTCGTATTCCATCAGTCTGCTGAGTACTACCCTTTTAAGTCCTGTTGGGTCATAAAACATCCTGGGTTTGAGTAAAGAACTCGTTCCAAGTCTATAGGAAATACTGTCTCATAAAAGAAGTTGCCTGGAAATACCTGTCTCTAGGGAAATATTTAATACTTATAAGTTATAAGAGAGAACATTGCAATTTGCAGACATCGGCATTTGTTTGTTCTGACTTGTGGTGACTTGGATGTTCAGATCAGACGTTAAGTGAGTGGGTGTTCTGAGCCCTGGAGCACTTACTTAGGAAACTGAGTTCCAGACATGGGAATAGATCAAGTCTGAAAGCAGCACAGATTTCATGGTGTGATTTTTAGAATGAATGCACCTTCATGTGTCTATTTTACCAAAGAAGTGAGTGCTAATGGTGAGGTAAAGAGCTCTCCTGTTTTGTGGTCTCTTGAAATCATGTTTTCCTTGGCCACCAGGAAACTTAACATCCTTTCTTTTTTTTTTTTTTTTTGCGTTTTCAGTCACACCTGGCGATGCACAGGGGTTACTCCTGGCTTTGCACTCAAGAATTACTTCTGGCACTGCTTGGGGAACCATGTGGGATGCTTTGAATTGAGCCCGGGTCTGCCGCATGCAAGGCAAACGCCCTACCCTCTGTACTATTGCTCCAGCCCCTTAACATCCTTTCAAAGCTGCCATTTTTTTTTTATTTTTTGTTTATTTATTTATTTATCTTTTTTGGTCACACCCAGCGATGCTCAGGGGTTACTCCTGGCTCTGCACTCAGGAATCACTCCTGGCGGTGCTCGGGGGACCATATGGGATGCTGGGAATCGAACCCGGGTCGGCTGCATGCAAGTCAAACACCCTACCCGCTGTGCTATCGCTCCAGCCCCCATAAAGCTGCCATTTTTAATTTAGAATAGTTACGGTAATAAGTATACAGTGGTGCTGGCATCTGTGGTCTGGTACAGTTACCTCACCGTCATCCAAGTGCCCTGCACTCCTGCCTGCCGCCGAGCTGCTGTTTTGGTGGGCTTCTGTTGTTCCCACTCTGTTCAGCCCCCATCTGTGTCTTTAACCAAGCTCTCTTTTTCCTGCAGGGTGTGGATTCTGATGCAGAAACACCAGCTAACTTTGGAAAATACCTGGAATCTTTTCTTGCTTTCACAACCCATCCGAGCCAGGTAAAACTCAAATTAGAGAACTTCAGGTTTTAGTTTGATGGCTCATTAAGTCATACAGCCTGGGGTGTTGATGAAATCCCTGTGTAGGCTGACACTTGGAAGGCGCTGAGGAATCAGAATTTTATTTTCAGTAAGGGAACTATTGAGTCTTCTTTCCTTTTTCCTTTCTTCTGTTTGGTTCTGGGGGTGCCCATCTGGCAGGGGGCTTGGGTTACTTTCAGCCTGTTGTGTGGAGGCCCCTCAAGTGCCAGGACTAGCCCTGGAGCTGCGTGTACATGGCATGGGACCAGCCCTCTGCTTCATCACGCCATTCCCAGGTCTTTCTGACTGTGCTTGGCTCGGTCTCAGTTACTCTTCCCCTTGCAGGGATATTCTATTTAATATTCAGTCAGAAGTGAAATATGGTCCACGTAGTTTACTACTAAGGAATTTTTGTTGGGGCCAGAGTGAAAGCAGGTAGGACATTTGCCTTGCACCCTGCAGAAACAGTCAGGCCCCCCGACATCCCATGTGATCCCCTGCACACAGGGCCAGGAGGAAGCCCTGAGCACTGCTGAGTGTGGCCCCAAACCAAAACAAAACAGAAAGGTTTTTTGCAAGTGTGATGTTGGAAGGGCTCGACCCAGAGCCTTCTGCATGCCGTATGGTTGGCCTCACTTAACAGAGGTCTCACTGTGTTACTGCAAAATTAATTCCTTCCAATTCAAGATTTTCTTGTAATAGTGCCCAGATTTTCTTCTAATGTTACCCCGAGGGTTTCACATACCTCCTTGCATTAAAGAGAATGTGGTAGATCAATGTCAAGCCCCACTGCAGGATCTGCGTAACTGCATTGGTTACTGATGCACTCCAGCAACCTGTCCTGGAGAACCGAGGAGCCAGCAGTGGGCCTGGGTCAGCAGGAAGTGCTGGTTCATTTGAAGAAGGTAGATTACTAGGGAGGCGGGGAGTGAGGCCCACTCTGAAAGGCATTATTAAGGCAAGGAAGTTTGGGAACCTCTCCACAACAGCGTGGAAAGTTTAAAAGTATTCTATGGTTTTATTTCTGTGGAAAGAAACATAGTTCATCATTGTCAGTCATTATGGCTATGTAAAATTAAATCCTGAAATTGATTTGATATTTTTTTTCCTTCAGTTTCTCCGCAGCTCCACGCAGATGACCTGGGGGGCCCTCTTCCGCCACGAAATCCTGTCCCGTGATCCTGTGCTGTTAGCCATAATCCCAAAGTATCTCCGGGTTTCTATGACGAACTTGGTCAGGGTATGTCATGGGAATCTGGATCTCCAGTGTATAGATGAAGATGCATGAGACCCCAGTTGTGGCAGCAGCCCCATCTTGGTCACTGAGATTCTTAATTGGGTATATTGTCTATTCCTCAAAAAAGTTCAGGGGCTGGAGTGATAGCACAGCGGGTAGGGCATTTACCTTGCACGTGTCCGACCCGGGTTCGATTTCCAACATCCCATATGGTCTCCTGCGCACCGCCAGGAGAATTCCTGAGTGCATGAGCCAGGAGTAACCCCTGTGCATCGCCAGGTTTGACCCAAAAAAGAAAGAAAAAGAAAGTTGAGGGGCTGGAGTGATGGTACAGTGGGTAGGACACTTGTCTTGCACAAGATTGATGTTGGTTTGATTCCCAGCATTCCATATGGTCCCCTGAGCGTCGCCAGGAGTTACTGCTGAGTGCAGAGCCAGGAGTAACCCCTGAGCATGGCCGGTTATGGCTCAGAAACAAGATAAAAAAAAATCCATTCTGGACATACCTATTCTTTCATACCTGGGGCCATTTTTTTCTTTGTTTTCAAGTGTTGGGCTAGGTGTTAGGAAAGAGACGTGAAAGTGGCCGTGCAGTGTGACAATGCAGAAGCTAAAAGTGGAAGGGCTTAATTTTTGGGTCACACCCAGCTCTGCCCAGGCCTTACTCCTGACTACATTCTGGGATCACTCCCGGGTGGTGGCTCAGGAAACCGTATAGGGTGTCGGGGATCGAACCCAGTCAGCTGCAAGCAAGGCAAGCTCCAGAGTACTATGTCTCTGGCCCTTTTTTTGTAGTTTGGGAGATTATAATAGCGTTAGAGTTTATGATATCAATATACAACATAACTACACCCCTCCCCACTGAAGTGACTCCGACCTTCCTCCACTGTAATTTTTTCAAATATTTTTTTAATGAAACACACAAAATTCCATGCTTAGTATTTAGGGAAATAGTGTCTCAGATCTTTTGAACTAACTGCATGCTCTATTAGCACTTTTTTGGGGGAACATTCTTGTTCTCAAAGACCTTTAATAAATTATAGAATTTAATTCTCCCTGAGTGGGATGGAGCGATGGCGCTGCGGGTGCGCGCAGCCAGCCTGGCCGAGCTGGGTTCGATTCCTCCGCCCCTCTCGGAGAGCCCGGCAAGCTACCGAAGGTATCTCGCCCGCATGGCAAAGCCTGGCAAGCTCCCCAAGACGTATTCGATATGCCAAACACAGTAACAACAAAGTCTCACCATGGAGACGTTACAGGGCCTGCTCGAGAAAATGGGGCGGAGGAATCGAACCCGGCTCGGCTGGGCTGGCTGCGTGCACGCCTTCCCCGCTGTGCTATCGCTCCAGCCCACTTAGGGAGAATTAAATTATTAAAGGTCTTTGAGAACAAGAATGTCCCTAAGGAAAGGTGCTAACAGAGGACAGTGACAATTCTCCCTGAGTAACTTTGGAGAGAGTATTAAATGAAATTTTTTCTTCTCAGGATTGTTGGAACCGAGGGTAAACCATAGATTGGGGTAGGACAGAAGCAGCTATTGCAAGGTGTCCTCCGTGCACCCTATTCACTCTGTAACAGACTGTCACGTACTTATGTTGCTCCTGCAGCCTGGGACTCAGAAGCTTCCTTTTCATCCCGATTCCAATTGTCTTTCTCTTTCCAGATGGGCTTTCCTTCTAAAACAGACAGCCCTAGTTGTGAATATTCTCGGTTTGATTTTGATAGCGATGAAGACTTCAATGCTTTCTTCAACTGTAAGTGATATTGACCTGGAGTTTCTCCCAGCAGCCTCAGAATGGCCACTGCTGTGCTGGACCCTGTGCATGGCCTGTGCGGTTCTGTGGTGGAGCATCCCGAGTGTGTAAAGCAGCCCGTCTAAGCCTCTAGTTTCACACTGCAGCAGAGAGCTCTGGCAGTGCAGTGATTTAGACACTTTTGCATACACCCTGCCTTCGGACAGTAATGTTTAGAGATGGTATGTTTAAAGCACTCCTGGATTTTTTTTTTTATACTTAGTATTCCATACCATCTTATTTTGCAGGTATTATTCTGTTGTGGAATCTCTATATACTATACCATCATACTATATATCTATACTGTCTTAATTTGCAGGTAAATTTTGTTCTGGGTTTTCTATACTTTCTCTAACAGACACACCCCAGGTGGGATGGTACAAATAATAGTTTATTGAAAAATTCGTTTGCTCTGCAACGCCCCCATTTATAGTGTACAACTGAGTGCTTATTTTCAAAGTTGTAAAATTATTTCTATTCTCAATTTCAGATCATTTTTATGTGTCCCCCCAAAAAAAAAATTTAAAAAAAAAAAACCCTGCACAAGTTAACAGACCACTTCCAATCTTCTGATAATTCCCAGTCTTGGATAACCACTAATTCAATTTCTGTATTAACAATTTTATTGTCGTATAAATGGAATCGGGCTGAAGCGATAGCACAGCGGTAGGGCATTTGCCTTGCACGCAGCCACCCGAGTTCGATTCCTCCGCCCCTCTTGGAGAGCCTGGCAAGCTACCGAGAGTATCTCGCCCGCACGGCAGAGCCTGGCAAGCTCCCCATGACGTATTCGATATGCCAAACACAGTAACAACAAAGTCTCCAATGGAGACGTTACTGGGCCCGCTCGAGCAAATCAATGAACAACGGGAGGACAGTGACAGTGATAAAAGGAATCACATGTGGTCCTTTGTAATTGCTTAAATATTTTTTAAGATTTTATTCATATTGTATCGTTTACATTTACATTGTCAGTAATGTTTAATTTCTGTAGCTATATGCTACAGTTTGTCTATCATAAATTTGAATTTTTTTCATTTTTTGACGGCTATGCACAAGTTTTTATGTAGACATGTTTTTATTTATTTGGGGGTTAATGCCATGGAAGGAAAATACTGGATCATGACGGTACTTGAGTGATTATTCTCAAGAAATTCCAAATTTTTCACAGTAACAACCATTTTATATTTTCTCCAGTCTGATCATCTAATCCCCATAAAAATGCCACACCTTTGAGTTTGCTGTTTTCAGATCTAGCTAGTAAGATCATTTCTAGAGGTAATCTATTTTTTAATTATTGTAGTTTTGTTTTGTTTTGTTTTTCAATTTTTGGGGTCATCCCCAGTGATGAGCAGGGGCTTCTCCTGACGCTGTGCACAGTGTTGACTCCAGGAGTCAACCATAAGCAGTTCAGGGGATCTAATGGGCTCAGCCGCTTGCACCTGATGCAATACTTCATTGTACCTTACCCCCCTTCCAGCCTACTCCCAACCTGCCCCCCTCACACATTTTTCTCCCTGGCCCTACATTTGTTGTTTATTTCTTTGGGGTGGGGGTGGTCCATACCCAGGATTTACTCCTGGCTCGGTGCTTAGGAATCATTCCCAGTGGGGCTGAGGGGACTGTATGTGATTCCAGGGGTCCAACCTGGGTTGGCCGTGTGCCAGGAAAGCGCCCTGCCCACAGTGCTATTGGCTCTGGCTCCCTATGGAGAGTAGCCCCAGAGGTCCTTGGACTTAATCCTGGCTCTGTGCTCAGGAGTCTCTCCTGGTGGTGCCCAGGGGTCCATATGTGCTGCTGGGGATTGAACCGAGATCTGCCACCCTCAAGGCAAGTGCCCTACCCACCGAACTATTTCTCAGGTCTAATAAAACGTCATTAAGCATTTGGCACAGTTAAAACCCAAGTCTGTAGAAGTCTCTGAACACTGTCTACATATAAAGAATCTGAACATCTTCCCCATGGAATGGATTAAAGAATGAACATTAGATGTCCCTTCCATGCAGGCTATTGATTCATGTTTTTCTCTTGGCAGCCTCCCGGGCCCAACAAGGAGAAGTCATGAGATTAGCATGTCGTTTAGATCCCAAGACTAGTTTCCAAATGGCTTCCGAGTGGCTAAAGTATCAGTTATCAACTGCCATTGACACTGGATCCGCGAACTGTAAGTTTTTAACTTTTTGAGTGTCGGTGAAGTATTGCATCAGAAATGTATGAAGAAAATCTCAGTTTTATTTACTAATAATAGACTAGGGGTCAAAAGCAGACCTACTTCTCGGTCACGTCAAGAATGAGCCTTCTTGGAGCCAGAGTGATAGTACAGCATAGAGGGTTCAATGTTGCACACAGCCAACCCGGGTTCAATCCCCAGCATCCCATATGCTCCCCTGAGCACCACCAGGAGTAATCCTTGAGTTTAGAGCCAGAATTAAGCATCTAAGCATCTAAGCCCTAAGCATCACTGGGTATGATCCAGAAAGCGAAAGAAAGGGGGGGAGGGGAAGGAAGGAAGGAAGGAAGGAAGGAAGGAAGGAAGGAAGGAAGGAAGGAAGGAAGGAAGGAAGGAAAAGGAAAGAAAGAAAGAAAGTGCTGCACACAATGAAGGAAATTGGTGCATCTTTTGGCCTGTGCCATGCTATTGGTGTGAGGTGTTCTGATGACGCTTCTGTTGACGATGCTCTCTAGATCTGAAGGGACCATTTTTAGATGTGACGCTGCAGGCGTATTCATTTGAATTTCCCTGTGGAAAAGATTTAGGGGAAGGGTATAGTTATGTTTAGGAAAATGCAAGAAGAGAAAACAATAGAAATAGCTTTGTTTTGGGAATACAAGAGGAAAATAATAGAGTACCCCGGAAAGTAAAGGAGAAGAAATTACGGCGTCCAGGCTGGGCCTGGGCACATCTGGAATGGAGCACACCTTGAGGAAGGGTTCAGTATGTTAATTCTATTCCCCCTAGGTATATTATAAACAGGAGAGAAAGGGAGAATTTCATTAATGTGTATTATCAGTTGCTTCAGTCCATACCCGGCTGACGTTTCCACGTATGTTCTCATTCAGTGTGGGAGATGGCTTTACAGATGAGTCTCTTTCCAGAGGCGAAATCGTAGGTTGTTGATAGAATCCAGCTGGAGGCACAAGAAGAGGCCCTGTCTTCTCTCGTCTCCCCCTCACTCCTCTTGATTGAGAGGTGTGAGATTTCTGGGTTCTGCAACTGTGAAATTATGGGAAGGCTTCTGGCCATGTATTTTCTGTTTCTTCTATGCTGTGACCCTATAATGTTGGAGTGTATGTGTTTGTGTGTGCCTGTGTGTGCATGTGTGTGTGTGTGTGTTTTAAAACCCTGTTCTCCTGCAGCTGGAACTGGAGAAGGTAGCTTCTGCTCCATGTTCTCACCTTCATTTGTGCAGTGGGAAGCCATGACCTTATTTTTGGAAAGTGTGATCAACCAGATGTTTCGAACAGTAGATAAAGAAGTAAGTGTATCTTTGATCTTTTTTTTTAGACTTTGTTTATTCTCAGCCTCATTGTACAACAAATGCCTGAACCTCTATACAATTTTTTTTTTTTTTTTTGCTTTTTGGGTCACACCCGGCGATGCACAGGGGTTACTCCTGGCTCTGCACTCAGGAGTTACTCCTGGCAGTGCTCAGGGGACCATATGGGATGCTGGGAATCGAACCCGGGTTGGCTACGTGCAAGGCAAACACCCTACTCGCTGTGCTGTTTCTCCAGCCCCGAACCTCTATACAATTTACCCTACAAAAATTGTGGGTTTTTTTTTTTTTGCTGGGCCTGATCCGTGAGTACTACAGGTAGAGTGACTGCCTGGCATGCAGCTAACCTGTATTCGACTTCCAGCATACCAGATGGCCACCCAAGCACCACCCGGAGTGATTCCTGAGTGCAGAGCCAAAATAAGTCTTTCTGTTTGTATATGGACCACACCGACAGTGCTCAGGTGTTATTCCTACCTCTCCTGGAAGTGCCTGTGGAACCATATGTGGTACTGGGGATCGAACCCAGGATCAGCTACATATAGGCACGCACCTTAACCCCTTAGTATCTCTCCAGCCTCTAAATAAGCTTTGCTTTGTTTGGGGTTTTGCTCCCCACCCCACAGTGCTCAGGACTGGCTCTGCACTTAGGGATCAAACCCTGGCCAGCCCTGGGCAACGCAAGTGCCCTCTCCGCTGTTCTCGCCCCGAAATAAGCAGTTTTTAAGGAATCGTCAAGTTGTGTTTCTGATTAATAACATGGTTAAAACAAGCACATTGATGAAGAGATTGATGCTGTGTGTGAAGAAGAACAGCAACTTGTTTTAGAAATACATTGTTTCGATCCAGTAATTCCAGTTATCCCCCAAAATCACATGTTCATATTAAATGATCTGATGATGTAGTTGTTAAAAGAATTAAGGCGCTTCTTTGCACACAGCCTGATTCACTCCTTAGGCTCTGTCTGGTTGTTTTGAGTACCAGAAGTGACTCTTGAATACAGAGGTGGGGACGGCCCCCACCCACTGCCGTGTGTGGCCCAGATCCTACAGCTAAAATAAATTGACTGGGGGGCCAGAGAGAGTCCAATGGGCGTGGTGCTTGCCTGGCACACAGCTGATCTAGGTTCGATCCCTGCACCCCATATGGTCCCTCAAGCCTACTTACTAGGCATCACCCCTGAACACTGCTGGGTGTGGACCAAAAACCAAAAGTAAGTAAGACTGGCTAGACCCAAGAAACACTTGGGAATGAAAACAAGAACAGAAACAAATGAAGAAAGTCTAGCCCTTTTTTTTTTTTTACGAGGGTGTATTTAGCATTACTTACGTTTATGAGCAAGAGACATTCTCAATTTTTTGTACAGAAGAAGTTTCGTGAGTGGCAGATGACAGCATCATTTCTGACAACTTCTAGTCATGGGGGTAGTGCCCAGAATTTTAGATTTAAAAGAATATGTCAAACCATGTGTATCACCATTATTATTTATTTATAAACTTGATTTTCATTGAAGTTAAGCAAAATAGTTATCAAGTCCAGCCCATCTCATTTTCCTGTTTGTCTCCTAGGAACTTCCTGTTAATGATGGGATAGAGTTATTGCAGCTGGTCCTGAACTTTGACACCAAGGATCCCCTCATTCTGTCCTGTGTCCTCACTAATGTCTCAGCACTCTTTCCGTTTGTCACTTACAGACCAGAGTTCCTGACCCAGGTCTTCTCTAAGGTAAATCTCTTTGTTTATTTCGGCATTTCTGAGCCAAGTCTCTATGTCATTGGAAAGTGTGTGAGACAAATTAGACCAGTCACATTTATTTATCAGCTATTTCCTCGGTACCTACTATGGATCAGGCACCATCCTGCCGGGGCAGCCCTACCTTTTAGGGGCACTTTGGTGTCGGAGGGTCCCATGAGATGTCATCCAGATGTCTGGCAGGAGGGCACATTTGTGAGAGAAAAGGTTGCTATGGACAGATCGCAGGTTTTCCTTTTAGGTAGAGTACCAATCCTTTGTCAGGAGGAGAGCAAACAGTTGTTTGGAATACTATATTTGAAGTCTCATCTCTAGTTATATCACGCAAAATACTCTGTCGTAGGTTAAAGGGCTCAGCTCCTGGCTGAACAGCAGGTAGGACTCTTGCCTTGCACACAGTATGCCCGGGTTTGATCACCAGTGTCCCAGATGGTCTCCTGAGCCTCCTAAGAGTAACCTCTGAGCACAACCGGGTGTGGCTCAAACACTCCTACCCCCGAAAAAATGTCTAGCCATTGGAAAATTATGGGATAAAGTTTAGGCATCATCAGTAATGGTGTGCCAAAAATAAGACATGGCACCATGGGAAAAAGTATGTCTGAAGAGTTAGATATGCCTCTGGCCACCACAGGGGAAGGACGGTAAAAAGTGAGACGCTCCAAGGTAGAAAAGAGGGGCCGGAGCCATAGTACAGTGGGTAAGAGGCTTGCCTTGCATGCAGCTGACCCAGGTTCGATCCCTGACCATCCCACACGATTCTCCAAGCCCAACAGGAGTGATTCCTGAGTTCAGAGCCAAGAGCACTGTCAGGTGTGGCCCCAAAACAAACAAAAAATATCTAAGAAAAGAGGTAGCCAGAGAAATGGTAATAATATTGCGTGTCCAAGTCCAGTAGAGCTACAAAAAGACAGATCCATTTGTCGTAACAGAGATTTTCTAAGTAATTCTCATTTCTAAGAGACTCCGTTGGGTTTCTCAGTTCAATCTAAGTTTTTGGGTAATAACATGGGTTATTCTTAGATTCTTTCCTGACATTTACTTTTATAAAATGTTATGGTGAAACTTTTAAGCCTCTTGAAAGATTATCAGAAAATGAAGGACTGGAATTTCATATCAGTGGAAACCCTTTGTTATCATATTGTTTACACCTTAGAAATTTTATGGGAAATTTTTGGCAGAGCCTGACAAGCTCCCCGAGGCGTATTCGAGATGCCAAAAACAGTAACAATAACGGGTCTCATTCCCCTGACCCTGAAAGAGCCTCCAGTATGGCACCCTTAGGAAGGACAAGTAAGGAGAGGCTGCTAAAATCTCAGGGCTGGGACGAATGGAGACGTTACTGGCACCTGCTCAAGCAAATCAGTGAACAATAGGATGACATTGATACAGTGATGAGAAATTTTATAACTGTTTTAAAACTGCATTTTGTACTGATTTGTGTCCTTTTTTATTGTTGTTGTTTCCCCTTAGCTATTTTCAGCTGTCACTTTTGAAACTGTTGAAGAAAGTAAGGTAAAACTGCTTATTCAACCAACAAATTCCAACTTCCTTGAGAGCAAAATATGAATACAGGCATACCTCAAGAGATACTGCAGGGGCTGGAGTGATAGCACAGCGGATAGGGCATTTGCCTTGCACACAGCTGGCCCACATTCGAGTCCCAGCATCCCTTATGGTCCCCCAAGCACTGCCAGGAGTAATTCCTGAGTGCAGAGCCCAGAGTAACCCCATTGCTGGATATGACCCAGAAAGGAGAGAGAGAGAGAGAGAGAGAGAGAGAGAGAGAGAGAGAGAGAGAGAGAAGATTGAAAGAGATTGAGAGAGAGATATTTCAGGTTGAGTTTGAGACCTCTGTAATAAAATAAATACTATAGTAAAGCAAGTTGCATGATTTTTTTTATTTCCCAGTGCGTATAAAAGTCATTCATCTGGGCAGTAAAGACAGCTCAAAGGGCTCAGCACTTGCAAAGCAGGTTTTGCATGTGGGAGCCCCAGGATTAGTCCCTGACACCACATGATCCCCCAAGCACTGAGCTGAGAGTAGCTCCTGAGCACTGCCAGATGTGTCCCTCCCCCCAACAAACAAAGGTATACAATATCATTACATAGTTAAAAACCATACTTAACTGTGACACAGATGTGAAATAGGGGCTAGGTTGGAAGGAAGGTTGCCACAAACCTTCACTTCGGGAAGAAATACGATAAAATGTGTTCCACCAGTATCTGACACCTGTCTAGGTTTATTTGAACGTGGAAGGGATGAGTGAAAACAGTCGCTAGTCCTGTAATGGGGTGTCTGCACTAGAGGCACTTGGGGGCGAGTCGGGGCCGAGACGAGAGCCCACAGTGGCTGTCCCTTGGAGGGTTCTCCGAAACGTGCGTGAGTCCTGCTGATGTGCTGCCTGTCTCACCCAGGCCCCCAGGACGAGAGCCGTGAGGAATGTGAGGAGGCACGCCTGTTCCTCCATCATCAAGATGTGCCGCGACTACCCTCAGCTTGTGCTGGTGAGACGCTCGGCTGCCCCCCACCCCACCTCACCCCACCACACCCCACCCCCGAGCCCAGTCTGAGGCATGCCTCACACAGAGGCACATTTAGAAACAGACTTCGCTTAGAATAGGAATTTTTGTGTTTTTTTTTTTTTAATTACTGTGAATTACAATGTTATTCAGGATTGAATTTCAGGTGTACAGTTTTCCAACACCAGCTCCTTCACTGATAACCACTTCCCTCCACCAGTGCCCATTCTCCACCACCAATGATCCCAGTATCCCTCCCACCCACCCCCATCTCCCCCATCCCACCCTGCCTCTGGCAGGGCCTTCCCTTTTGTTCTCTCTCCTTTTGGGTGCTGTGCAAAAGAGGCATTGAGTAGCAATCATGTTCAGCCTATGAAAATACAGATACAATCTTTTTAAAAAATAGTCATATTTGTTTGCTATCACGGAAACCAAGTTTTCGTTATTAGTCTGTACCTCTTTACTATTAAAGAGTATTTACTAACGCCAAATAATATGCCTTAATTTTGAGAGAAGCAATGATGTGAACCCAACTTTGTGGGAAGGATTACTATAAGAAATTCAGCACTGCTTCAGACTTAAAATTAGCCAGAGGGGCCACTGCAGAGATCATGCAATGGGTAGGGCACTCGACTTGCACACGGTCGACCTGGGTTTGATTCCCAGCAACCCACATGGTCCCCCAAACCCCACTAGAAGTGATCCCTGAGCATGGAGCCAGTAATAAATGCTGAGCACTTCCTGGTGTGGCCTGAAAACAAGAAAATAAAAGTAACCAGAGGAACTGGAGAGATAGTTCAGGGGTGAAAGTGTTTGCCATGGTATGGCCGACACCAGCTTATGATCCCCAGAGCACCACAAGGTGTGATCCCTGAGCAGACAGCCAGGAGGAAGTCCTGAGCACTGCCAGGTGTGACCCCCAAATGAATTGGTGTCAACCAGAAATTCTTGCATCCTCTGAATATATTGCATTGTGTGTGTGTTGGTTGGTAGATAGGTAACAATATCCATAGATAAGAACAAATGATCTTTGTGAAGATACTCTAAAAATGGATGCAGAAAAAGAACAAAATATTTTTAACAGTTGTTTGGGAAAATAGAGTCATTCCAACCAGAAAAGAACCTTTGGCTTAACTTGCTTTAAGCAAAAGAATGTTCTGCTGAGTTACTAAGGGACCGACTTAGTGGCCTGCCATTCCTGGACATGCCCGATCCTCCTCCCTCCTGGACCTTCACCACCCGTATTTTTGTGTGTATGTGATCGGCAGCCCAATTTTGACATGCTTTATAACCACGTGAAACAACTCCTGTCCGACGAGCTGCTGCTGACACAGATGGAGAAGTGCGCGCTCATGGAGGCCCTGGTTCTCATCAGCAACCAGTTCAAGGACTACGAGCGCCAGAAGGTGTTCCTCGAGGAGCTGATGGCGCCTGTGGCCACCATCTGGCTTTCCGAGGAAATGCACAGGTAGAGGAGACCCTCGGTACAGTCTCGAGCGCTCACTCCGTTCTTTGGTTCTGTGTACGTGTGGCACGTGGCCGACCCAGCGGACGAGGGTCACGAGACCCTCCGACGCCCGGCCTCAGCTCGGAGGCTTGTGCCGCGCCAGCACCCCGCAGCTGTGACCGGCAGGAGTGTACAGCTCGCAAGGTGTAAAGACAGTCTCCGTGTCTCGTGACAGGCTCAAGAGTGGCCTTAGCCCTTGCCGGCACGAACGTCCCTCTGCTTTACTGAGGTGCAGGGAGGCAGAAGCACAGACAACAGCGGATGGTGGGAGTCAGGGTGAAGTATGTCGGCTTTGCTTCACCAAGCACATGCGTAGGGGACCGAGGACCGCAGTAAGGGCTGTGTAGGCAGCTGGACACTCACCAGCTCTCAAGCTGCACGGCCATCTTTCTCTCCTTCCCTCCCTTGTGGCAGTGTCGCAAGGTTGGTCGTCCCTTGGTTGCAGTGCTCTCTGAGGGGCTGCCCCCTTTTCATCGTGGCCATGTGGTTGTGGTCCTGACACTTAAAAATGATGGGTGGGACCATACTTGGTACTGCAGCCTCTTGACTACAGGGTGGGCACTCTGCCATTCAGCCAACCTGGTTCGTGCTTGGACCCTTTTTGATAAGTGTATTTTGGGAGGATGCGTTGGGGGAGTTAAGGTTTGGGCCATCTGCAGTGATGCTCGAGGGACTGTGCTGCCAGGCTTGAATCCAGGCCTCCCTGGTGCAGAGATGCACCCCGGGCTTCTGAGTTACCTTCTCGGCCCGCCTCTTTTGATTCTTGAAGTGTTGCCAGTAGCATCTGGAAGGTTAGTTGCATTAACACACTTATTCACGAATGAAAATTCTTTTACTTGGAACCGATGTTCTGGGGACCCAGTCGTGATAGATGATCAGCTCTTGGGGAGGTACCATCTTTGCTTTAACCACATGTGACTTATCTCCCCAACAGGGTGCTGTCAGACATTGATGCTTTCATTGCCTTTGTGGGTGCAGACCAGAAGGGCTGCGACCCAAGCCTGGAGGATCCTTGTGGCTTAAACCGCGCACGGGTGAGTGAGCCTCTGTGGGCATGCGGGGCTGCTGGCTGCAGGTAGGGCAACAGGGCTTTGGCAGAGCGAACGGTTTCTCTGGGTGGGAGAAGTCTGGGAGACTCTTCCCTGAAGCTTTCTTTTCTTCTTTAGTTGTGAATTTTTTTTTTCTTTTTGGGTCACACCCGGCGATGCACAGGGGTTCTCCTGGCTCTGCACTCAGGATTTACTCCTGGCGGTGCTCGGGGAACCATATAGGGTGCTGGGAATCAAACATGGGTCAGCCGCGTGCAAGGCAAATGCCCTACTCGCTGTGCTATCGCTCCAGCCCCTAGTTGTGAATTCTTGAGTTAGTTCCCACAGCAGAGCAGATGGTCTTTTCAATGAAGGAATTATCTGGGCTTTAAGGATCCCTTCCTCTGAAGACTGGGGGGTTGTAATGAGCAAGTAGGCCAGAACCTGGTTGGCGGGGTGAGTCCTCCCTCCCTGCCAGTGCTCACCAACAGGTGAAGTCCTCCACGCAGGCCCAACATGCAAACCGTACTGAGGTTTTTCAGTAACTTTTGCTCCAGGGCGTCCAAAGTCATACTGCCCTGGCAAGTAGTAGGCGAGAGTACCTTGCGTGAGGATCAAGGCGAAAGCTGGCCTGGCCTTCGCTGGCGGATACAAGGTCTGTGCAGGAGCCAAATGAAATGTCGGCGGCCTGGACTCTGGACTTTGGAACATTTCCGGGCCACCTTCTACTTGGGGTCCTATGAGAGGGTCACTCACTGCAACCTTGGGAAGGGGGTCCCTCATGAAAGGGGAACTTCTCGAGCTTACCACTTGTCCAGAAGATGGTAGTGAAGGGCCCCTCCTGGACCTTGACCTTGATAGGAAGGGCCAGCGGGGGTTGCTGTTAGCCTCCCTGTCTCTGTGGTGCTGGTGTAGTAATGACCCGTTGCTCTCTGCCCCTTTCAGGCTCACCTTTCATTTTTCATGTCTTTCTGTAGATGAGCTTTTGTGTGTACAGCATGCTGGGTGTTATGAAGCGGACGTGTTGGCCCGCCGACCTCGAAGAGGCCAAGGCTGGGGGCTTTGTGGTGGGTTATTCACCCAGCGGAAATCCCATTTTCCGCAACCCCTGCACAGAACAGATCCTGAAACTTCTGGACAATTTGCTTGCCCTTATAAGGTGAGTCTGAGTAAAAGGTTCTTACCATAGGGTTAGAGCAATAGTACAGCGGGGAGGGCATTTGCCTTGCATGTAGCCAACTCGGGTTCAATCCGCTGCATCCCATATTGTTCCCCGCAGCACTGCCAAGGTAATTCCCGAGTCTCACTGGGTGTGGCCCCAAAACAAAACAAAACAAAAAAAAACAGCCAGGTTTTTTATCATGACAGTCTCAAAAGTTCAGTCCATGTCTAGTTCTTCCAAGCACAAAACTTGTGTGAGACAGGGACTCTCTAAGCTAAGCGGCGTGCGCTCTTACAAGCAGGCATCTTTCATTTCAAGCGAACACAGGGAGGCTCGTCCCAGATGGCTTTTAGGTATTTTCCCTGGAAGCATTTAAACGTTGGCCCCTCCTTTCTCTTCCCTCCTGGAGTAGCATAGACAGGCGATGTGTTTGCAGTGGAGTGTCACTGGCTCATAGGTTAGGAGGTTCACCCCACTTCCTTGTTTCTTTCAGAACGTACAATACTTTGTATGCACCAGAAATGCTAGCCAAAATGGCAGAACCTTTTGCAAAGACTCTGGATATGCTGGAAGCGGAAAAATCTATTATTTTAGGTAAGATATCTTAACCTCTGGGGCTAGAATGATAGTGCAGCGGTGAGGGCATTTGCCTTGATGCAGCCGATCCCAATTTTGACCCCTGGTATCCCATATGGTCCCCTGAGCCCTGCCAGGAGTGGTTCCTGAGGTCAGAGCCAGGAATAAGCCCTGAGCACTGCAGGGTATGACCCAAAACTTTAAAAAAAAAAAAAACTAAAGTCCTTTTTTCCCCTGAGGACAACACACATCCAATGTTTCCACACAACCTCCTACCCAGCTCAACCTTAACCGTGAATACGAGTGCAGAGTAGCATCCTGTAGGTGCTTCTGGGAACTGTGTGTTCTGTACTACAGCCACAGGGCTCAGAGGGGACACCGGGAGCCCTGTGTTCCCTGTACCACAGCCCTGGGCTTCAGAGGTGGTTTCTCCTTCCTTCTGCACATGCCCCCATGGCACACTTTGGTGCCAAATAGCGTGTTACAGGCTTTATTTACAGTGGAAGTAGATCACGGGATTCTTTTTGTTGTTGTTGTTTCAATTGAATCACTGAGGATTCCAGAGTTGCGAGGTTGTTCGTTGTTAAGTTTCAGGTGTACAGTGTTCCATCACCAATCCCTTCACCGGTGTCCATTTCTGTTTCCCTCTACCGGTGCCCTCAGTTTCCCTCCTGCCCCCCACCCCCACTGGCCTCTGTGGCAGGCACTTTTCCCCTCACCATTGTCCTAGTATTTCCTATTCCAACTTACAGCCCCGCCCCAGTGGCAAGATTTCGTTTTACCTGAAGAATATTGTTAGCAACCTTTCCGCTTATCTCTGACAAAAAGAGAGCAGTTAAGTTTTACTGATCCCCAGTGGTCGCCCAAGCCCACCAGGAGAGGGCCTTTGCACCACCGGGTATGACCCCCCAATTTTTTTTTTTTTAATGGAGATTTGTTGGGGCTGGAGAGCTGCGTGAGCTGCGCACAGGCCTCGTCTGGTTCAGGGCCTGCACAGCGTGACCCCCGAGCACCGCTGGGTATGGCCCCCAAATTGGAGAATGTTTTAGAAGAGAAGGAAGCATTGCAGGCAGACAGAATGATGGTTGTGAAGATCTTGAAACCCAGGGACCAGTGAAATGGTACAGCTTGCACGAGGCTGATCCCAGTTTGACCCCCTAGCACCTCATTACGGTCGAGCATTGCCAGGAATGATCCCTGAGCACCACTGGGTGCAGCCCCCAAATAGTATCTTTGTTTTGTTTTTATTCGGGGTCCACGCCCGACGGGCGTACTCTTGGCTCTGCCCCCAGAATGTCTCCATTTCCAGCTCTGCTTCGGCCTGCACCTTTCTGAGACCACACAGTCCCTGCTCTGCGGCCTCATTCTGGCCTTACGGAAGGAATGGTGTTGGTGGGCCTTCGCACAGCTCGTGGCTGTCTGGCTGAGCCTCCTTGGTCCTGTACCACCACTGCACCCGTAGGCAGCCAGTGAAGGTTTCAGGAGGGCCCGGATAGTACAGGGGTAAAGCATGTCCCTTCCACGGGCCAACCTGAATTCAGGCCTGAGCACTGCATACGGCCCCCGTGGCCCCTGAGCACAGAGTCAGCCCTGAGCATGGTCAGATGTGGCCCATAAAAGAATTTTCAAGTTCTCACTGTTAAAGTTTCGCTTCACTGCCGGTTTCCGCTTCCATTCAGTGACTCTCTAAATAAGCCAGAAGTGCCTGCTATGAAAATATGTGGCCAGCCAAGAGATGTTAGAACAGACACCACCATTCTTGGCTCTGGCTAGAAGTAGAGGTCCATCAAGGCAGTCGTTGGGTCAATGGGTCAGTGGGTCTTGTTTTGATCTGCTTGCCATAAAGGGCTTCAGTGTAAACTTTTGCTTTAAAGAAAGGTCCTGCAGCACAGGGTGGGGTGCTCCTGGTGCTTTTGGGGAGATCCTATTGATTTCTCATTGTGTGCTCCAGTGAAAGTCCCTCCTGGGGTTCTCGGTACTTCCATCACTTCCTGTGCTGCTCTGGTCGCAGCGTAGCAACCTGCCTTCGGGGGAGGGGGGGCTGTCGGCCCTCCTCTCTCCTGCACCCCCAGCCGCCAGCAGGCTGAGCCTCACGGCACATGTTTCTTGCCCATCTTTCTCACCAGGCTTGCCTCAGCCGCTCCTGGAATTGAATGACTATCCCGTGTACAAAACGGTCCTGGAGAGAATGCAACGCTTCTTCTCCACCCTCTACGAAAACTGGTAGGAGCCAACACTGCCTCTGCACAGCCTGCCTGGGTGTGCGTGGATAGGGTGGGCCTGGGGGGGCTTTGCACCTAGAGTTCTAGTGTGCAGGTAAGATGAGGCAGAAATCTGATAGAAGAACGAGTCTAATGTCAAATTTAAGTATCCATGCCGCGTTCCTGGTTTGCTCTGCTTCTCTCTCTTTCTCTCCCCCACTTCTCTCCCTCTGTCCTCCCCCCCCACTCTCTCCCCTCCCTCTGTCCCTCTCTTTCTTCTCCCCCTCTCTCCCCTCTTTCTCTCATTCTCTCCCCACTTTCTCGTGAATCAGGGATCACGTTCATTTGCTAAAGAAATTTACTTCGGAGCCAGAGCGATGGTGCGGTAGATACTTGCCCCTTGCAGCCAGCTCTAGTTCGGTCTCTAGAACCCTCTATGGTCCCCTGGGTTCACCAGGTACAGTCCAAAAACAAAGCAACAAAAAACTTTTTAAAAAATCTCTATTTGCGGGGCTGGAGTGATAGCACAGCAGGTAGGGCGTTTGCCTTGCACGCAGCCAACATGGCCGACCCGGGTTCGATTCCCAGCACCCCATATGGTCCCCTGAGCACCGCCAGGAGCAATTCCTGAGTGCATGAGCCAGGAGTAACCCCTGAGCATCGCCGGGTATAACCCAAAAAGCAAAAAAAAAAAAAAAAATCTCTATTTTTGAGCGGGCCAGAGCTCTAGTATAGCAGATAAAGTGCCTGCCGTGAAGCCGGCCCATGTTACACCCCCACACCACACACACACAGTGTCCGGAGCAGTGCCGGTGTGATCCGAAAAACATATTCCTTGGTGAAATGTTAAGTGGGGAGGGAGAGAGAGAGAGAGATACATGCTCAAAAGAGAACCTGGCTTCTCCAGAGTGGAAAGAGCAGAGAATGACTTTGGGAGCTTATATACGAACTGTGTTGGCCAGCGTGGGGCTGCTTTTTAACCAGTGCTCACTGCACTTAATTCCACCTCGTCCGTTTACACTGCAGGAAGTGAGACCAAAGTTGTAGATTGGGCAGGTAGGAGGGGCTTCGTGTACACAGCCCCCCTCTGGTCATGGGGCCAGGGAGAGCTGCCCTGCACAGCCACGCCCAGGCTGAGGCCCAGCACCCAGTCACAGTGACCCCTGTTGATCTTGGTTACCCACATCTGTACAAAGATGCAGGTTCTGTTATCACAGAGTTTCTGTAGGGGTGGAAGTGATGGTGCAGCAGGCAGGGCACTGGCCTTGCATGCAGCACACCCAGATTTTGATCTCTGGCACCCCAGATCCCCAAGCCCTGCGAGGAGTGGTTTCTGACCACGCGTCCAGGAGTAAGCACTGAGTGAGCACCACTGGATATGACACAGAAACAAACCCAAAAAGTATCTGGGGGCCAGAGCGATAGCACAGCAGGTAGGGTGTTTGCCTTGCACATGGCTGATCCGGGTTCGATCCCCGGCATCCCATATGGTCCCCCAAGCACCGCCAGGAGTAATTCCTGAGTGCAGAGCCAGGAGTGATCCCTGAGCATCGCCAGGTGTGACCCAAAAAAAGGCAAAAAAAAAAAAAGTGTCTGTACAGGGGATGAGGTCTTATGTCCATGTTTAATAAAAGATGGAAGGGCCAGGGACGGAGCTCTGTGTTAGAGCACTCGCCTTTCTCTGTGAGGCCCTGGGCTTCGTCGCTAAAAAACTTGAGTGTTCCTCTTCAAAGTATATTGGCTTGGCCTAAAGAACTCTGAAGAAGCTTCTCCAGCTGACAACTCAGCACAGCACGGAAATGCGGCTCGTGGGCACGGGGCCGGTGGCCGAGCTGGGACCTGTCTGCCTTTCCCTCCCCCCTCCCAGCTTCCACATCCTCGGGAAGGCGGGCCCTTCCATGCAGCAGGACTTCTACACCGTGGAGCACCTCGCTGCCCAGCTCCTCAGCTCGGCCTTCGTCAACCTGAACAATATTCCTGACTACCGGCTCCGCCCCATGCTTCATATCCTTTCCGGGCCCCTCCGTAGCCCCCAGAACCAGAAGAGGAAGCGCAGGGGCAGTAGACAAACAGGAGAGAAGGCAGGGGGACGGAATTATTTCTCCTAAGTGTTACGGTCATGTGAACAAAGACAGGACGCTGGGGCCGGAATGATAGTACAGTAGGTAAGGCATTAGCCTTGCATGCGGCCACCCCGCGTTCAATCCCCGGCACCCCATGTTGTCCCCAGAGCACCACCAGGAATAATTTCTGAGTACAGACCCAGGGGAAACCCCTGCTTATTGTCGGGTGTGGCCCCCCCAAGAAGGAAAAAAGAAAAGTGAAGGGGCTAGAGAGAGATAGTCCAATGGGCAACACGGCCAACCTGTGTCCAATCCCCCCGACCATAGAGCGTCCCCCAAAGTCCCACCAAGAGTGATCCCTGAGAGCAGAGTTACCTTTGAGTATTACCACGTGTTGCCCCGAAACAAAACCAAAAGGATGGCATGGGTAGCAGCTGGGGGCTCTTGGCAGAGCCGCTGCTGAGGACATCGTTCTGGGCTGGGATTTCTTAACGGCCGCGCATGGGTCTTCGTGAAGCCCCTGGTTCTCTTCTGTCCCCCGGAGCACTATGAAGCCCTGGTGTCCCCCATCGTGGGACCTCTTTTCACCTACCTGCACATGGTAAGGAACTGGTCGGGAAAGGGGAGCGAGGCAGCACGTGGGCGGGAGCTCCTGACAATAGAGTGGCTGCCACGGACACGGGCTCAGTCCCATGTGTGACACGTGACGTGGGAAGCGCTTCCCCTGGGTCTGTTTCCACCAGGGGTCCAGAGAGACCCAGAAAGACTGAAACATCGGCCCTTCACGAGTCAGGTCACTCTACCGCCCTGCGTCATGCTGCTGTGGGCTCACGTCTGGAGGGCCACTGGGATTCTTAACACCTGGGTGTCTGGGGTCTTACTCATCCTGGGACCCTTTGTCTGCCCCCACCTGCTCTGGGCCTCCCTGCCCCCCTTCCCCCCAACTCTCCCTTATTTCCCTTATTTTCTCTTTGTTTTCCCAGAGGCTGTCCCAGAAATGGCAGGTCATCAGCCAGCGGAGCCTGCTGTGGTAAGCCCGCGGGGCCTGGGCAGATTAGATGGGTGCGCAGGGGAGGCCCAGCTGCCGTCCTGATGCCATGTCACCCCGAGTATCCTCCGGGTGTGGCCCTGAAACCAATGAAAGGAAAGGGATATTCTCCACCTAGATGATCATTAGCAGACACCAAGAGGCAAGAGGGCACCGGGGACTGTTTGGGGTGTCTTCGAGTATCTGAGGACAGCCGGTGCTCTCTCCACCGATTGTCACGTGCCCCCACTGGCACTGTGAGCTCCGCCCCTTTCACGCACCGCTGCCGTCCCCCTGGCCCTCCACGCACGCAGAGCAGAGGGACAGGGCTCAGGCTCTGGTTAGGGACACTGCACCCTCACCCCCTCCCTTCCCTATCCTGTGCACTCCATGGCATGTGGCCCCTGGTTTCCTACAGTGAAGATGAGACTGCAGACGACAACCCAGAGTCCCAGGAGATGCTGGAGGAACAGCTGGTGAGGATGTTGACGCGAGAAGTCATGGACCTCATCAGTAAGTCCGTGCGGATGCCGGGGCTCAAGGAAGGGTCTCGCTCACCCAGCTCCTCTAAGGCTAGACTTGGGGGCGGGTGGAGGGGTGCCAGAGGAAGTGGGTAGCCCAGAAATCCACGAAGGTAATTCTTGGACACCAAATGACTTTTATGCAACAGAGGCCGGAGGAAGACGTGACCTAAAAGAGCAGGAACAGTTTTCAGACTGTTAGAAATAAACTTCCTGGCTCTGTCAAAATAAGGAAATGTTCTCCCTCTTGGCCATGAAGGTGAATGGGTGGTTTGTTTGTGTGGTCCCCACCCCCCCCCCCCCAGTTTTTGCCCATTTCATTACTCGAGACCCAAAGCTGACCAAGGCACCCATTTGGTTAACTCCCAGGGAAATTCTAGCATCCTTGCGGTGTGCAGATGCCTCTTGGAGCTAGTCTGTGCCTGTTTCTTCCCTTCTCCTTAGAGACACTGTGGGTGCCGGTGGCCCGAGGTGACTGTTCAGGCAGGTCACCCGAGAGAACAGGCGAGTAACCTTCTCTCTTGCTCTAGCGGTATGCTGTGTTTCAAAGAAAGGTGCGGACCACGCCGCCACGGCCGCCCCCGCTGCCGCCACCGCCACCGCCGCTGCCCCGGCCGCCCCTGCAGAAGGAGACGGTAGGAGCCACTGCAGGAGCTTCCACTGGGCTGCGGGGAGCAGGCCACAAAGGCCATCTCTTGACTGTCTTGGGGGGCAGTGCGGGATGGGTGGGACTTTCCGTATCCCCCATGCACACCCACCTCTGAGTGCTTGTCCATACTCTCTGGCCAGTGTGCCTGCCTTCCCACGGCATGACTGTCCCCTCCTTCATTCAAATTGCTGATCATAGTCACTTCCGAGAGGTCATCCATAAGCAAGCTTATCAAAAATAGCAACCATAGAGCCAGGGCAATAGTACAGCCTTGCACATGGCCGACCTGGGTTCGGCATCCCACACGGTCCCCTGAGCACCATGAACAGTGGCTCATGAGTGCAGATCCAGGAGTGAGCCCTGAGCACCATCGGATAAGGCCCAAAAACAAAAATGAGAAAAAGCCAAGCACAGGGCTGGAGAGATAGTACAGGGGTAAAGTCTTGATTGTGGCCAAGCCCAGTCGGATCCCCAGCACCAGTTGTGGTCCCCTGAGCACTGTCAGGAGCGATCCCTGGGCACCACCCCTACCAAAGCCAAAAAATTAGCAATTGCATTGGCCAGAAAGGCAGCTCATAGAAAGGGAGCACGTCTTGCAACCTGGAGTGCAGGTGTGATCCCAGGACCATGCAGTCCCCACGTCCTGCCGGCTGAGGTCCCAAACCGAACCTCGTCACCAGGCCACTTGATGCTCATCCCTGCTCTTTTCCTTGCTGGTCCCTGTCACTGTCTCACCATTTTACCTGTCCTTTCCATTATGACTGCTCTCCCTCACCAGAATGTCAGACCCCGTAGGGATGGGGTCTTTCTGCCCTGTTCCTGCCCTTTGTCTTGTAACTGAGCAGCGTCCAATAGTGGTTTTTGAGATGGGGCTGGAGAGAGCTCAGCCAGCTGAGTGCACACAAGAGGCCTGGGTGCGATCCCTGAGCCAGGAGTGACCCGAGTCCCACCAACCCCAAATCAAACTGTGTTGTGTGCGTGTTTGCGCACATGTGCTTTCGTTCAGCACAAAATTGCTGTTTTCTGCCATTTCCCCGTGTGCATCTTGATGTTTCTCTGGATGATCTGCCATAGGGCTGAGGGGCTGTCCAGGTACCGCTCGCCAGGCCACCCCCATGCTCTCCTGTGATGCTGGTGCCTATTCTGCAAGAATGGAAATGACCCTTTTCTCTTAACAGATGAGGAGATGATGGCCACAGAGGTGGCCCCAGCAGCCACAGCGGAGCTTACAGACCTGGGCAAATGTCTAATGAAGCACGAGGTGGGTGGAGGGACAGGAGCTGGTTGGATTTCTCCTTGACAATTGGAGAGGCAGTTGATACTTTTCTCACTGTGACACCATCTGAAAACTTTCCTGGGGGCTGGAGTGATAGCACAGCGGGGAGGGCATTTGCCTCGCACGCGGCCAACCCAGGCTCGATTCCCAGCATCCCATATGGTCCCCTGAGCACTGCCAGCAGTGTGATTCCTGCGTGCAGAGCCAGGAGTAACCCCTGAGCATCGCCACGTGTGATCCAAAAAACAGAAACAAGAAAAAAACTTTCCTGGGCATCAGAGAACTAGTTCCGTGGGTAGGGTGCTTGCCTTGTATATAGCAAACCCAGCTTTGCTCCCCAGTACCCCTTATGGTTCCCAGAGTCCCTCCAGGAGTGATCCCGGAGCAGAAAATCAGGAGTAAGCCTGGAACATTACCGGGTATGACTCCCAAACAGAAACATGCACTAAAGGTGATTTTGGGTAGTGCAAGTCAGGCTCCTTGTTTGATCCCCAGAACACCATGGGTAAAGGGCATGCATCTCCCTTGATGCCCCGGGCAGAAGGCCCATCCCCTATCCCCTCCTGCCAAGAGGTTTCTCCTCTGTGGCTGTTTTCTTCTTGCACTGCTTGGCTCCTGGCACCCTATCCCCAGCCCAGCTCCAGGTGTAAAGGGTACTCGGACCCTCGGGCCTCTCCCACCATTGGATTGCTTCCTCTCGTCCCGTAGGATGTCTGCACGGCGCTCCTGATCACAGCCTTCAACTCCCTGTCCTGGAAGGACACCTTGTCATGCCAGCGGACGAGCACTCAGCTCTGCTGGCCCCTTCTCAAGCAGGTAAGGGCAGATCTTCCCTTTGCTTGTGTCGCGAGGGCTGGCGGAGCGAGTTGGAGGAATTGGGGTTCTTGGGCCCTTACAGTCTCCTTAGGCCCTCTGCCTGGCTGTCTCCCAGGTGTTGTCAGGAACACTGCTTGCGGATGCAGTCACGTGGCTTTTCACCAGTGTGCTGAGGGGCCTGCAGACACACGGGCAGCATGACGGCTGCATGGCGTCCCTGGTGCACTTGGCCTTCCAGATCTACGAGGCCCTGGTGAGTGAGGGTGCGGGCGGCGGGCTGGCTGCAGCCATGTGAGTCCTGCGCTGCCGGGTGAGGGGCCCGGGAAACAGAAAAGTGGCGGTGACTCACGAAGTGGTTTCCTCCTCCCCTCTCAGCGACCCAGGTACCTGGAGATCAGGGCTGTGATGGAGCAGATCCCCGAGATTCAAAAGGATGCCCTTGACCAGTTTGACTGCAAGCTTTTGAATCCCTCCCTGCAGAAAGCCACTGACAAGCGCCGGAAGGACCAGTTCAAGCGCCTCATCGCTGGTTGCATCGGGGTAGGTGACGCTGCAGCCCAGTCTGCAGGCTTTTCGGGCCATGTGTGAGCACATGGAAGCTTCCGGTAGTGCCAGCAGTCTTGAAACCTGCCTGCAGCTCGGGGCCAAGCCTCAGTTTCCTCTCTCTCTCTCTGTCTCCAACAGAAACCCTTGGGAGAGCAGTTCCGGAAAGAAGTTCATATTAAGAATCTCCCCTCACTTTTCAAGAAGACGAAGCCAGTGCTGGAGACGGATGTTTTAGACAACGAGGAGGGTGGCCTGGCCACTATCTTTGAACCCTGAATCCAGCTTTGGGCAGCCTTCTTTGGCCTCTCTGGGTCATCTCTTCCTCCCCTTCATAGCTAATCTCTAGGCCCCTCTCCTCACACCTCACTTTCCACTGTTTTCCGCCTGGTCGAGATCCAGGCCGGGAACTGGAACGCGGGCCCCGTGCAGGGCCCTCAGGAACTAAAGGATCAAGAGAGGGAGTTAGGGCTCATACCTCTGGCTGCTTCTCCCGGGTAGCTCCCACCCTACCTGGAGTTTTGGCTTTTTCTAGAGAAACACTAGTGCAGAAAGCCCTTCTCCCCACGCACCTCTCCACCTCTCCGTACAGCCATAGACATGTCGATCGGTAACTAGGGGTGCTGGACCCAACCTGCCGCTAGCCAGGCGTAGTAAGGGATCAGCCCTGAACTGCTCGGACAGTTTGTCCTGGGCCCCCTTCGCAGATGGGCTGGCGGCACATTCACTACCCCCAGGGGCATGACTGGCTCGCTGAGTCAGCCAGGTCACGTTTTGAGCCAGAATCTGGTCACCCAGTGGGACTCATGGTACAAGCTGCTGTTTAGCTCTGGGCATGGTATCATGTAGAACCTTCAGAGGCCAGGGCTGGGCCAGGGGCTAGTGCCAATTCCACTGATCTCACCCTTCCATGACCTACCCCTCGGTGGTTCCCCCTGCCCCGCCCCCTCCTCCCTCTCCCCTCCCCCCCACCCACCCCCCACCCCCCGTCCACTCAGGCACAAGAGCCACAGAACCCTACCTGCCGTCACTCGATGCCCTTCGCGTCCAAAGACAGTCCAGACCCACCAGGCTACATCTGTGGCACACAGCTAGCCAAAGCCACTGGTGTTCTCTGCCGGACAGGCTGAGTCCCAGGTGCCTTCCCAAAGCTTTGCATGGTCTCTCGGGTCCCTGGTAACTCCGCTGGAGCCATTTCCAAAAGTAGGCCTGCCCACCGCGCTAGTTGGGGGTGTGGCGGTCACTGCTGGCCAGTGCCTGTGGTCATGTGTCTGCCGCAGACCCAGACCACTAGCAAGGTTGTCAGGACTGAGGGAGCAGCATGGCCTGGAGCGACAGACGCAGACTCCTGGACAGGGCAGGGTGGGGACAGGCACAGGCACAGGCACAGGGGAAGCAGGACCATCTGTGGCGCGCGTGCTGCGGCTCCCTTCCCGGGCAGCACTTGGGGCCTCCCAGCAAACCTCTCCGCACCTGATCACTGCCGCCGCCTCTCTGGCAGGGCTCTGGAGGCCAGAGGTGTATTTATTGTGTTGTAATCTTTAACATCTCCTGACTTCAAGCTAGAAGTTTTCTATTGTTTATAATCTTTTTGTAGAACATTTAACTCAAAAGCACATGTGCATGTCAGTAAAGAGGAAAAAAATCTTGATTTCATACAAAAAAGGCCCTATCTGCCTTTGTCAAACCCGTGACATACTCCAGGGTCACTGGCCCTCACGAGCATCCCTAGGGGACTGTGACCAGTGGGCCGCCCCGCCCTGCCCTGCCCAGCTCTCTGAGTGTGGAGGCATCTCTCACCAGACCCCTGCGGGGCTTTCCAAAGAGAACTGCTGTCTTCCTCCTCTGGTGCCCGCAAAGCACTGGGACTCACTACTGCAACTATCCTTTCTTTTCCTATCTGGAACTTCCTCTGGCAATCCAGGGGGCAGGTTAAGTGGCGAGTTTCTTCCAGGGTCCAGATGTGCCCCCAGGCATCAGATCAATCTTGGCATTTTTCATGAGGCTCCAGAAGGGCTATGGCCCCAACCTGCGGTAATGCCCATCTTGGTAACTGATAAATAAAGCCAAACCTAGTCCCAGGCGAGGCTTCGTGTTTTTAGGCCAAAATACAAATGGTCTATGACAAGAGAACGTGTTGAGTGAGTTTATTTACACTGGAGCCTTACAAAGGCGTGTCATGTACAGCACATTTAACAAAATGTATTGGCCAAAATGAGTAGGTGTTGTCCCAGAATACTCAGGACCCCTAGTCCCAACTGGGGGGACAGCAGAACCCTTTATCCAGGCTGGGCCCATGCATTGCATCCGGGACCCCCAGAAGCCTGCCCTGTACTCCAACATGCACCGCCTCAGTCCATCTGAACTGCATCGAGTTCATCCAGGAAGCGCCGGCACTTGCCCATCAGCACCTTGATGGCTTCACTCACCAGCACATGCGGCGGCAACACCCCTGTCGACTCGACAGAAACTGGGGGCCAAAGAAACCAAATGTCAGCTCCAACAGAACCTGCCTTAGAAGAGGGAGCTGCCAAGCCAGCCCTCCTCGCCCACGAGACACTCACAGATGTAGTGGTCCCGGACCCGAGCCAGCCGGACGACCTTCTTCAGCTTCTCGTTCCGGAAGACTTCCCTGCTGAAGGTGTCCAGCCGGGGATTGGCAACTACGGCCACCTTTTTACCTAACGACAACAGACCAATTTAGTGCAGTGCCCGAGGCCTCTTCTGGGGCCTTGAACACCCCCGCGGTCCTGCACCGAGCAGCACTCACCTTGGACTTCTCGCACCTCGATCACACCCGGTGAGAAGCACCGGCTCAGCTCCTCTGCCGCCTCCCCCTCCACGGGCTCCAGCAGGGTGATGTCCGGCAGAAGCCGGTAACTGGCCGTTGCTACTGGTGAAAACTTGGCATGGTCTTTGCCTGGAGGGAACAGGGAAGTCAGCCTGTGCTAAGCCACTGATGCCAAGGGACCACTGTCCCCAGGCAGGGAAGCCTCAGCTGAGCCCCACACATCCTGGCTTAGTCTCTGCAAACTACCCTCCCACAGGGCGCATGCAGGGGTTCTCACCAATGCCCTTGACACAGTGCATTAGCAGATCGATCTCCTGGCCAGGCCGCAGCTGCGCGATGAGGATGTCATCGTGTACAGGCCGGATGGTGCCCTCCGGGAAGAGGTCAGCCTGGTTTCCCAGGGGGACCCACGTCATGTGCCTGGTGTACACTGAAGCACATCAGAAGAGAGAGCACCATGAGGAGGGTGCTTGCCTTACACATGGCCAACCTGGGTTCCATGCCTGACACCCCATGCGGTCCCGAGACTGGAGAGCGAAAACCCTTGCACACTGCTGAGCTGAGAAATCCCCCTCCCCCAAAAAAGACCCTGTTCCCTAAAACCAGCCCCTGAAAGACACAGTCCTCTCCTAGCTGCCACTCACCTTTGTGGTTCACGTAGAGCTCGTTTGGATCCGAGGAGTCCTTAGCAGCTTGGGGATTCCGCGTACACCGGACCTGCAGCCGGAAGTGCAGAGTATCGATCTCAGTGCCTTCTTCGTCTCCTGGCAGAGGGAAGCAGCAGGGACTTTAAAGAACGTTTCGGCGGCTGAGGCCTGGCAGGCAGCCAGCCCTGGCTCCATCCCCAGTACCACACTGGGTTCCCCGGAGCATCTCCGTACCACCGAGTGTGGCCCCAAAACAAAATGATTTGAGCAGGCGCCACACTGAGTGGAAGATACTTCTTCCTCATTCCATCCTCTTAACCAGCCCTGCTCCCAAACACAGACAGGAACACAGACATGCCAAAACACACGCCCGAGGCCTCCCAGCCGCCAATCCAGCGTGTGAATACGGGGGAAGCGCTCCTCCCCCCCAATTTTCTCGGCACCTCACCTTGGTTCCGATACTCAAAGAGACGGGGGTCAGCACGAATGGGAATAAGGCCCAGGCGATGAGCAAGGATCTCATCCTGGACGATGGATGTGTTGTTGTACACCAGGACCTTCTCGACCGCCATGGTCGGGACCTGCCCGGAAACACAGTCATTCACCTACTGCGACCCCCGACTCCCTGCCTGCCTTAGGGAGAGAAAACGCCTGGTGACGAAGAGCACGCAGGGGGCCCACGGGAGCCGCCTGGTTTCCCATGCTGCTCCACCCCGGCCCTTGCACACACCCGTACCTCAGCTAATAGGATACGCCGAAAAGCATTGGCAATGGCTGCATCGATTCCCACCATGTCGAATTCCAAGGAGTCTTCATCCATGTGTACCACATCCACACGGAAATTCTGAAGGGACGGGAAAAACACTAAGCCTGCTCGACACGGTGGAGCTGCCCCAGAGCCTTCGGTCGTTAAGACCTCTCTTTGCCCAGTGCCCCTCATTGGATGTTCATTTCTCCCCCAGTCCTCCATTCATTTCTTATGTCTACCTTCTATCTTCCATTCATTAAAACCCTTTGCTGGGCCAGAGAAAGAACAGTGGGCAGAGCGCTTGCCTTTCTCGCAGCTGATCTGGGTTCAACACCGGAATTTTATATGGTCCCGCAAGCACAACTAAGAGTGTAGAGCCGGGACATCCTCGGCACTGCCAGGAGTGACCCCATAAAACAACCCTCTGCTATATGGCTTCAAGAGAGACCATTCACAGAAATTAATCTCCAAGCTTCCATACTATATGGTCTACCTGACACCACTCAGTTTACTTTTCGTTTCTAAGTCACAGCCCATAGTGCTCAAGGATTGCATCCTGGCTTGAAGCACTAGTGGGCATTCCCAGTGGTGCTCAGGGGATCATGCAGTACCAGGAATCAACCCCTGGGATCCTGCAGGCAAATACATTGCCCTTTGGGGTGGGGGAGCCTGGGGCCACTCCCAGTGACACTTGGCCTTGTGCTGCTTAAGCCCAGTGAGTGCTGGGGATTGCCAGAGGATAGCACCGTGGGTAGGGTTCTTGCCTTGCACACGGCAGTCATGGGTTCCATCACCGGCACCATATATGGTTCCTGCGTCCTGTCAGGAGTGATTTCCGAGCACAGAACCAGGAGTAAGCCCTGAGCTGCACTGGGTATGCAAAAAAAAAAAAGCTAGGGCTGGAATGCTAACAGGCTGACCCTAGGGATGCTCAGGGAACCATGCAAGTTCCAGGAATGAAATCCTAGGCCTCCACTCAAGCCCCTGGAGCTGTCTTCCTCCCTCTGTTTAGTCTCAGTACTCTCCAGGCACTATCTTCCCTGGTCTTTGTCTCTCTGTGGGGTAACCTCTCAATCCCACTAGGTTTTCACAACTATCTGGAATGCCAACTTCCAAGATGATCTCACTTGGGGCTGGAGAGATAGCACAGCGGGTAGGGCATTTGCCTTGCACGTGGGCGACCCGGGTTCAATTCCCAGCATCCCATATGGTCCCCTGAGCACCGCCAGGGGTAATTCCTGAGCACAGAGCCAGGAGTAACACCTATGCATCACCGGGTGTGACCCAAAAAAGCAAAAAAAAAAAAAAAACCATGATGATCTCACTTTAGGTGTTTTTGCCACACCTGGTGCTGCTAAGATTTACTCCTGATCTCATCTCAAACATGCATTCTATTAGCCTGGCTGCATTCTATTAGCCTGGCCACATTCTGTTAGCCTGGCTGACTTCACCACATGCCAGAAACAATTCATTTCCCTTCCCCAGAACCATTTCACATCATTAACCTTACTAGTACCTCCTATCTAGTGATTTCATCATAAGTTTTCTCCCTTAGTTGACCTATGCAATTCTGTCATATACATCCATGCCCCAGCCTCCCATATTCTGCTCCTCATTCATTCTCTCCCAGTCATTCAAGTCGGAAACGTGATCCCATCTGTTGAACTGTCTTCCAAAAACTCCCTCTCGGGTCGGAGACATACTACACTTGCCTTGCACACAAGTGACCCAGATTCTTATTCCTGGCACCACATAAGGTCCCCTGAGCACCCCCAGGAGTGGCCCTTAAGTCAGCCAGGGTGTGTCCGTAAAACAAAGAAATGGGGAAAACCAGCAACGACCACAAAAGCTGCTTATCACATCCAGCGCCTAAAACGCACTAAAACGCACTCCCGTCTTGCTTCCTGACCCCTCCCGCGGCCTCCTCGCCTTCTAGATGAATGAACTGCTTGGGCCATTCAGGGAGCTGCAGCTCCCGCCTGCCTCTCGATTAAGGTTCTGCTCTCAGTCGCTTCCCACCACCCGCAGGCTTCGGCTTTTGAAGGCTCAGCACGAAGCCTCAGTAAACCCTGAACCCGGTACCCACCCTCCTTCCTTTGCGGGCCACCTCTCTCCTCCCACTGTCCTGACAGCCAGCCAACGCCGGGCGACCCCCGGTAGCACACTGCGGATTCTTTTTTTTTGGGGGGGGGTCACATCCGGCGATGCTCAGGGGTTACTCCTGGCTCTGCACTCAGGAATCACTCCTGTTACTAGTGCAGGGCCAGGCGCTGAGCGCAGAGGGCGGCATCGACAGGGGGCCCCGCTGATCTGCCTGCACCCTCTCTTCCTCTCCAGGTGCTGGAGGCCTGGCAGAAAGGCCCAAACCCACCAGGCAGCCTGGGGCGCTCGGTGGCTGGGGGTGTGGCGTGCAGCAGCGCCGATGTCCTGTCCTGCATCCTGCAGCTGCTGGGCCAGGGCTATGTGAAGCGGCGAGATGACCGGCCCCAGATCCTCCTACTTGCCTCCCCAGAGCCCACGGGACCCTGCCAGGGCCAAGCAGACATCCCCTTCGGTAGCGACCAGAACCCCAAGACCTCCAAGCCAAGGTGACCGTCCCCACTACCTCCTTTGTTTTTTGTTTTTTGTTTTTTTTTTGCTTTTTGGGTCACACCTGGCGATGCACTCAGGAGTTACTCCTGGCGGTGCTCAGGGGACCACATGGGATGCTGGGAATCGAACCCGCGTCGCCCGCGTGCTAGGCAAACGCCCTCCCCGCGGTGCTCCAGCTCCAGCCCCCACACACTGCGGATCCTAAGGAAGGAAAAACACGCCGGGGCACAGGCTCCTCGGCGCCCTCGTCCCCTCCGTTCGCCTCCAGCTCCACTCACCTTCTCGAAGCGCTCCTGGTCCCAGGCATCGTCGTAGCCCGAATAGTTCCCGGGGAAGTCGGTGGTATGAACCTGCGGCAGAGGGTCCAGCGAGAGGAAACCCGCGTCCACCCGACCCTTCCCCGCTCCGCTCCCGCGTCTCCCTCCCGCAGGGCCACGAGCCTTACGTTGCGAACTCCAAACTCGCCCAGGACCACGCGGCTCCGCATCTCCTCCACCGCCTGGGCCGCCGCCATCTTCCCCCGCCCACGTGACCACGGCAGCGCCCGGCGTCCGTGGCGGCGGCCCGCCTCCGTCTCCGTGGCAACGCGCCGCAAGCCGGGGGCGCTGAAGTATCGCGAGACCTGGCTCCGCCCCGCCCCCCGCCCGCGTGCCGCCCGCCTCCGTCTCCGTGGCAACGCGCCGCCGCCAGCGGGGCTAAACTATCGCGAGATCTGGCCCCGCCCCCTGCCCACGTCCCCAGCTTCCGGGAGCCCGTGCGGCCCAAACATCCGGGTCTTGGGTTCTCGCGTTCCGACTGGTCCCACCCGTGTCCGCCGCCGGGCGCCTTCCTCCCGCGCGCGGAACCTGCGCGGGCCCCGCGACGGGAGCCCACGCGGGACATGGCGACACCGGTGGCGCCGACGGGCGGCTCCCGAAACGGAGCCGGCCCGGAATGGGGAGGGTTCGAGGAAAACATCCAGGTAGGGGCCCTGCCCCGCCGAGCCGGGGCAGCGCGGGGCCGCTCCTGGGGGGGAGTGGGAGGGGGGCTCCGTGCACACAGAAGACTCCAGGTCTGGTGCTCGGCTGGGCGGTCCAGCTTGCTGCGGGCCCCGGGCCCGGCCCCCTCCCGCGTTCGGCGCGGGTTGTAGGGCTTGTCGGGCCCCGCGAGGGTGGGATCCGCCCGCCTTGCTGGACCACTGCGGAGCTCGGCGGAGGGGGGGTCTCGGGGCAGGACGGCAGGACAGAGACGTCCGCGGCCCGGAGCAGCCTTGCGAAGCGCAGAGTAGCCAGAAGCCCCGTGCGTGGCTTCCTGAGAGCAGGCGGGGCCTCGCCGTGCGGGGCTGCTGGGTCGTGACCCCGGCGGTGGGCTGGCGGGCGGGCGAGGACTCCCGCCGGCCGGTGCCCAGAGGGTCCTGTCCGCACAGGGCGGGGGCTCCGCCGTGATCGACATGGAGAACATGGACGACACCTCCGGCTCCAGCTTCGAAGACATGGGGGAGCTCCACCAGCGCCTGCGGGAGGAAGAAGTGGACGCCGACGCGGCCGCGGCCGAAGAGGAGGACGGAGAGTTCCTGGGCATGAAGGGCTTCAAGGGGCAGCTGAGCCGGCAGGTGGCCGACCAGGTCAGCACGCGGTGTAGACCCACCTCCGGGCGGGCCTCGGGGCTCCTCTGGAGGGCAGAGTTCTCAAGGTTCGCCCGCAGTGATCCCCTTTGGAACCGGGTGACAGCCCCGCAGAAAAGCGGCCGCGCGGGGCGTCCAGCGGTCGCCCGGACCCTGGCCACCCCGCTGTCTTCCTTCTGCAGATGTGGCAGGCGGGAAAGAGACAAGCGTCGCGGGCTTTCAGCCTCTACGCCAACATCGACATCCTGCGGCCCTACTTTGACGTGGAGCCAGCCCAGGTGCGAAGCAGGTGAGCTTGCGTGCCCAGACCAAGGCTGCCCTATAGCAGCTTCATGCCGAGGAACAGCAGCTACCAGGCCCTCACCCCACCCACCCTCCTTGCTGCTCCCCTGTCTGAGCCACACAAACCCCTCAGCACCGCCAGGCTCCTTAGTGCCTGACACTCTGCTCCCCCCACCAGCCCAACACCTCCCCTTCCACCAGCTCTCAGGCCACTTCCTTTGTTCCCCTTCCCCACCCCCAGGGGTAGGGGGAAGCAGAAGGGGTGCCAGTAGTGGTTTTGGGGAGAGGAAGATGCTTCCTGTCTATTTACCTTTCATTTTTCATCATCCTGTTATTCGTCAATTGCCTCGAGCAGGCCCCAGTAACGTCTCTTTCATCCTAGCCCTGAGATTATATTCAAGGCTCTTTAGGAGAATGAGACCCATCATTGTTACTGGTATTTGGCATATTTGGTACGCCACGGGGAGTTTGCCAGACTCTGCCCTGTGGGCAGGCTACATTCAATAGCCTGCAAGTTTGTCCAAAGTAGGAATGAGACAATAAGATGTCATAAAAAAAAGTTCTGATAAGATGTCGCGGGATCCGGGATCCCGGGTTCCAGGATCTGGATTTTATAGTCTCTGAGTCTTGGCCGCCGATGGGATTACACGGCGCCAGGGGGCCAGGTGGTGGGTGTGACCCCCGCCTACTGGAATTTGGAGGATCTGGGTGGAAGATGCTCGACTCCAATTCGAGTAGGCTTGGAGGTCTCGGCCCCGGAACCCGCGTGGCTTTGTCCCTCTGCCAGTACCTTCATGTGTGCGGAGAGTGGTCTCAGCATGGTGGTGGCTGGTCCTGGAGGTCTTCGGCTGCCGGAGCCCTGGTCGGGGCGGGGAGGAAAGCTCAACCCGCTCCCCTCCAAGGGGCTCCGGGAAGGAACACCCAGGCGCGGGGGCAGAAGACTGCACTGTTCTCGTCCGGGATCTGGATTCTATTTACCTAAGGAAGATAAATTTCCAGGGGGGCACTGAGCAACTTTTGGTTTTGTTTCGTTTTTCTGACAAAGGGGTCTTGGCCCCAGATCATTTAGAGAGCTTCTGCCCTGAGTCCAGCATTTGGGGGGTCCGGGGAAGGGCTCTGGGGTTGGGCCCTTGTTTTGTCTTTTTCTAATTCATTGATTGGGGGGTGGTGCTTAGGGAAGGTACGCCTAGTGTCGCTCAGGATGCCCTGAGCTGCTCCCAGCACAGCGCTGGGGGGTGGGGAGGGGATTCACTGCTGACAGTGACAGGACTGACTTCTTGACCTCAGCATGAGCACTGTCTGGTATGGCCCAAACTGCCACCACCCCCGGGGGGGGGGGGGGGGAGGGGGGGAGGGGAGGAGGAAAGGCTGAGGTAGTGCCTGGTAATTTTATTCCTTTTGTGTTTCTGTCTGGAATTGTCATGCCACCTCGCCACCTCAAACATTGTTTTCTTTTTTTGTTTCGGGGCCACACCCGGCAGTGCTTAGGGGTTGCTCCTGGTGCTGCACAGGGGACCACCTGGGATGCCCGAGATCACATCTGGGCAGACTGCGTGCAGGCAAGCCCCCTCCCCACTGTACTCTCAAGCCCCACAAGCGTATTTTCCAAGCATACATTTAGCGGTGCTTGAGACTAGAAGAGGCAAGAGGCACAGCGGTTCCCTTAAGTATGAGTTTTCCCTGAACCATGCCAGCCTTCACCGGCCAGCTCAGAGCGCCAGGCACTCCCTGCTGAGGTGCACGTGTGGCTGCAAGGTCCCAGGTGCATGTGTGCTGCAGAGTTCTCAGCCTGTCCCCAAGGCCCAGCAGGGTCTGTGAGCTGCCTGAGAGCTGGCCTTGGCAGGGCATTGCATTTCCTGTCTCAGCCTCCCTGTTCTCTCTGCCAGCATGGCTTCTGGAAGTAGAGAGAAATCAGCATGGGCCCTTCCGGACCTCCTAACCTAGCGCTCTCTCCTCCCACAGACTTCTGGAGTCCATGATCCCGGTCAAGATGGTCAACTTCCCCCAGGTGAGCAGGAGCGGCAGGTCCAGAAGGGCCCGGGACGCTCTTGGGCAGAGGGTATCCTGCACCCCCCACCCCAGAGCCCAGGAAGGCATTAGCATGCTCCAGCCTGAGGGAGTTGGTCTGTTGACAGAAAATCGCAGGTGAGCTCTACGGCCCTCTCATGCTGGTCTTCACGCTGGTCGCCATCCTCCTCCACGGAATGAAGACGTCTGACACGATTATCGTAAGCAGGACAAGACTGGGGAGGGAGTCGGGGGGGCGGGGGGCGCCAAGTGGAAAGTTGCCCACAGAGACCTTGGCAGAGCGAGGTGGGCCCTGGGGCTGGGACTGAGCCGAGCCTTCCCCTGCAGCGGGAAGGGACCCTGATGGGCACAGCCATTGGCACCTGCTTCGGCTACTGGCTGGGTGTGTCATCCTTCATTTACTTCCTCGCCTACCTGTGCAATGCCCAGATCACCATGCTCCAGATGCTGGCCCTGCTGGTAAGGAGTCAGCTGTGGTGGTGGGCAAGAGGGGGGTCTTACGAGAGGAGCTAGCCCTGGTTCTGCATCTGTGACCTGGAAGTGGGGGGTCTGCTGGCCAGGGTCCCCATTGCGACCCAGAAACCAGCCCCATCGAGTGACCTGCCCCCCTCCGCCCTTCTCCTGCCAGGGCTATGGCCTCTTCGGACACTGCATCGTCCTGTTCATCACCTACAATATCCACCTCCACGCCCTCTTCTACCTCTTCTGGCTGTTGGTGGGCGGACTGTCCACCCTGCGCATGGTAAGCAGGGCAGGAGGATGCCAGGGCTGGGTGCACCCCCCCCCCGAGAGCTCTGAAGGGGGTGGGTATCCCCCACTAGCTGGACGTGGTCCCTCAAAGCTGTGACCCTGTGGCCCTGGGGCCAGGTGTCCCCTCTCCGAGCTGTGTCCCCACACCCCTAGGTGGCCGTGCTGGTGTCCCGGACCGTGGGCCCCACACAGCGGCTGCTGCTCTGTGGCACCTTGGCCGCCCTGCACATGCTCTTCCTGCTCTACCTGCATTTCGCCTACCACAAGGTGGTGGAGGGTGAGTGTGGGGCAGGCGGGATGGTGGGCGTGAGGGCGGGGCATCCTGGGGAGATCGTTGCCGAGGGCTGAGCCCAGCCAGCTCCCACCCGCGTTCCTCCTTTCAGGGATCCTGGACACGCTGGAGGGCCCCAACATCCAGCCCATGCAGAGGATCCCCAGAGACATCCCTGCAGCACCCCCTGCCGCCAGGCTCCCCGCAGTTGTGCTCAACGCCACAGCCAGGGCGGTCGCCGCGACCCTCCTGGCACACTGACCCCCTCCCGCCACCTTCGAGCACATTAAAGGGCCATCCCGATGCCATGCATCTCGGTGGTGGGGTCTGTGGCCGCCACTCTGGCACACGCTTCAGCCTCTGCGATACCGGTGCCAATGCCGAAGGCCGGGCCCAGGAGCGCCTGGGCTGGGCAGGACTGCGGGGCTCTGCAGCCGATGCCCAAAGTGGGTCGGCTCCTCGGGGGCGCCCGACCCCACCCCCTCCTCTCTAGCTCACCACTCCTGTCTGTCTAAATATAGACTTGGTAATTAAAATACTGATTGCAGCCTGGACCCGGAACCACTCTTTCCCTGCTCCGGTCTGCACCTCCCGCAGGGGTGCTAATGCCACCCATCCCCCCGTACCCTCTGCATCACGGCAGCGACAGCCTATAGAGCCTGCCCAGGGGCAGGGAGGCCGGGACCCAGGCCCAACTGCACAATCGCCTTATGCAGCTCAGACTCCCTCTTGCATCACTGATGGAACAGGCACAGTTGAATGACCGTCCATGCTTTACAAGGCTCTGCAACACACCGGGACATCCGTGCAGGGACGATCTGTGGGAAGGCACATTTGTAGCCAGCCTTGCCTTTGCTCGGGGGATGCTGAGGCCAGAGGAGCAAAGTGCCCCTTGGGAGCTTTCCCTGCCTTCTTATGCCCTGTTGGGGCCAGAGCCGTAGCACAGTGGGGAGGGTGCTTCCCTTGCCTCTGGCTGGCCCAGGTCTGATGCCCTGATACCCACCCCATGTGGTCCCGAAAGCACCATCAGGAGTAGTCCTTGCATCGCTGGGCATGACCGAAAAACCAAAGAAAAACGAGGGGAAAAAAAAAAAAAGTCTACCAAACAGAAGAGATAGCCAAAGCGCCGAGGCACACGCTTTGCCTGTGCGAAATGCAGTTCTACCCCCGCACCGTGTAGGAGCACCCTCAGGTGCAGCCCCCAAACGGAGAAGGGCCGAGAAGCCCGCGGAGCAGCTGCGCCTCCACCCGTAAAAGCTGCGCCACTTCAGTTCAGACCATGAGCAGAGAGCAGAGGCCCAAAGAGCGGCGCGGCGCTGCGCTCAACTGGCTCTTTGTTGAAATCCTTAACCCCAGTGCACCGAGGTCAGCATTTTCCCTCCTGAAGGAAGACTAGACTTGTCCTTGACCTGAGCGAGTCCCCGTTCCCAGGGCAGGGAGCCCCATCGGCGCGGTCCACACCTGGGTGGTCCACACCGGCCAGCGCGCCCTTCCCCAAGGCGCCGCGCCCACCACCAGCGCCCCAGGTTCCAGAGGCTGGATCGCGCCGTGCACCTGGCCAGGGAATCTTGGGGTCCCCCGATGCCAGGCAGCGTCTAGGCCAGGGGCGCGCGGGGCCGGGGACCCCGCGCGAGCGGCACCCCGGGGTGGGGGCGCGTCCGGGCCGCTCCGCCGCGACGGGTCCCGGCGCCGCCCGCCCCTTCCCGCAGCCCGTCTCGTGGGCCCGCGTGGCCGCGCGCGGGGGCGGGCCCGGGGCGGGGCCGGCGGGTGACGCGCTCGTTGCCATGGGAACCCGCCGCCCGCTCCAGCGCCGTGGCCCGAGCCCGAGCTGCGGCTCGCCTGCCCCGCCGGCCGCCTGCCCGCTTCGGGCTGTCCCCGCGGGGCGGTCGCGGGAGCCGGGCCGGAGCCGGGGAGGACGCGGCCTCGCAGCGAAGCCCCTCGCGCCGCGGCCGGCGCCCCGACACGGACGGCACGGTCCGCCCCGGCCGCGGCCCCGCGCGCTCGCCGCCCCGCCGGCCACCCCGGCCGCCGCCCGGCCCGCTCCGCCCGCGCCCCCCGCCGCGGCCCGGACCCCAGCCCGGGCCCCGCGCGCGGCCCCTGCGCCCGCGCCCCCCGCGCCCCCCGCGCCCCCCGCGCCCGCGGCCCGCGCCCCGCGCCCTGCGGCCCAGCCGCGGGGACCATGCTGCCCAGCTCCATCCAGATCTCCGGGGAGCCGCTGTCAGGCGCCGAGGTGCGGGACATCTGCCGCGGCCTGCGCGACAACGCCGTGCGCCTGCTCTCCCTGCGCGGCTGTCGGCTCTGCGACCGCGACTTCGGCCGCATCTGCCGGGCCCTGGCCGGGGCCACGTCCCTGGCGCAGCTCAACCTGAACCTGGGCGTCGTGTCCAGCCCCAACCGCATCAAGCTGCTGGCCGAGGCGCTGCGGACCAACCGCTCCATCCAGTCCCTCTTGTGAGTGCGCTCGCGCGCAGGGGGGGCCCGGGTCACTGCTCCCCTCCAGCTCCCCTCGGCCACTCCCGGCCCTCCCCTGCACCTGCCTTTACCTGTCTGCCTCCGGGGGAGAGGGGGGAGAGGGGGGGTGGGCCCATCCCCGGGCCGAGGCGCGCCCCCTCCCCGGCTGGGACGCGAGAGACCCACCCCTTTCCCGGAGACTCCTGCTGGGGCCAGACCCCCAGTCCTGCCCACATGAGGATCCTTATCCAGCCACACCCCTTCTGGGCTCCCCCTCGGTCCTAGCCCCTGGCCCAGAGAAGCAGCAGAATTCTTTTCTTGTTTGTTGGGTTTTGCTTTGGGGGTCACACCTGGCAGTGCGTAGGGCTTAGTCCTGAGGCAGTGCAGGGGACAGGGCGGGGGGGGCACATATGGTTGCCCCTCTGTTCTTTTGAAATCTAGAATTTTCCCATGTAGCAGCAGGCCTCTCAGGCAGAGCTGTCTGGGTGCCCTTCTCCCCACCCCGGGCCCCTACCCCAGGAAGGCAGCAGTGACCTCTGTCCTCTGCGTCCCCCTGACCCCCCTCCAGCCTACATGGGAGCCCCCTGACCGACGCGGGACTGGCCTTGCTGAACCCGGCGCTCGCCCTTCACCCTGCCCTGGTGGCCCTGGACCTGGGGGACTGCATGCTGGGTGATGAAGCCATCAACCTCATCTGTGGCCTCCTCCCCCCCGACGGGGCCAAGTCTGGTGAGCGGGGCCCAGCCTGCAGAGGCCAGGGCCTGGGTGGGCCTTGAAGAGAAGCCCTGCCCGCCCGGCCCAGCCAGTGTGAGGGAGAAAGACCTGGACAGTCCCTCGGCCAGGAGGAGGAGGGGCGGAGGGGACAGAGAGGGGCCAGTGGAGAGAGGAGACAGAGCAGCGGGGGGAAGCGGTGACAGCCGTGGGGAGGCACCGGGCCCAGAGGGCAGGAGAGGGGACTGCGGGGGGCGGGCACCATCTTCCCGTGCTCACTGCCCTGCGGACGCTGCCCAGGCCTGAAGGAGCTCACGCTGAGTGCCAACCCTGGCATCACCCCCAAGGGCTGGAGCCGCCTGGCCATCGCCGTGGCCCACAGCTCCCAGGTCCGCGTCCTCAATCTGGATTACAACCCCCTGGGTGAGCCTCAATACCCCTCCCCCCCCCCCGCTTCTGTTACCATGGGAACACTGAGCTGGGAGAGGGGAGTGGACAGAGGGGTCCCGGGGGCTCTGGGTGGTGGACCCCGAGCCTGGGCATCATCCAGCCTCACACTGCACCCCCTTCCCCATCTGCCACCGCCTCTTGTTAATCAGCGACTCCTGTCCTTGGAGGGGGTGTCGAGTGCTGGTATGTTCCCTCCCCAGGTGACCACGTGGCAGGGATGCTGGCCGTCGCGGTGGCCTCCAGCCGCACGTTAGAAGTCCTTGACTTGGAGGGCACAGGGCTCACCAACCAGTCCGCTCAGGTGAGAAGTGAGAAGCTGGTGCCCGTGGGTGTGGGCGCCCGCCTGGGGTGGGGCTGCGTCTGGAGCCGCCCGCCAGTGTCCACGCCGTCGCTTGCTCTCCTGGCCTCAGACCCTGCTGGACATGGTGGAGAACTACCCCACGGCGCTTCGGAGCCTGGTGTTGGCCGAGAACAGCATCAGCCCCGAGCTGCAGCAGCAGATCTGTGACCTCCTCTCGGAGGGGGAGGAGGATGAGGAGGCGGCGGGGGGCGCGACTGAGCCCCAGGAGCGTGAGAGAGGGCAGGAGCCGGCCGCCCACCAGAGGGGCAACAGCTCCTGGATGTGCCCCAATGGTGAGAGCCCGAGGGCGGCCCAGGGCCGGGTCTGGAAGAGCCTCGGGACCCGGGAGGGGGCGTGGAAGGCGGGGGCCACCTGTTTGGAGGGCTGCATGCGCAATCACCCCCCACCCCTCCACAGATACCAGCTCTCAGATGGTGCTAATGACATCAGGACTTGGGGACAGTCTGCTGGCGGAGACTGAAATGTGACTCTCCACTCCTGGGCGTCACTACAATTGTCCATCCGTGTCCCCAGGACTTTGCCTCAAATATCAGGGTTGGGCCCTGGGGATTTGAGGGTGGGGGTGGGGGCTTGGGGCTCTGGCAGCTCCTTGCACGGGACTAAGGAACAGATACGGGAGGGGGGACCTGAACCCCAGGCAATGCCTCTGGACTTGTTGGCAGCTCTAGTTGTGACCCGCTGGCTCGGAAGAGACTTTATGAACTCTGCAACCTTGGCGTGTGGTGTGGTGGTCACTGGGGCCTCGCTGGAGGGAAAGAGTGGAACTTCCACCAGAGACCACTAGGGGGCAGTGCCCCATCACGGCCCAAGCGCTAGGCCACTTCCTCTGGCTTCCCGTCCCCAAAGACCTGACTTGGGTCTCAGGCTCCCGGGTGGGCCCTGGGTTTCTGGGGTGCCACAGCTAAGGTAAGAGGCCCACCTGCAGGCAGGCGTGGACTGGACTCTGCCTCAAGGGGAGAGCGGGGAAGCCGGCAGCACGGCGAGTCACCAGCAGACAAGGCACAGAAAGACCAGCTAGGCCAGAAAGGCAGCACAATGGTCAGGGCACTGGGTTTGCAGGCCCGCAGCCGAGCCAGGTTCGATGCCCAGCACCGCAGGGTTCCCCCACCCTGCCCAGTCACCAGGGGCGACTCCGAATCAATTTTGACATGGCCCCAAACCCAAACCAAACCCACAGATTGAGTCGTACAGGTAAAATAGTTTTATTTCATTTTAAAATAGTCATTGATGTGAAAATTTCCCCAAATCTGGGAGTAACAGTCTAGAGCCGAGCAGGAGAGGAGGCCGGGCCTTCTGGGGGACTGCGTGAGGCCCGCGAGGTGCCCCCTCCACTCCCTTCCAGCGGGAGGAAGGAAGCGCCAAGGAGAGCCCTGAGTCGACGCCTCCCACTCCCCCAGGGCCACCCCAGGCCCCCGAAGGCCACAGCACGGGCACAGGTGTCAGGGAGGGGGAACACGTGGGAAATACAAACTGGAGGTCAATGACCCCCCCAAAAGAAACAAACAGGAGACCCCCACAGAAACGCGTGGCTGAGAGGGGAGGTGAACACTGATGCTGCCGTGGGCCGGCGTGGAGCGGGAGGGGCAGGCCAAGGGGTCAGCGAGCGCGCGCACGCGGCCGCGAGCACTAGTTGAGCAGGTTGCCCTGCTCCTGGGCCTGGGTCAGGCTGTCCTTGCGGTGCAGGTGGTGCACGCCCATCCTTTTGGGGCTGCGCGGGCGGCGGCTGGAGCCGGGGCGCAGCCAGGCCGGGGTGTCAGCAGGGGCGGCACCCGGGCCCTGGTCAGCGTCCCCGCGCCCGTCACTGGCCAGCAGGCTCTGGCGCTCCTCCTCGGGGCTCACGGGCAGGTTCAGCTCCTCCGCGTCGTCCTCCCCGGGGAGGCCGGGGGCCGGGGTCTGTGTCCGCGGCGAAAGCCCCGTCCCGGGGGGCGGGGGAGCCGCGTCCACCCCCGCGTCCACCCCCTCGTCCCCGGCGGCAGGGCCGAGGGCGAAGTGGCGCTGCAGCTCGGGAAGCGCGTCCCGGCCGAAGGCGGTGCGCTGGGCCAGGGCGGCCGGCGGCGGGGCGCGGTCCACAAAGGCGCGCTGCCAGCTGGCCAGCAGGTCCTCCTCGGAGCTGGCCGAGCTGGCCGGCGCGCTGAGCGCGGCAGGGCCGGGGCTGGGCTGGTGGTGGGGCGAGGACTGGGCCGAGGCGGGGCCGCTGCTGGGCCCCGGGCCGGGCCGGGCCTGCTCCGCGCCGTCGCCCACCAGGCTCAGGGAGATGGCCTGGCGCGTGGCGTAAGTGCAGTTGGGCAGCGGGCTGTTGCGGGGGACGCGCACCTTCTCCTCGGAGAACTCGATCACCTTGCGGCCGGGGTACAGCGGGTGCGGCGGGGTCGGGGTCGGGTAGGGGCTCAGCTTCTCACAGGCGGGCACGGGCAGCTCCTCCTCCGAGGACCCCGCGGCGGGGCCCAGGGACCGGCACTCCCCATTGGGCTGGGGGGCGGGGCTGCCGGGGGCGGGGGGCGAGGCTGGGTCCCCCGGGGCGCCCCCGCTCATGTCCACGTGCACAAAGACGTCCTCGGCCAAGGGCTGCCCCGCGCTGCCCGACTGGGCCGAGTTGAGCAGCAGCGACTCGGGCTTCTCCAGCACCCGGGCAATGACCGACGTGGGCACCACGGCCCCCGGGGCCGGGCTGCTGGCGGGGCCCGGGCTGGCCGCCTCCTGGCCCGTGTGCAGATGCTTCCGGACCATGTCCTGCAGCTCGCAGGGCAGCTGCGGGGAAGGAGCAGGGGAGAGACGGGAAGGCGCCCGCCTGAGCGAGCCTGGCTCGGCCCCCCACAGTCCCGCACCCCCCTCTCCTGCCTGGCACCACGCGAGTGGCAGAGTGGCAGGGTGCAGCCACCTCCGCTCCCGGCAGCCCGCACTCAGAACGTGAAGCTTTCGAGGAACACAACCAGGGTCTGAATTCAGACGCAAGTCCAGGGGCGTGTGTGAGCACATGTGGACCCCCCTTCCCCCACCCACAGGGGCTCCTGCTAGGACCAGGCAGTGCCCAGTGCCAGGGCACACCCCAAGCCCCAGGGATCTAGAGCTCAGTCCGGTGGCAAGGGGCTCGGATGGGTCTAGTGCGCCCCTCACTGTGGCTGCCCCTTCATCCTGAAGCCTCTCCCTGTCCCTGACCAGCAGGACCCACGTCCCTGAGATGAACCCCAGCCTCCAGTGTGGCATCTGAGGGGCCCCGGGGAGGGGGAGGGGGGACAGCAGCGCAGAAAGAGGAGCTGCGGGCAGCAGGGTGGAGACATGCAAAGGGCTAGGCGGAGCCCCGGGGGCTGGCGGGGGCCACTCACATCGGCGAACTTGTGGTTCCGGAAGTGGGACTTGTTGCACTTGAGCAGCTGCACGGCCAGGTTGCAGTCCAGCCGGTACCGCTCCTGCGGACACAGACCTGGTCAGAGGCGGGCCCCGCCCCGGGGAGCAGGGCTGGGCCAGGAGGGTCCCCCCGGGGACACACATTGAGCTCCTCCAGTTTGTTGATGGTGTTCCTGGCGTCCAGCAGCTTGTTCGTCAGCTCCACAATCTCCCAGTCCAGTGTCTTCCGGTCCATCTCCGCCTTCTTGATCTGGGGCAGGAGACCCGTGGTGAGCGGTCACCGCCCTGGCTGGCCTGCCCACCCCCTCTGCCGCCGCCCCAGCCCCCAAGACACAGGAAGCTACAGGTGCTCGGGCAGCCAAGGCGGATGGAGCAGAGACAGACGGACAGACAGAAGGAGACCAGACACCTCCCCTGCTCTCCTGGATGGCTCGGGGGTGGTCTGCGCAGGCCCTGTGGCCACTGGGCGCAGCCAGGGCGGGGCCCCACCTCAGGAACACGAGGGCTCCAGGTCCCAAGTCCCTGAGGGCTGTCACCGCATCCCCAGGCCCTGAGATCAAACAGGGCAGATGGGCAGGGGAGGGGGCAACTGGGACGGGCTCCGGCTGGGCAGGGAGGGGCTGCAGGCCACAGCCCTCTCGCCCGGCGGGGAGGGGAGGGGACACCCATCTGCCCAAGGCCAGGGCGGGCTCGCTCCCCTGCTGCCGTCCCCCAGGAGGGGGGCACTGACCACAGGAGGGAGAGGACAGGAGTGGGCAAGAGCCAGGGCCCCGGCGGCCGGGGCAAGGGAGAGAACACACACACTCGGACGCAACTGCAAAGATCCAGCTGTGGCTAAGAGAGGCCTGAGGGGCACAGCAGCGACGCGGCAGCGGGGGGACGAGGAGAGAAGAGAAACAGTGTGAGCGTTAGGACGGCTCCCGGCACAGACACGGCGTCCCGCCCGCGGCCGCCCGGCCCGCCCCCGCCCGCGCCCCCGCCTGCCCTGCCAGCCGAGCCGGCGGGCCCAGCTCGGCGCCAGCCGCGCCGCCTCCCCGTTACCAGCGTGTGCAGCTTGTCCTCGAGCTCCTGGTTGGTGCGCTGCGAAGCCGTGTAGCTGTTCTGCAGCCTGCAGGGGGGGAGGGGAAAGGCGGGCCTGGGTCCACAGACTGCTCCCCCTGTTCCCGCGGGGAACCGGACGCGTGACCTGCCACCCGAGTCTCACCCCCACCCCACAACCCGCCGTTCCCGCTCTATTTGCAGCCCATACCACATGCGCTCAGGAGCCACCAAGCTCCGTGCTGGGCAGACACCCTGGCACAGCAGAACACAAGTGCAAAGCATGTGCTCTGCCCACGGAGCTCTCCAGTCCCGGATCTTGTTATTAGGGGTATTTTTTTTGGGGGGGGGGATGTTGGTTTGTTTTGCGGGCCACACCCAGAGAGGCACTCCTGTCTCCTATGCTCAGGGCGGCGCTTGAAGGACCACATGGGATACCAGGGACGGAACCCGGGTCACCTGCACGCAAGGCAAGTGCCCTCCCCGCTGGCCCCATCATTTATTAGTTTTGGGGTTATGTTTGTCTGTTTGCGGGGGCCAAACACAGTGGAGCTCAGGGATCACTCCTGGGGGGGGGGGGGGCTCTGGGGACGGAACCCAGGTTGGCTCTGCAAGGCTCCGGCCCAGTGTTCCCCAATCAATGTTCCCCAAGCTTTCTCCGACCACGGCCACTTTCTGGAACCTGTTTCCTCTCTGTGGCTCTGTCCCCTGGTTGGCACCCGTCTCTCCGATGGGATTTCCCCTGGGGCCCCCCTGGAATATCTTGGGGTGCTCAGACTGCAGAATGCTGCTTGCAGGCCCCACCGATCCCCTGCCAGAACCGTTCTCCCCAGGGCGCGGGGAGGCACGTGGTGTCCAGCCGCCACAACGCACCTGCGGAACTTGTCCTTGAACTTGTCCAGCTCCTCTCGGCTCTGGCCCAGCTCCAGCTGCAGGCAGTCCTGCCCGATCTCCAGCTCGCGCTCCAGGGCCTCGGTGCGCCTGGTGGCGGAGGCCAGGCGCCGGCGGAGCTCCTCGTTCTCCTGCTGCAAGAGCCTGGTGGGGCCGGGGCAAGGGCAGGGGTCAAGGGCCAAGGTCAAGGTCAAGGGTCGTCAGAGAGCCAGGGCAGCCTGGAAGGCCCGGTGGGGCTCGGGAAGGAGGGAGATTTGCCGGGTCTCAGCCCGAGTCCTGAGCACTCGGCCCGGGGCGGGGAGGGCTGGGGGGGAGGGCTGGGGACACCGGCGGCGGTGGCGAGCGCCACTTTGCTGGAGGAAAAGGCAGGACAGGGGTGGGGGGAGCCCCCGCTGTGGCTCTGGTTTCCGGCACATTCCGGCTTCTCCATTATTAATCCCCTGGAAACCCGGCCCCAGAGCTCCCTCATCGGAGGCCTCCAGGGGAACAAAGGGCTGCAGTGCAGTGGCGGACACCAGCGGCCCGGAGCCAGGGAGAGACAGCTCGGCAGGGCCGGGCCCTTCAGAGCCAACCCCCTCCGAGCTGCCGCGTTGTTCCCTCAGTGTCCCGGAACAAACCTCTTATCCAGAAAGAATATTCGCAACACCAAGCCTCCGCTCCGCGTGCCCAAAATACCCTACCCTGAAATTTAGCTCTTCCTAATCCAGGGAAAGTCCACAGATAGCTCCAGCCACGCCCGCCCAAGCTGAGGCGTCTTGTCACGCGGACACTCACCTCATCCTCTCCGCGTCGGTCAGGGACTCCTGCACACAGAAGAACACGGCGTGAGGAGAGGCCCTGCGCCCGGCGCCTGCCTGGCCCACCTCCCAGAGAACCTGGGCACGCCTGACGCCTGCTGGGCGGAGGCACGGAGGAAGGTCCACACAGGCCTCGAACCCTCGCCCTGGCCACTGGCCGCCCACTCCCTGCGCCGGGCACACAGCCCGCGAGGGGCTGCAGAGGCTTCCGAGGCAGGGGGAGCGGAGGGGAGACGCCCAGCTCCCACGGGGCCTACGGCCTGAGCGTCCAAGAGGCTCCCGAGCCCCGACACCTTCACCGTGCAGGGGCCGGAACTCAGCCCTCAAGGGCAGAGCGGGCACACGGCGGGCAAGGGAGGCTGAGCTGACCGTCCCAAGGGCTGCTGCCTGTGTACCAGGCCGGGCCTGGCAAAGTGAGGGAGGGCCGGGAGCCTACCAACCCTCCCACCTCAGGCATTGGGACTTCCCCCACTGTGCCAAGTCCAAGCAGGGCCAGCCAAGCTGGCCTTTCACACAGACTGACCCCACTGGGGCTCTGGGCCACTGAAGCTCCAGTCTGTGCCCTGCTCCAGGCATCACTGTGTCGGGGGACCCAACGTGCCTCGGCTCCTCCACTGAGGAAGCTGGGGACCCCGAGCTCTCGGAGGAACAAGGACAGTGGGCGGGGGCCAGGCCGGGGGGTCGGGGGCTGCCCTCTGACAGAGGCGTGCCTGGAGCCCGCGCGTCACGACCCCCTGGCATGGGGTCGGCACTCTCTCGCCATCCCCACGGGCAACGGCCAGGCCAGGAGACCCCACGCCTGGATCCCAGGCACTCCTCTGAAGACCAGCGCCGCTTCCAGCAGGAGGCAGACCGCGGCCCACTGACCTCTTGCTCGAGCCGGGCCCCAAGAACTTCCGGCCGTAACTCCCGGTGCTCGGGCGGAGCCTTGCGGTAGGGCTTCTTCGCAGGGGCCGCGCTGCTCATGCTGGGGGCGCTGCTCCGGCTGCGGACAGGAGGTGAGGCAGGAGGGGCTCAGAGGGGAGGGAGGGGCCGGGGGCCGGGGCGGGGGGGCTGCCACGCAGCAGACAGCCTGGGCCATGATGGAGTCAGGGTAGAGCTAGGACCAGCGGGTGGAGGGGAAGGGGCGAGACCTGTGGGCAGAAGCACAAGGCGCCAGGGCCAGGGCACTGGGCAGGGGCACAGGACGCCAGGGCCAGGCCACTGGGCATTGGGCCTCGACCCAGGGTCTACAGGGCTCAGGTCTTCACCTCAGCAGGAAGCCCGCTCAGGGGTATCTGTCCACCCTGACCTGGGGACAGGACATGTGGCTGCTGTGAAGGCGGTGGACGGGCTAAGGGTCTGCAGGGAATGTACCATGAACCTTAGTGGGACAAGCAAGGGGGTCACTCAGCGGGGCCCTGGGTCCCAGCAAGCCCCAGCATGGCCCTCCACCCCCATGACCATGATGAGCCCGCAGCTTTCCGGGGGGGTGGGGGGGACCTGCCCCTCACATGGGGCAGCCGTGCTGGCCTCCATCCCGTTTTCCACCCGGGGGACCACCTGCCCGTTCGCCTGCTGCCCGCCAGCCTCCCCAGGGGACAGGCGGGTGGCGGCGCCGCCTGATCAGGGACATACCGCGTGCCTGTCGGCAGCTCTCAGGGTTCCGCTGTCCGGGAGTCAGCCCTCGGCTCTCGCATCCCACAGCCCCTCCACTTCCTCTCGCCAACAGTTCCTGAAACCCGAGAAGGGGAGAAAGTGGAAACCCGGTGTCCACTGCCTGTCCATCAGCGCTGAAGGCCAGTCTGCCCCCAGGGGACCTGGATGGCCTCTGCGGAGAGCCAGGCTGGAAGCGAAGGCCAGTCGCGCTCCGTCTGCTCCTGTCCCCTGCCCTGATCCCAGTCCACTCACCGCTCAGCCTCCCCGGCACCTGGAAGCACCCGAGACCCCAGGGAAGCTCAGGCTGCGGGGGGGGCGGGGGGGGTGAGCAGAGTCCCCAGAAGATGCTGCGAAGACCGACAGCTCCTGGCCCTGTGTCCAGAAGGAACCCCCAGACCGCATCAGCACTGGATGGCGGTTCACTGCAGCCGGCAGTGCAGGGTGGTTCCGGGAGAGAGATCCCCAGCCGGGCCGGTGTCGGGCAATGACGGCTCTGATCACGGCTCTGATCACGGCGACTCTGCCCCCCACTCCCCCCAATCCCCACCCCAGACACCTGGCAAATGTCGGGAAGCATTTTGGTCGGGCCATCGCAGCAGGGGGCTGCACTGTCACGTGTGGGACCCGCTGGGCCCCTGTGGAGGCCCGAGGGGGGTCCTGGCCCGTTCCTTCCTCACAGAGGCAGACCTGGGGGTGGGCCGTGTCCCCCAGGCCTGGCTGCAGTAAGCCGGGCGGCAGCAGGAGGGCAGCAGCCTCCACGGGGACCGCAGTCACCTCAGGTGGCTTTCCGGGGCGCGCACCTGGGGGTGGGGGCTGGCGGGCTCCTGCCTGTGCTCCCGCAGCTGGTCTGTCGGGACATGCCTCAGCCCTGACACGCGTCACATTCCAGCAGGGCCCCGGGCGGGAAGCAGGAGCGGCCTCCCTCTGTCTGGGCAGCCTGCTCCCTGGAAGCCGGGCGGGGACGTGGCCACGAGCCGCCAACGTCCGCCCCTTTGATGGGGAGGCAGAACGTGTCCCCACAGGGCACCGGCAGCGTGCTGGGCCCCGCTGACTCCCTGCGCAGGAATCCGGGCGGGCGGGCCTGTAAGGACAGCACATTCCTGAGCTGTCACCCCCACAGGTCCCTGGGGTCACCGCTGCAGGGCCCTCCGGGCGTCTGGGCCCGTGGGCCCAAGTGTGGGGGTGGGCAGGGGACGGAAGAGGGGCAGAGAGGCAGAGACGGGAGTACGAGCTACTCAGCTGACCCCTGAACAGAAACCGGCCCAGGTCCCTTCCCCTGGCCCCGTCAGCTGCAGGCACCGGGGTGTCCCCGCCCTCTCCTGTCCGTCCTTCCCTGGCTCTGCCTGCCCAGGGCCACACTCCTCAGGACACTCCGGAAGTGGTCGTGCCCATAGGAGAGCAGCCTGGCACCTCTCTGACCTACGGCACCAACACGTGGCGCCCAGCAAGGGAAACCACGCCCATCGGGGGGGACAGAAGACAGTGCTTCTCAGGAGACAGTCACCGGGAGCCTGCAGAGTCAACTCCAGGCCACAGGGGGGACACTCTGCCACTCCCTGCCTGTGACCACAAATACCAGGGCGGACAGGACCTTGCTCCACCCCGGCATTAACAGAGCCGGGCCACTGAGGCCCGCCGTGCCAGGCTGACCTGAGCATGAGGGGTCATCCAAGACTGATGCCCAGCCCCAGAGGGTTCCCAGAGCACTGCCAGGAGGGATCCCCGAGCACTGCCTGGAGGGATCCACGAGCACTGCCTGGAGGGATCCGCGAGCACTGCCTGGAGGGACCCCTGAGCACTGTCTGGAGGGTTCCACCTGAAGGGATCCCCGAGCACCAAGGCTGAGATTGCTGAGAAAGTAACGGCCCAGGGGTGGTAGGGAACAAACGCATCCTCCGCAGGACGCCTGGCCCCCAAGCTGGGACGGGGGTGGGGGAACAGCAGGCAGGCCCGTGACCACTGCCATCTCCAGGGGCACATCTCCTGCCCGCAAGGCTCCCAGGTTGTCTCTGAGCGTTGGAGCCCAGGGACACCCAGCCCTGTGCAGAGAGGAGGCGGCCTCCGGGAAAACAGCTGGACCGCCTAGAACAGGCTGCACAGGACCCCTCTGGCCTCTGGACACCTAGCAGGCTCAAGTGGCCGGCAAGAAAATGGGTTTTCCCGCAGGTCGACAGGGAGAGGCGCACCTCTCTGCTGCAGGAACAGCTGCAGGAAGCGTCCGGCTGCTGAATGCGCCGCCCAGGAAGGCAGCAAGCCGGGCCCACTGCCCTCCCTTCACAGCCCTCCGTCCCTGAGTCCCGCCCCCCCCGCCCCCTTCTGCGGGGTTCATCTACCCTCTGCGAAAGGGGTTCCGAGGGGGAGACCCCTCCCTGGGCCGCTGGGGCAGGAGAGCTGCCGAAGTGCTGTGTTGCAATCTGCCGGTCGGCCCCAGCCCCGGCTGCCTGTCAACGCCTGCCCCGTCTTAAGCACCTTCTCCTGATCACGGCCCATGGGGCACGATTAGCTGCCTCCAGAGAACAAAGTCTACGCGCGTCAGAAATGGAACTCGGCACGCGGAGCGCCGGGAATCTGCTCGGCAGCTGAGCACGGAGCCGAGACGAAGGAGCGGCATGTGCCGGGCGCTGGCCGCGGGGCCGGTCCCCGGAGGGTCCCTCGGTCTGCCAGGGATCCCACCAACTCCCCGGTGTGGCTGCGGCAAGGCGGGTGTGGGTCACCAGGCGCCCCCACCAGGCCAGGGGTCCCTGCTGCCACAGACAGGGAGGAGCGGGGCCAGGAGGAACCTCCCAGACTCCAGATTCTCTCACTCACCTCACCCCTCCTGCCAGCACTCGCCACAGGGGACAAAAGCACCGAGGAGCCAGCGCCTCCTCGCACTTCCTTCCGCCCAGGCAGAGGGCAAAGGCCAGGGTGCAGGAAGGAAGGGCGGGTCAGGCCGCGACTCTCCCCGTGGAGGCCATGGAGGCGCAGCGCCTCGCCAGGGCAGGGACAGCTGGACCCGAGCGGCCGGGAAGCAGGGAGGCTGCCCCGGCTTATCTCGGCACCAACGTCCCCTCCAGCTCCCCCGTTCGGCACTGCTCCCTCGTTCCACTGGCCCCAGCGCAGCTGCCAAGGCTCGGAGCCCAACTCCCACATCACCCACACCCTAAGAAATGCAGCCCCGAGGGGTTAGACGTGTGTGACACCCCGAGTCTGATCTCCCCCACTGAAAGAAAAAAATTATCTGAATTCATTCTGTCGTTTAGGGCTAAGGGGACGGCTTACGTGCTTCGCAAGCAGAAGTCCTGGGTTTAAGTCCTGGCCATGAAGGGCCACCTAGCACCACCCTTGAGTACCACCAGGACTGCCCCTGGCCACCCCTCCCGCCCCCCCAAAAAAAGAAAGTATGGCCCCAGGGACTGGTGCAGTAATACAGCAGGGCACCTACCGTGCAGGCGGCCGAACACATTTGATCCCTGGCACCACAGAGGGTGGCCGAGTGCAGAGTCGGGAGTCAGCCCCGAGCACTGCCAGGCTGGCACCAGCAGTTCATCTGGACTCCAACCACTCCCAAACCTTTCTGCTCCCGGTGGTCACCAACTCAAGAAAGAGCCCCTGTGTGGGGTCCTTAACTCAGACAACATCACTGAATCCCTCCTTCGCCATTTCACTAATACACGTTAGCTATCCAAGTTAGTGACCACTGCCGCCCCTCAGAGCCTGGCAGGACATCAATAAACCCAGAACCCAGCCCCTCCTGGAGGCCTGAGCAACTGTGAGGACATGGTCTGATCACAGGGGTTTGGCGCCGGCCTAGCGGGTCACAGCCCGGAGCCCACAGGATGCAGCCCAGAGCCCGCGGGGACAGCCCAGACCCTACAGGGCACAGCACTGCCCTACAGGTCTGGCTGCTCGCAAGCTGGGAGATCCAGGTTCTGCCTCCCACCGAGCTCGAAAACACAAACTACCCGCTGCGAGGCCAGCCAAGGAACAAAGCGACCCTGGAAGACTCCAGCCCACCGCACTCACAATGGCTTTTTTCCTGACGATCAGTGAACAGTGCCAGCCCTCGCCCGCCAAGAGTCCTGTTGCGGGGAGCCAGGCCTCACTGGCCCCCCCACCGCCCGCAGGTCCCCCTCCTGGCGTGCAGCTGCTTCTGAGCTCCAGGAGCAAAGCCCGCAGCGGACCTGGGCACGTGGCAGGCGGGCAGGCAGCAGCCCGGGGGGGGGGGGGGGGGCGCAAGATGCCAGCGTGCCCACGCCAGCCCTGCCTGCCACCCACTGGCAGGTTCAGCCTCAGCCTCTTCGGACAAGGTGCCCACACCCCAGCCTGGCCTCCTACCTGCTCCCCATGGAACAGACGGGCAGGTTTTTAGACGCCAGACCAGAGGGGACCTCTCCCGCCGGGGGACCCTGAGGAACCAGTGCTGGTGACCCGCGTGTGCGTTCCCGGCGACCCACCTTAGCGAGCGCCTGTGGCGATCCCCCTGGCCTCTGAGCCAAGCAGACACGGGAAGCCCGGTGACGTGAGCCACGCAAACCAAACACCAAACCGTCCCCTCAGCCGGGCAGGCCGGGCCCCAAAAAAGCACAGCCAGCGGTCAGCGTCAGTGCCCCGCACCCCTGCCTAAGGAGGACCAAGGAGGGCTGGCCTGGGCAAGGCCTCCACTCTGGTCCCTCGGGGGCCCCTCGTGGGATCAGCCACCACGCCCGTCCAGCTGGCCAGCTCCCGGCCCATCCACAGGCCCCTCTGCCCTCCCCCACGGACACGTCCACTCCGCACTGGGCGCGGCCGAGCAGGGAGAGCCCCGGCAGCCGCGAGACCTGTGGGGCCCAAGCGATCAGCCCGCCCTGCAGGCCGCGCCCCGTCCTGCCCGGGCCCGCGCGAGGGATGCGGGGGCCGCCTGCGTGCGGGAGGCAGCTTGCTGGCTGGCACCAGAGGCCGCGCCCTGCGTGGGCCCGTGGTGGGGTCCCAGGCCAGGTCCTCGCCCTCTGGCCCCGCCCCGCGCCCTTCCCCAGCTCTGCCGGCTCCAACCCACAGACGTGCCAGCCCCCACCAGGGTCTCCTCAGCCTCCACCCCTCCAAGGACAGCCTTGCTCCTCTTCACCCTGATGAAAGAGTAACCGGGATACCTTTCCTCGATGACGGAGGGAGGAGGGGAGCTGACCGCACGGAGGGGCCCCTTCCCGCTCACACAGCCAGAGCCGTGCGGTGACAGGGATGGT